ATGTATTTGTAAAAGTTGCTCTTTATTAATAACAACTTTTCTTTGAATTAAAATTTCAAATCGTTCCAAAATTAATTTTTAGTGATATTATGGAATAAAAAATCAGTGCTTTTAATCTATTAAATACTACATAATACTTTATTCTTAAAACTCAATACTATCGGCTTCAACATTTTTATTTCTTACGTCTAAAGTATTATAGTTTGTAATTACTTATCCAATAAATATATTAAACGAAGCTACAAAATCTTTCTTTTTATTTATATTTAATTTGAACGTTATTCATAATTGAAAATTGTCATATGATAAAAATATGGACAAATAATACAAAGATTATTAATAGTTGTTACATTTTCTTACAAAAATATCTAATAATTGCCATATGTAAAATAATGATTTTAAATTATACTGACGTACGTTTCTTAATTATTTTCACACAAACTTGATAAAAATGCAGTTTTATTAGCACATAATTTTTCTTTTAATTTTATAAATTAACAAATAATGTTGAAAAAAACCATGAATACCAAGATAATAATAGTGATTCATATAAATTCGTCAAAAAAGATTTTATATTAAATAAAATAAAAATGTAAATAAATAAATGCGCATAGAATAATAAAAAGCAAATAAATTGCCTCTAAAAATAATAATATTGTATTTAAAATATTCTATTCAATATTGCAAGGAGTGGATTGATTTTTTACGTTTCTTTCTCGATTCGATACGTTATTGTTGTATTACAATATTACAGCACCTTTTGTATGATTTATTAGTTTTTAATACTATTTTTAATAAAAATATAAAGTATTTTCAACACAGCTACAGAATTCACAAGGTCAAGCATGTTGTGAGTACGTACGAACGAAATAAAGAGAGAGAGAGAGAGAGAGAGAGAGAGAGAGAGAAAGTGCGCACATTTAATTGTCAGAGGGTTATTGTTGCGTAAGAATCGTTCATAATCGTTGTCAAAAAAGACTTTTATTTTTCGTGCTACCCACGTGTTTCATTGACGTGCTGAGGAAGCTTGATAGTTATTACGAAGCCGCCGCTTGGATTCATGGGAATAAATCAAACAATTTGCAACGGTGTCTAAGCGCATTCTTCAATTCAACGAAGAAATGGATACATTTCATTTTCAGTCGGACGAGTCAGCTACCACAACCGATTTCGACCCATCTTGTAAGTGCTTCTCAGACCACCTCTCTCTCTATATATACATATATATCTACCCCCTACAGAGAGAGAGAGAGAGAGAGAGAGAGAGAGAGAGATACATACATATGTACATGTTCTTGAACTCACTTTCATTTTCACTCGTACTTCGCTTACTCAATCGCTTACTTAGTCAATTAATCAATCAATCCGTTAGTTAATCAGTCATTCGATCGATCGATCAATCATTTAATCGCTCACTTATCACTCACCCATTCTCATTCTCACTGGTACTCTCACTTTCAAGCCACAGATCGATGACCTATGTATGCCTACATACAACCACCCGTGTATTTGATTACGGCAATGTGCGGATGCATGAGTAATTCACATTCAAATATGTGAAAATTCAGCTTCTTATAATTATATAAGTGTATGAATTCTAACAATATTGATATTTAAATTTCTTCTTTTCTTTCTCTCTCTCTCTCTCTCTCTCTCTATCTCTATCTTTCTTTCTTTCTTTCTTTCTTCCATTGTTCCATCTTTGAGAATTCATGACTCGAACTCTTCGTCTTAGCCAGGATTATAGAAACAATGAGAGTAATTGTTGGCTAACTAACTATTGTACTATATAATATAATTACTTAGGCAATTTAGCGACTTAGTTTTAAAGTTTAATTTTAGATATAAATATTTACTTATTTATTTTCCAGAAGTATACTACTTTAATATAGTTTAGATATATTGTTGAATAGATTGATGACCAGTCTGATATAAGAAATATTGTAATTTAAAAATTATAATATTAATTATACGTAATATATGTAGTTAAATTAGTTAATGTAATTCTTCTATTTTATATATAGTATATCTCGATGATTTCCAATAATTATAAATGTATTGTTATCAAAATTAATTTTTTTTATATTTTATGCCTTATATTTTAATTAATAAATTCATTTACAATTTATCTTTAGTATTGATAAAGCAAAAAATATTAACACGTTATTACAATAAAAAATTCGACCAAACGTAATTTAATAAATAATAATTTTTTTTTCCTTTTGAAAATAAATGTCTTCACATTTGTCTCCTCATATTTTAATGCATAGAATAATTTTATAATAAATTCGATTAAAAAAAATTATAGATCTTTATAATACTTCTAAATGTCTAATATTATCAAAAATCTTATAATATTAGTATAAATCGTAATTTAGAAAATAACTGTACATTGCTAAAACATCATAAATATTTTTAATATTGCTATTTAATTTTCAGTATTAAGGAGTATTACTAGACAATATATATTTTTTAATAATCTAGTATTCATTTCAGCATAAAGAATAGTATAGCGATTTTAAAATACTAAATATATCATATATAATGTTGATAAAATACCTATATACTTTTATTCAGGTATATTATTATTTAGTCATATTATTGAATGAAAAATTATCACAAAAAAAAACATTATTATTAAAAATGAATATTAATTATTTATATAATTATTAATATTAATTAAAACTCTGAACAAAGGTTACATTCATAGTTCTTATAAGATATAGATTTGCAATGCTTAGAAAATATAGTATCAAAATTTAATTAAATATAGAATAATTGAATTTATATACAATTTATAAATTTATTTAAATATCATTTAAAAGCAAGTTTAAAGAAAACATTTTTGTTTATTATATATTTTCTGTTAAAATATTTTTAAAAATATATTTATTTAGCGAGTAAAAAGTAAAATTATGTTTTCGTGTTGTCTACACGAAATTTATATAAATATTTAATTATAAATGCATTGAAGTATTTTTTTTATTTAATGCATTATTCGAAATACATTTAAAGCATGTTATATTTACGCAATGATAAAAATTTAATTTATGTTAATAAAAAATTATACACTCAAAGAATATATTGAAACGAAGGAAATTCTATCCGATATTATTAATTAATGTTAAGCGAATAAAATTATTACATAATTGAATTTGGAAATTGTAAATTCATGTATCTTAATAAACGAGCTTTTTTCTACTTTTCTAGCCTAAATAGAGAAACAGTTAATAAATAAAAATTCATAATATGCTTTTACAAATATAATATTATTTGTATTCTTATTTATATATTTTATTCGATTGTCTTCATACACGGTTAAAATAATTAATTTGTGAAAAAAGAAATACTACTTATCTAATCTGGTTAATTATTAGGAAATTCGGTTATAATAATATTTTATGTTTTCATGTAAAAATTTTATGCGAAAATATTAAATAATTAAAATTAAAAAAGCATGATTAATTTTTGTTTCAAAGTGTATAATAAAAGTAATTCATAAACTTTTAACCGAGAATAAATCATAAAAATTATTCTTAGAAATATATAAATTTAAATTTATTTCATTTAATATGCAAAATTATAAATCTGATTTTCAGAAATTTATAAAAATAAAATATAAAAGAGATGATTAGCTATATAAAAATAAATAAAAAAATAGACATTGTCAATTAAAAAAAATCTTAATGGCCAATTACTATATACAATTATATTCCACTCTGCGTATATTACTTACTTTAAAAATTACATTAAAAACAAAATATACTTAAAAGTCATTGAATTTCAAAATCTAATTGTACATTTATCTGTCATACAAGCTCGCATAGCTATATTATTTAGAGGGTTATTATGAACAAAGTGAATATTCAAAATTATATTTTAACTATTTTAAAAATAAATTCAAATCTTTATTGCAATCCTTATTGAAATATTAAATATTTCAATTTAAAATATTCTTTATTTTATTAATTTATATTGTAGCTTAAGAACCGAAGCGTAAAAGAATATTGTATAATATAAAAACTAAATATTTTGCCAAAAACCTATTATTATATACTATATACATAAACAAATTCTTTTCTTTTTTTATAAAAGAATTCGTTATAGATTTCGCTTACTTTAAAATTATGCTCCCGATACATATCCCGATATGTATATTGAAAAATCTTGTATTCACTCTTGTAAAGTTCTTAATATTTTTAAACTTATAAACAAGATTAGAAGTTCTTCTAATATCTTTCAACAAAAATTTTTACATTACACTTTCGACTTTCATTCTGAATTCGTTTCAATAGGTAAAAATATAATAATTTTAGTTAATAAACAGTTGTTTCAATGACGGCCCTAAGTTAATGAAAATTTTAATTATCTCGTAAAGATATTTTATCTGTTATTTTTAAATTGGTTAAGAATAATTTAGTTATCCATAACCATTTTTTAAATAATATTTACGATTTTAAAGATAATTTAATTTTTATAGCTTTAATCTTAAATAACTGTTAATTATGAAATCGTGGTCATATAAGTCATATAAATATTGTGAACTTGTCGTTTGAATAACTATACTGTACCAAGAGATTATTATTGCTTTTGATGATTTTTATCAGCTGTCAATGTTTTATCTGAGGCAATGATAAAAGCATTTGTTTTTCTTGAAAGGTAATATTTAGGCTTTGTTAAACTGTTTTACATTTGATTCCTTATTTCGTAAATTGTATAATCATTTTCTTTATCGAAGATTATAATTTATTGTGTTTATGTTATCTGGAATTAATTTAGATGCATTTATTAGTATAAAGCATTTTTTATTTTAAATTAAAGATACTTGACTTTTTTCAAGAAATTATGAATTTTAATTGAACGCTCTGACTACATGTTCATGAGTTTTTCTGTATATTATATACGTATTCTGCATGTTTTATATGTATATCTTATAGATTTCACATAAAAACTATTCTTATCAATACGGCAACTTTTGTAATGTATTTCAAAAATTATAGGAGAGATGACGAGTAATCTCTTGCGGTTGGCAAGAGAAGCAAGGCAGCGAGCCCTCGGACCATTCAGCCCATCTTTTAACGTACAAGAAATTCTTTTAGAAAGCTTACAAAAGGTAAATATAAGTATAAGCTTTCGATACTGTAATCACACTTTTTTGTCAGCATCGAAACTTTTTTTGTGCATTTTAGTTTTTACCAGATGATGCCCATATTCGCGTTAGTGGAAAATTACATATTTCATTAACCAGAGTTTATGATGGAAAAAATGTTATAGTTTCTCAGTATAATTCTAGAGAAGATCTACTCCAGGTAAATATTACAAAAACAATTCTGGACTATCTCCTGCATTTTTGTCTCATTTAAATTTCATTTTCAATATTTTATTTAATTTACTTACAGGCATTACTTGCTAGTTCTTTTATTCCATTTTTTTGTGGTCTCTTACCTCCAAGGTTTCATGGTATAAGATATATGGATGGAGGATTTAGTGATAATTTACCGACACTTGATGAAAATACAATAACTGTTAGTCCATTTTGTGGAGAAAGTGACATATGTCCGAGAGATATTTCTTCTCAATTATTTCACGTATGATTTCACTTACAGTCCAATCATTTATAAATAATTATATTAAGGTTCAATAACAATTATTTTTGTCTTCTTCAGGTTAATTTTGCTAATACAAGTATTGAACTGTCGAGACAAAATATGTATAGATTTGCTAGAATTTTATTTCCCCCAAATCCAGAAGTGAGCCCAATTTTTAAAAGAATATATTTATTCATTAATTTTCACCTAAATTTACATTTTTTTATTTTTGTTTTAGGTTTTATCAAATATGTGTAAGCAAGGATTTGACGATGCTTTAAGATTTTTAAATCGAAACAATTTAATTAATTGTACACGATGTTTAGCAGTACAATCAACTTTTGTAGTTTCTGAAACACTAGAGGATAGCAGTACAGAATATGACCCTGAATGCTTAGAATGTAAAATGCATAGGCAGGTTGGTAAATAAATTTTTATCAATTATATGACTGGCTAAGAAGATAAATATTTAATGTATTTTCATCACATTTAGGAAGCGTTAGTTGCAAATCTTCCAGAAACGGTGATGATGATTTTTCAAGATGCTATCGACTCGGCGAATAAAGGACTCATAAATTGGCTTTTTAAACATAGAAGTATCAAGCTGTTATCATTATTAAGTCTGCCATACACATTGCCAGTTGATGTAGTATATGCTACATTTACAAAGTAAATACAAATAAAAAAATAGAATAATTAATAATTTAATAATCCTTTTATTAAGAAAATAATATATTATTAATGAATCAAATTTTAAATAAATAGCAATTATACATTCTTAAAAGATTTAGCATTTATCTACTTAGTCATTAGTAAGCTATATTTATGAATGCTTCGTTATAAATAAAATAATTCTATAATTAAAAAAGGATATAGTCAATAATTACTACTTTTGTTTTACTTTTTTTACTTAAAAAAAACGTAATTCTGAATATATCAAGTGCGTCATAGGTCAAGTCATATTTTTAAATCTCTTTTTAAATAATTATAGATAACATAAGCAGACTTGATAACAATATTTGATTTAATAGAAAGGCACTGCTTATTTGCTTACGTCAATTAAAATAGTTAATAGTAGATTATCATTTTTTATAAAAAGTGCGATCACGTATTTGCGTTGCGTTTTAAACTTAAATAGAGGATGTGCGTGTGTGCGCGCACGCGCGTGCGTGTGTATTATAATATATATCAGTCATAATTTAATAATTGATAACAAATTATTCATATTGTTTCTGTAGATTTATACTGAACGCTCCCAGAATCCAGAAAGGTCTTATGGAAATGAGCAGATATTTCTTAGAACAATTAAGTCTTGTTTTTCCTCAAATCAATGTTTACTATCAACCCATCCCACAGACAATTAAATGCCATGTAAACTTTATGGAATATGGATCAAGTATGAGTATATATATTATTTAATTACATTTGATAGTATAAAAACTAATTTTGTATTTAAGTGAAATTTTGATTTAGATATCTACGATGTTGAATCAATAGATGACTCTATATTTAATCAGCAAAAAACTAATTTAAATTTAACTCTAAAGTATAATGATGCGTAAGCATTTTATTTTTATTATCTCAACATTTAATCAAAGATATATATTGTTTATAAACAATTATTGTAGCTATTTTATTGTAATGTTTAGAAAGCCCTGGACAAATTGTAAACAATCTACCAATTGTGTTATAAATATGTCAGACTTGACAATGTCTACAATAAATAATGATACTTTGGAAAATATTCTACAAGTATGTATGTAAATAGCAAAGTTATTGAGTAAAAAATGATTTATTTTAACTTCAGTCTCACCTCACTTTAAATATATTGTAGGTTACAGGGGAACAGGAAACATTAATGGCATATTATTATATGGATAATAGTAGTGAAGTTCACATAACAGAACTTTTTGATGTGAATAATGAAAAATTAGAACTCAAAGATGATTGTATTAGGCTCCATCAACCTCAAGAAGAGTCTTTACAAACATTCAAAACCGGTGATTGGAATGAAAATCATTGGGTGGTTCAGCGTAATGGTTAGTTTTGATATGTCATTTTTGATATTTTCATATTTGATATGTTAATTTATTGAATGAAAAACTTGAAGGCATAAATATAGAATTTATTTTTATGAATGGAAAAATAATAGTTTCTTCTAAATAAAGTAATATTCTTCATTATACAATAATATCAATATAAAAGTTCATTGTATAACTTATAGTATTACACAAGTTGAAACACATTTTCTATAAAATTAAATAATTGTGTGACAGATAAATACTTTATGCTATAAACAATTGAAGTTATTAATAGTTTTGAATTTATTTTTATATAACTAACTATTTTGTTTTTTATGAAATAAATTTTGTTATTTCATTAATAATACTATCTGAATTATTCATATCCTAAATAAAAATAATAAAATTCTTGATTTAAGCTGACTATATTCAAACTAACGTTCATTTAACTAATTATAAATGTGTATTTATATATATAAAAGATATTCTAGTTTAACAAGTAAATTAAAATTATTTATATTATTCGTTTCTATAATTTAAATTACATAATTTCAGAAAATTGTACTTGTATTTTATATTGATCATTAAATTTTCTTAAATTACTAATACAAAATTAAAGTTTAAGTATTAGTTTTCTATCATGAATTAAGCATTTTATTAATATAAAGAAAATTTTCTTATAATAGTATAGCACTGTTCAAATACAATGTTCAAATTGAAAAAACAACAAGAATTACTTCAATAATATTCACAATTGGTAATTATTACAAATAATTGCAATAGTTATTAAAAGTATTTATAATTTTTGCTCAATTTTTTCTTTCAATATATACCTTTTTTTTCACTACAAGATTACTGCGTATTTGATTATATAATACTATAATCTTATTAATAATTTTTTAATAAAATTTCTTCCAAAGTAAAATAGATATGTTATTTATATAAAATGTTTATAAATTAATTAAAAACTCTAGTACACAAAAAGTGTTTAATAGTATTATAATCGAAAGATAAAAAAATGCTTGATAATTTTCTTTTAGAGACTAAAATTAATACTATTCAATTATAATTTTAAATTATTAATTTGCGGGTGATAAATGTTACAAATACCATTTTAATTAAAAGTTAAAATATATATTATAATTTATTTATAGCCTTTTATAGTTATTTTATACGAAATTAATGTATGTATTAGTAAATTAAATTGATTTATTAGATCGTTTTAACAAACACATAGATTCAATAAAAACATAATTTTTAAATAAAATATTCGTACAAATTTGTATTTTCTTATTTTTATAACATAATATTTAATATAAATCGTGTTACTTTCTAATAATATATATCAATAACACATTGTATCACAAAGATTTGTTCAATATTTATTAGTATTATACAATATCATCAATGCATTACTTACATTTCAAAATCATATTAAAAAAAAAACAAACAAAAATAATGTTTTCTTGTTTTATTATAATCATAATTTATAAGCATTACAAATATGAAAATTTAGTATGTTTAAAAAGTAAAACTATTGTCATCAAAATTAAAAAATATTCTTTAAATATTTATCAAAATTTGGAAAAAAGTTAATTTAACTAATAAGTCCAATAATATTTAATTAGTAACATCAATGAAATTATTATAGTTATATTTAGTCAATAACACTATTACTATTTATATTGACAATGTATTTTGTATATATTTAAAGTTGGATTTAATTAATAATAGTAATATTTTAGTAATATTCAGATGTCATATTCATTAATTAAAATTGCACATTTACAACTTGCATCTTACATTATTTAACATTTTTTAAAAATAATATCTTATATATGTTCTTTATCTAAATTTGTACTTAATATAATATCAAATTATACTTTACATTTTAAAATATATTAATCTTAAACAAATCTTAAATTAGATTTCTGGTCCATAAAAATTAAAATCTACTAAAAATCTAGTGATTATTATAAAAAAAATTGCAATTTTTATTAAAACTTACAAATCTACAGCCTTACAAAATGAAAAGAATTAATTTCATAAATCTCTTAAAATAAATTAATCATTACTGTTTTTAGAAAAGAATCACAATCGTCGAAATTCAAATCAACCTTCTTTTTCCAATAATTTGAGCAAAAATGATCGACAAGATAATCATAATAATCACCCAGAATCCGAAAGCAACTGGAATACCACTGTATATCTAAATCCATAAAAAATTATTATTAAGCTTCGAAGGATAATCAAACAAAAGCGAATGATAATAAAAATGTCTAAAACAGCGAAACAAAAGAATAATTGTTTTAATTAGGTTTAAATTAGTCTAGAAGAATATGTTTCAATAAAACTGACAACTAATTTCTCGATTAAATTATTTTGATAAGTCTATAGCCTTATATTTATTGGCTCTTTCAAACTAGGCTATTTCATTGCTTTTCAAACTTACATTGTCCTTACTTTTTGTACTTGGATATTCTATTCGCTAATTATAGATGATCAATATTAGAACTGTTTATCTTTCACTTTCATAAACTTTCGTCATTTAAATATTCATTTAACATTTTTGACCAATATATTTTTTAATTTTGTACGTATTTCGATGTGAATAGACCTTTAAAAATTTTATTTATTTTAAAAATAACTTCCGTACATTATTATGTTTATATTATTTTTATATCTAATTCAATTGATTTTTTTCTATGGTATAATAACTTCATTAATTAACTATATTCATCTTTTATTAATAGAAATCTTTTAAGCACAATACTAAAATGTTTTGCTATGGAAAATAATGGTAATATTTTTTCGATAAAACTATAATTTATTTATTTGTATAAATATATTTTTAAATAAACAAAGAATGTAGCTTTAATAACTTTTACGTATATTCATTCTTAATAAAAAAATAGAATTTATTTTGAATGTTCTAATCATTAAAATTTATGTGAAATTTATGTCAGGATTATTTAAAATTTTAAATATGAATAAAAATCTGATGTTTTAGTGATATTACAAAAAATCTATATAAATTGATTTCAATTTATATGAAAAAACAATATCTTATGCATTTAAATTATAAAATAGTTATAATTAAATAATATTTCTTAATATTATAAATACATATTGTACATAATTTATTTATCATTTTATCGGTTTGTATTTCAGAGGATAAATTAAAATTTGTTGTCATCAAAATTATTCTAGTATTTAATTGATAAATTAATGTTATTATTCCTGGATAAAATATTATATATATTTATACATATATATATCATTACAATTACACTATTACACTAATTGTTCATCCAATTAAAAGATGAATTTATTTAAAAATATTAAATTTAATTTCCTTTTGCTTTAACTTTAATATTTACAAATAAATCTTACATAAATGAATATTATTAAAATATTAATAAATTTTCACTATGTTTTTACACTTATATACACTTATATCAATGTTTGTGATTTAGCAAATAAATAAATCATATTTGTATAAGGAATTCAATTAATGAAAACATTTATTACGCATTGATTTTACAGAAATACCATATTCTTTCGAAATGGTATATATAATTATTCTTTTTTATTATACTTTTTTTATTATATTTCAACGATAGCTTTATAAATATAGTATTAATAAATTAAATAAATCGTGTAAATAAAACAAACATATCTATTAAAATAATACAAATTTGAATAGTTCCAATAACAATTATTGAAATTGATTATACACAGTGAATATAAAATGGTCTCTTTAAATAATAATCACTTTTTATTAAATAAGAATTATTAAAGATAAATAAAATTGATTTTTATTAAGTACACAAACTGTTTTGGTAATATATTTTGAATCTTTTGAAAACAAATCAGAAAATTGTCTTTAAAACACTTTAGTCGTACAAAATCAAAATCATAATAATACTTTCGACTTTTAACATTTTTTATAATTATTTATTAAATTATTACTTATAAGAATAAATTAATTTAGTTTATGTATTCTTCCGAAAATAATAGACTTTAGTCACTTTATTATATCGATTAATTAATTTATAAATTAATTATTGAATTATATTAATTATGGAATCGGAAGAAATATGCATAGAAATATTTCTAAGTACAATATAATTTTACATTTATTTACAACCTGTATTCATTAAAACTGCAAGCGTTGTCAAAGTTTTTCATTTGTAAGGCATAATTACTTAGATGCTCCTAGCTATTTTATTATCTTAAAATTATTCAAAATATCTTTAAATATGATTAAAACTATTTCATATTTATTATTTAATTAAATAATTCAATTTATGTTTAAAGATTTCAATAAATTATTGCACATTTAATTGTCCTCACTAGCACACAGCTGCGCCTATGTGCTTCCTGCTACAAACGTGAAAAAATAAATAAAAAGGTTAAATATCCATAGATACAATATCTCAATGTTGAAATAATTGTGTATTAGCTGCTAAATTTGTAAAATTTGTAAAAAATATTAATTATTGTACAGAACATAAATACGTACTTTAATCAGAACTTTATTTATTTGCATTGATTGCTCAAGACATTTTTTAATATGTGTATATATACATATATATATATATATATATGTATATATATATTAAAAAATATCTTGATGTATAGAGTATAGTTAAAACATTGTATTTCACAACTTTAAATATTAGATGTATTTATTTTCTTTATAACTTATATATACAACATAAATAAATCTGTTTCATTTTGAAAGCCTTTTTAATATAGCTTTATTTAAAATTATAATTTTTAAAAAAAGGAAAAACCATACTTTGTCTATAAAGACTGAACGTTGCGTTACGTTATATCGTAATTCAATTGAAAATATATTTCCAAGTATTTATGTATTGGTAATAATATGGAGCTTAATCTTTCAGTTTATTACACTAAATGATGTTTTATTATTATTAAACTTAAGTAAATTAAAAATGATATTTAAAAATTATAACTCTTTTTCTGGGGTACATCAGTATATTATACCCATAAAAATAAAAAAATCTAGTGTTCTGCTTAAAATATTTTTGCTAATAACGTAATGAAATAAATTAATTGTAAAATTGGTATATATTGCGGGCAGAAAAAATTGTATATTTAATTTTCAAAAAATGTATTTAATAAATAAGATGCCAAAATATTTGTAAAGTAATATTAAATTACGTAAAAAATGAGTATATATATATATATATAATATATATAATATATATACGTCTGAATATATATATATGTATGTGTGTGTGTGTGTGTATGGAAAATATATATTTATAATTATAAAATAAGAAATCATTTATTTATTTTACTAATAAAGACCTTTAAATAAATATTGTATTAGTATAAAAAATACTTTATTACTTGAAATTAAAAAAAATTTTTTCAAGCATAACTTTACATAACTATAAAAATTAAGTATTCAAATATTGAGGAGAATTGACTTGCAGTTATTAGTAATGAATAAATTTATGCAATTACAAAAATCCTAAGAATTAAATATGTCAACATATTAAGAAATCTAATAACAATATAGAAAATAAAAAAACATATGTACTAATCATTAATATTATGTACAGCTTTTTTGCAAATCTTCACACAAAAAGTATAAATTTAAATGAATTAGCATCAAAATTTAATCAAGAGTGAACCAGAAAATTAAATTCGATCTTTACCAATTTTATTATTTTATTTTTCATTTACTCTGATTCCTTATTTAAAAATTATATTTATAGAATCATCGCTTAATAAATGTATGAAATCATTAATAAATGTTTCATAATTTTATTTAATAAAAACTATAATGAAAGCTGAATTAAAAAATTTCTTATCAATAATCCAATTCTCTATATCCTTAATATACTATTTATTTGAATACAACAATAATGTAAACTTTTGAAATTAATGTTAAAAGCACAAGAAAAAACAAGATAAATAAAAATGAAATATTTATTACGCATATTTTTTAATATAAAACAAATTTTATATCATAAATTTAAATATATTTATATGTATACATATACGGATACATATGTGTGTATATACATATACATATATAAGCATATTTTTTTTTATAATGCAGAGGTGAGTGTATGCGCGCGTGCATGCCTTAAGCATATACATAGGTATGCATAGGTATGCATATGTATATATATATATATATATATACATGTGTGTGTGTGTATACGCACACGTATGTATGATGTATGCATGCATGTACGCGTGTATATATTTTGTATCTACATTAATTGAAACTGTTTCTTGAGCAAATAATAAATGTGATTTAACGAACGGGGCAAAAAATTGATGTTTAGTCAAATTCAATATTTACCGCATATACACAATTCTTAATTTTTTTCATTCTACATCGTTATGATGATACAGGCAACGTAACTATTTCGAGTCTCATTTCGCAAAAATACTTTATACAAATATGTTCATTTATCGTCATGCAATTCGTAATCTCGGGGTCATGCAGTGAAATGGCTCTTCTCTTTGCTTCGAGGCCTGTCGATGTGCGACATGGCGAAACAAGAGATAGCGTAGCAAAAAAAAGTCGGCAGTTGCCCTGGACGTAGCTCAAAGCACATCCTCGCCACCAGCGTTGCCCCGTGGCTGAAGCTGTGTTCTGCCGGTCGTTGAAACGTTTGCCGTTGCCACGGTGGCCTTGTGTTGCGCGGCAAGGCACTGTTGTAACTGTTGAAGCTAAAATATTAGAAATAAATATATTCTTACACAATATAATTTATTATTAATCAAATATTATTGATTTATAAATAATTTTTTTTTAATTAAAACTTTCAAAATTTAATTAGAAATATATTTCACATTAAATTATATCGTTGTTGTTTTGCTATAGAAGTACACATGTAAGGTAAGATCTACATTTATTGCAATTAAATCAATTATATTAATTTTAATTATATCAAGGACATATATATATATATATATATATTTATTTATTTATTTAAATCAATATAAAAATATTACCTGTTGTTGAGATAAACCCGCCACAGCATTCAAAGCCTGCGCCTGCGAGTTGCACTGTCCCATTACTCCAGTCGTTGTGGATCTTGGGTGCAACGATTTAGACAGTAAAGTCTGCTTATTTGCGACAGTAGATAAAGCCGATTGAGAAGACGAGGCACCGGTTTGGGTAGCCATTAGCATTGGCTTAGAAGCTGCTACTTGACACCAAAATGCAAAGATTTTCATTAGCATTAAAATTGTATATTTTATATTTTTTCTTCAATTTAATGAAATACCAATGTTTAAATTACTCACCCATTATTGGCGTCAATATTTGCTTATTTCGAGATAAAACAAGTTGATTTGCCGTAACTGTTTTTGAAACAGACACTAGTTGATTGGATAAAGATTTGCCTTGATTAGCCTGAACCTGACGTGTTATCTGACCAAGTCTTGACCTTTGAGATCCAACGAGTTGTATCGCCTGCCCTCCCTAATATTAATATTTTCTATATATTATTTATTTTTCTTGATAATTTTAAAATAATTGTAGCTAAAACTTTACCTGAGAAAGGGTAACAGCAGCGTTATTACTACGTATATTTTGTTGAGTTAAACCTTTTACTCCAGAAGGTATTAATTGTGCTAAAATATGTGATTAATATTTATGTTTTCAATATTAAATTTAATTAATTATATTATAAAATAATTAGAAAATATTTAATTACATTTTAAGAAACATGAATCTTATTCTTAATTCAAAGACTAATAAAATTTAAGCTAAACCATTAAAATTATAAAGTTTTTTTTATTTTATTTATTTAATGGGCTTACCAATTGGTAACGATAAATGAGCATTGGCAGGATTTGCTATTACTACAGTTGAAGTGCTTCCGGCAACAGCAGTTGTTACGACTGTCGCGGGTACCATCTATGAAACACAGACGACAATGTAATAAGCAATAAATAAATGCAATGAGAAAATATAATCGATTAATTATCTATAAATATTTTTACGCTGGAAACAGTAGAACAAGTATTAGTTGCTGATGATATTGGTAGTGACACAATTACGCCTGTTGGTGTGACAACATTACCACCTGTTGCTGCCGAAACATTCAAGGACATCGTAATAGGTTGTGATAAACCAGGAATGGAAACCTGCAAATTTATATACAACACGCAAATAAATAATTTTGTAATAATATCTTAGTGACATATTGTTGCGATATGCATTTCTTAAAACTGTTTATTAACTATCATTAAACGTAGAAATTTGTTTGCATTCTCAAATTTATAAATACACGTTCAAGATAAGGTTCTTATTGACAAACTTCATCTCTTGAATTACTAATTATATTTATATATATATATATTAAATTAGATAATCTGCTGTAGTTTTTAAAGTATTGTAATTTAATTCACCAATTTGCCGATTAGATTTGATCCTTTGTTACCTTCGATCGTAAACAAGCAAATAAACGTAAAATTTGGCCTAAATTAAAGTAATAATGAAACACAAATAAAGTACCTCTAGAAACATATATTGAAGAAAATTTTGTTTGAATAGCTGCATTTTATGGAATTGTGCTGAATAGCTTGAATTTGCAAGCTTAAAAAGTCTTAACTACCGGATGTTAGTTTCACTTATAAGTATTTTAAATTATTGTAATCAATCGGAGGTTATCGATAATTAAAGTGACCTGAACATTCTGAAGTCCATTAATAGTATTTGGTAGACTAGCGAGATTAACGCCCTGTAAATTGACGTTGGCAGTTTGTTGTTGTTGAGTTGTTTGAGTGGGTGGTGTAGTCGGCGGTGGACTAGTCATCGGACTGGTCGATTGATTGCTTTGATTCGCTGACGATGCCGTAAGTCTTTCAAACAGCGACGATGCAGCAGTAATTCCAGGTACCGAATTATCTTCTGTAGGTGTACCTAATTATGATTAAGATCTATTATTTTACATTGAATTAAAAAATATCTAAATCAAATTTTTAAATGGTTAAATTTTGCAACATATTTTTTTAAAAAATTATCCCCTTCAATGAAACAATTATCAGTACGTTATAATTTATTTTTTTAGAAATATTATAAAAAATATTTATCACTTTGATTTATTGAATTAATTACCTGCGAGTAATGCTGACAATCCTGGCATCGATAAACCTAATGCAGAAGTAGGATCTTGAACACGAGCGAGTCTTACTGCTGTAGCTTTAACTGGCTGTTGTTTTGTTAATTGACTGGCCGCTAAAGCCGAACTAAAACTTACTCTAACCTGTTCAATAAATCCACACAATTATTATAACATTTTATTTTTTCATAAATTAAAGGTACTCATTTTGTATATGCTCATGAATAGTCTTTTACTAGAATTATGTTTTCATTTTTTTTTTTTAAATAAAACAAAACCGAGATCGTTTTCATAATAATACTTTTATGATATTCAAGCCTTTTATAAAATATATTATCTTAATAAATAAATTAGAAAGTGCTTACTTGACCAGTGGTACTCGGCACAGTAATTACGTTGCCATGACCCAACACCCTCTGTGGTATTGAAGCTGCATTCAATGAAATCCTTCGCGATTGATTTTTTTGTTGCGTCAAATTTGCAGGACTACTATTTAATAGACTAAGAATTGCAGCATTATTTGATTTTGAAGCAGCTTGTCCGGCACTATTGTTCAACGAAGCAGCAGCAGCAGCAGCATTAGCTAAAAGAAAATTTTTTAAATAATTTTTACGCTCACATTCAACTTTTTGTTTTACATAGAACTTTATTTATTATTGGACGTGTGTATTATGTTTTACCTGCTGCCTGCTGTTGCGTAAATTGCTGAGCAGAATTCATAAGAGAAGTTGCTAAAGCACTTATAGCTAAATTTGTGGAATTTCTTTGTAATGTTACGTCATTCTGGTTACTGGTATCGGTTAAATTACTTAGTGTTCCTGCCTGTAATTGCGCTTGCTAAAACAAAAAAAATTCAAATATCTTATTAATTGGTTATTGAATCGATTTTAAATACATCTACAGAAATCAAAGGACTATATATCAAATAGATTAAATATATATTCTGTAAAGCCAGGCAGTGTGAGAATCATGCATTTGCTGAGATAATGTTCATAGAATAAATATTTGTATTATTAATGAAAGAACAACAATTTACCGATCCTTATAATTAATTTATATTTTATTAAATAATGTACAATTCTTTAATTATATATATAATTCAACCTATAAAAGTAATAAAACGTGATAAAATTAAAAAATCTTAAATATTTCTAAAAATATGATGAAAATTAACTTACAAATTTTATTAGAATTAGAATAATTTGAGAACTAAATACAATAACTATAAAAAAAATACAAAAATTAAATATAGAATAAAATAAAAATAATAAAAATAATAAAAATAATAATTTATTGATTTGAATGATCGAAAATTATTGCCTTGCCATATCTAATAATGTAATATAAGAATATAATAATTTCAAATAAATTCAAATCTAAAATGTATTAATAAAATATAATACTAAAAATTAAAATTTTAAAATACCATAAATACATAGATAATCTGCATAGATGGTTTTCGAAAACATCACTTACTTGATCATTGAAACGAGCTATCTCAATAATTCAAAATTTTTAAATATAGGCTGGATGAATACATGTGAAATTTTAAAAGTCTTTACAGATGTTTTAAAGTATCTTTTTATATTTTTATTGCGTTAAAAAAGTAATCATTATATATACACAAAATTGGATCCTATTAAATATTGTCTTGTTTTTTAATTCTAAAATATATTTCTATCCTATTCTCTTTTCATTATTCATATTTACATTTATACGAATTTGATTACTAAGCCTAAAATGATCTATAGTTACATGATTGGAAAAATCAAAATGTTAAATTAGTGCCCAAAAAACCATGATATAATTCAAAATGAAACTGCTTCGAAATTATGCTCTCTCTCTCTCTCTCTCTGTATATATACGTGTGTGTGTGTGTGTTTACGCGCGCACGCGCATCAAAAAGTATGAAATACGGAGAAGTTACTAATGAAACCTATCATTAAATATTTTTAAGGGCTAATATACTTTGTTAAAACGATTCAAATGCAAGTTTAATTTTTATATAATATAAGAAAGAATCTTTAGATATACAGTAGGTACCCCGCTTGTTTAAAAAGCTTAAAACTCACTAAAACAGGAACACTAGAGATGTTAGTTGGAGCAGGTACAGGTGCTGTTTTTTGTTGAAAAACTAATATGCCTGCAGAACCGTTGCAGGGTGATATATCCGCCGTGGTTATAGCTCCTGCAGTGTCCAACGCCTGACTGGTGAGTGCAGCCCCGCAAGCAACACGGGGCGTGGTAACATTGCAGGTCAGCGTCTGTTCGACGTTAACAGCAACGGGCTCAGCTTGCACAATGCCTGGTATCGACTGAGTGACATTATCCAGGCAGTTGACCAAATTTGTGGACTGCCGAGAACTAGATGCAGCTACCTCGGTCATCGCCTTTATAGAATTAGCCACTTGCCCCGCGAGTGCATTCAGCTGACCACCTGCCAGTGTGTTTAACTGACCTTGTGCACGCGATAAAATCTAGCAGAAAACAGTAAAATACATTTAATTACTAATTACTTTAATGATTTTATTTTATAATTTATTTAAAATTAAATCACTTTTTTTTTAGATAATGATTTTACAAGAAATAATATTTCAATTAATTATAAATAAAAATAATTAAACGATAAATCAATTATGTTAATAGAAACAAAATAATAAATTTTTTATAGTTACCATTATTCTATTTTCAATCAATACAAATTTATTTTTAAATTATATTTTAAAAATATGTAAAAATAACCTACTGGCATATATGTAACATATTTTAACTTTTCAAATATCAATGATTTTAATTACATTTGTTTATGTTCTTCAATCTCTAAATAGTTATTATTATAATATTTAGTTCTGGAAAATTTTCTATCAAATGCTCTATGAGAAACGTAAAAAGTACTCTAGTTATTAAGTATTTTTTAAAGTAAAATAATAAATACATAAATATAAACTAATACTTTTTCTTATTTATTTTATCGCGAATAACTTAATAATTGAAAGAACATTTATTTATTTGCAATTCTAATATGATTGCGAACCTGATGTGCCACTCGTTGGGATTGAGCCTGTTGTAATTGCTGAGCAACCAATTGAGCCTGTTAAAAAAAAGTTAAACAATTACAAATTAAATCAAGTTAATTTAATTTATGAAAATAAACTATAAAAGCACTATATCACTACTTTAACCTGATGGTGCACACGCTGTACATTTGGAACCTGTTGTTGTTGTAACTGCTGCTGTTGTTGTTGTTGCTGTTGTTGTTGTTGTTGTTGTTGTTGCTGCTGTTGTTGTTGCTGATGTACACGTTGCATACCTGGAGTGCATGTAACGCGCGGAGCTTGTCCCGGAACCACATGTTGAATTTTCACATTCTTTCTTCCCTCTTCCGTAAAAATTTCCGTAAATTGTTGAATATAATGATTAGCTTGGGCTCGTGTGCCCAAAGTAAATCTACAATAATTTTTTCAGATAAATCAATTATTTTGATAAATTTTAAATGTTTAAAAAGGTTAAGTATTGAAGTATTATTATAAAATCAACTAATCTTTATAACTAACAAATAATAAATAAGGTTTCATGAAAATAAATTAAATCAAATTTTAATTCAATGAATTAATAAAAAGTAATTAGTAAAAAAGTAATATATTACCTGCAAGAAGATCCCTTTTTTTCACCCTCTCTAAAATCAATATCTACATATAGTTCACCTAGATACTCAGAATTAGACGGTCTTTGCAGAATGGAGAGTTTTATATGATAAATACGTCCTTGTCCTCTTTCGGTCTCTAAGACATACTCCTCGATAAGTTGTGGAAGGCAGTCTTTTGTTTCACGGGGTTGTTCATACGCTTTAGCATACCTGTTTTAATGATGTAACACGGTATATACGATTAAATGAAACATCGAAAATAAACTTTTATCCCAATATACAAAATAATACGTTTCAATATTTTATTGGCAACAAAATGCTGTGAATATATAATACATTATGTTAACCTATATTTTATTTACAAAATACATTTGTACCTTTTATTCATTGATTAATAGTACCATTCAATTGACTAATAAGTAAATAAGTATATAAAACGATATTTTTATAGAAAAAAATCAAAATAATTAATTATTTAATTCAAGTATTTAATTAATAGTATCAATTATTTGATTAAAGTAATTCAATAAACTACAATTTCCTATAATTATTCATTTAATTTAATTTTATCAGTCCTTATAAACAAAATTATAATAATAAGAACTAATTGTAATGATATTTATTCCTAAATTACATTTCTATACTTGAAAATTAACATTAATATATATATAAGTTTAAATTAATTTTTATTAAGGGGGTTTTAAAGATTGAGTAAATTAAAATAAATTATTAATTTTATCAAAATTTTTACACTTTGTAATTTAAAATTTGAAAGGATCAAATTAAAATTTCCAAATTTTTCAATAAAAAAATTATCAACAAGTGACTTCATACTTAATCCATGTCTATAGATAAAGTATAATCATAAAAATGTTTTAATTTGTGAAAATTTATAAATTAATACTAATAATGACATAAATAAAGAATGTATTTTAAAAAAATTAGAATACTAGATACAATACATATATTCTAAAAATTTTTAAATATCTTATAATATGAAGAATAAACACATTTTTGTTTAATTTTTACTTTAAATATCGTTAAATATAATATAATATTTATAATAAGAAATACAAAATAATAGAGAGAAAAAAGAATTTTAATAATGATATATTAACTGAATAATGTAATTAAATAAATTATAATGCAAAACAACCCATATGAGAATAATATAATGTAGCCAAAATTATAAAATTTATAAATCGTGAAATATATTTATATAGCGCTTATAATGAAAATATACAAGTAAATGAAAAGGCGCCAATATATAATATTAAAAAAAGAAAAATCTACAATTTCAAAAATTTCAAATAGTCGGAAAACTTATTAAAATGATAAATATAATCTAGTAAGAATTTCATAATATCAAATGGTACGAGTTACCTTAAAACATCCACAGGAGTATTTGGAGGTAAAAGAGGAGGAATAGATAAAGTCGGTGGCGGACAAGCAGTATTCATACACGATGACCCACCCCGTTTTGAACGCAATTTTTGCATTAAATCTTGTATTGTTAAGCCTTCCGGCTGTGCCAGCTGTTCCAATTTTCTCTTACGATTTACAGTCACCTAAATATATAAAGACATACAATTTTTAATATTGATTTAACTATTCCTACAACAACTACTGATATTTTATTAGAAATTTAATATGCTTTACAGTATCACAGGTTTACATTAGAAAGCTAATTTTCATAATGGTTAATTCACACTATTAATGTTTAAATGCTTTGAATATTTAAATATTCAAATAATTACTTTAATATCTTATAATACCAAGTTATGGATTAATTAAAAATTATTTCAACTATATTTTACTTATCCTATCTTATCTATTTAAAATCACTATCCTATATTTATTATAATTTTTAACATTAATTTTAATTAAAAACTTTCAAAGCTTATACGATATTTATGAAGTTATTCCAAAGAAGCTTACTTCAGAAATAGCTTTAACAATTCAATTATACAAATAAGTTCTTAAATTATACTTAATAAAAAAACTATGTAATACAATACAGTATCATTTGTTTTAATTTTATGTTTGAAATAACTTATCTTTAAATAATAACAGAGTGCTGGACAATTTGAAAGTAACAACCTTCAAAAAAAAGATACTATAACTTCGTAAATGATAGTATTTTTAATTTAGTTCGTAATTTTGTAAATTAATCTCGATTATAAATAATCCGATAACAGTAATACGTCATTAGGGTTTAATAAATTAAAAATAATTGAAATATGAAATATTAATGTAAACAGAACTCAAAAGATTGCTACAGAAATATGGAATATTGAATAAACAGTTTTGAAAATTATTTTTTAAATATATTTCACTAATCTGTTAATTTATAAAAGTTTTTCCTTATATTAACTGTCACATTAATTATCACATGAATAAATTGGATAATTTGCTCAAATAAATCCTACTAATATTCACCTGAGAAAACTTTTTAGCCTGGCGGACAAGTTGATGGTCAGCGAATAACGCTTTTGACTGTCGCAAGCGAGTTGTTGCCAAACTAGGTATAGGATTAGGATCGAGACATAGTGGGCCTTGAGTAGCCGCTACTATACGTGACTCTAGTATTAAACGCTCTTCGTGACTCCAATCGCCATCACTCGTGAGTGTAGATACATCAGAAAGAACGCTCTGTAGAAAAACGTTGTTGAAAATGAGTATCATTCTACTTATCTTTTTTCTAAATAATTAATTATCTTAAGCCAATAATATTCGTATTATGAATAAGGATAATAATGAAACTAATAATATAAATGAAAAAAATCTCATATAAAAATCATAAATTATAAATTTTTCATTCTTATTTAATTTGTATAAATTTATCATTGCAATTTTCTTACAGTTATTTATATCTATAATAATTTAAAATTGTAAATGGAATCTTTCATGGGCATTCGTGAAAAATTTGTAGTTTTAAAAATTGGTAATGAACCTACTTGGGTGCTAGGCTTCAAAAGAACATGATGTATTTCAGGTTTGTTATGAGGGTAAACTTTGCGATAGTCTCGCACTTCAGCAATTATACAGCCATCATAAAATAAATATGAATGATTTACTTCTAATTGTTCAGCTAACATTGCAGGTAACTGACCATTATCTATGCACGATAAAAGTTCACCCTGCTCATAACCCATTAGCTGAGTTTCAGACACCGATGCATTTTTATCATATTGAATTCCTTTGAGACTAAAAAAAAAATATATTAGCATCCTCAATATGACAAAGAACGATTACTTGTTAGCTATTAACAAAATTAAATTAATAAGAGCTTATAAAATTGGATCTTTTGTTTGAAATTAATTTATAAAAATTTGTTTAATATCTATTTTTTAAATTCAGTTTTAATGCTTAATTCGAAAACTTAGTATCCGAGGATGAATAAATTCTGAATTCAAATAAAAACCTTCTTTCACGGAAGGTAAAAGAGAATTAAAAAATAAAAATTAAAAAATTACATTCTAAATGAAGCAATAAAGCTTCAATAAATAAAAATAGCAATCAAATTTTAAGAAAAACAAATATAAACACTGTTTTTTAATAAGTTTTCTAATAAAAAAGATAAATTTTCTTACCTATTTCTTACACCTAATGAATACCCTTTATTACCAGCGTAAAGATTGACAATTAATGTGTGCAATCCATCCTTTTGTACTAATCTTCCTAGTAAGTCACATTCGCTTTCAAGATTGTTCTATATATAATAATTTAAGATTAATATTTTAGAAGCAAAGATTAACTAAGTTTAATTATTATTTTTTTTTTATTAAACATACCAAAACTGAATCTGGAGTTGCATGGGGTACCTGTGAAAGTTCTTCGAAGTAAAGCCTTGTAAGTTTAGTTTGAATACTATGTTTTGAATAATTCTGTTCTTTCTTATGGCTTATCACCATAGATCTAGATAAATTATCCAAAGTAATATCCAGGGCTCCTTGTCCCTGTCCATGAGCATCTCTCTGATATCTTGAAATCTGATTTATCATTTCCTAATAATGAAAAAATATCTATTTTTACCACTTATTTATACTTTAATATAAAATTTATAAGATTGATAAATTACCTGGGCCTGCCTACAAGCTTCTTCTAAACTAAAGACTGATTCGATCATCATGATACATTGATGCAAGGTTCACATTCATCATATCTTACAATATAGTATGTATATTAAGCTCTAAAAAGTATAAATTTTTAAATTATAGTTGTGAGTTATAATGACAGATGAATCTAACAATAAGAACAAACAAAAATATTTATAGGATGAGAGGCAGATGCAAATTGATCCAAAGCCATATCAACAAAAAAGACTTTTTATAATAAACCAGATAAAGAAAAAACATGAAAATACTAACCGTATAAAACTCGAATATTTCTTGAAAATGTAACAGGTACAGACACGTTAAAATTTGTTTCACGGTGTCACAGATAAAAAGGAGGTTAACTAGTAAAGAGAAGAAAGAAGAGAAAGAATGAGATATAACTTATGGGATGACGAGCGCGTCTTGACTCGATCGTACGTGACCGTGTAATCAATGGGTACCACAAATACAGGACAGGTTGTCGTGCTCATGTTTTCCTCGCAAACAGACGAGGAAGTAACTCTTGGACGCGAGACTAAACATCGGAGCGATGGCAATGTCAGATTGTCGACAACCGAAAAATACGGTATGCTCTCTAGACATAACCTTGATCACGTATGCGCACCGCAGGCAGGCGAAGCAGCGGTGGCGCGACACCTCGAATAGAAAGAACGTCCCAAAAAGTCGATCAGAACTGAGAGCGATCAGTGCCTGCAGCAATAATAGTGATGGCACTAGCAGCTCGAAATTAAATAATAGAAATTCACACGCGTACGAGGATACCCTTCAAGGGAGAATAAAGAGTTATATCTCGCGCGCAACCAGCAGACTAGCACCGGTCGTTTTCTTGATATATTTGAAGATCTAAGGATAAGCGGCCAAGTCCAAACTCCACCTTGGGCACTATACAATTGTCATTTTCATAGATTGAACTTTTCGAATGAGACAACACGACAGGCACACAGCATGTAACCTATAAACTACAAACAACGTAGTCGAACTACTAATACGCGCTACCAGTCACCAACCTTACTACCAATGCATAATGGAACCTCTGACTGGTTGGGGTAGGTTTTCCATCTTCTCTCTCTTTATATATACATCTATCTATCTCTCTCTCTCTCTCTCTCTCTCTCTCTCTCTCTCTCTCTCTCTCTTTCAATTCATGTGCAGTTTAATATATGTACGCGCGTGCGTGCATGCATGTGCCATAGAGTGCTGCGTGCAAGCGAATGGCAAATACATATATCTCCTGCCTTTTACTAATCCTAGCTCACACGACTGACTGTAATATATGTAACACCTTTTGTGATGATTCAGCAACGTAACCATAAATTCACGGCACCCTGAACTACTAGTGATTTGCAAAAAAGTATCGCGGAAGCACATTATGTGATCATTAAATAGATTGTAATTCTAAAATATCTGATTTGCTATAATAAATTTGCATTATAAAGTTATCTAATAAATTCATGACGTAATAAAAGTCATACAAAACTTCATAAAATATTATAGAAATTCTGCTAAAACATAATAGCAAGTTCAAATATGCATAAATTTTTTATAATACTAAACCATAATATAAAACAAACAGACAATTCGTTTTGAATTTTCTAAAAAGAAAAATGTATGAAAAAATGATTTTAAAAAATTTTATTTGTAATACAAATTTAGAATATAAAAATGATCGACATCATAATAAATAACGAGTTTATGTAAATACAGGTTTATATTGTATAATGACGATATTTATTATGATTTGTGAAATACAAATATTTATCAATTAATTATGTATAAGATATGAATTAAAAATGTTTGTATTAATTAATCGGTCTTAAAATTCGTTAACAGTTTAGAAATTTTTAGCTGAAATGAATGCGAACAACTGAAGTTAGAGATTACGATCAGGAGGCGGTTTTAGTTTTTTCAAGTATAATACAAAGTTCACTAGTTTCTTCATATACTAATAAAAATCTTCTTAGTCGCAAAGTAAACATTTTAAAACCATTCTCAAAAAGTGTTTTAACATCACCAGGATTGTTTTTATTACTACTGTTTTCTTGTATTATTTATACATTATCCTTTTATTTAACGATATACAAAAATAAACAAAGTATCGAAGCAATCGATTGATTAATACATATAAAAATACATTAAATTTATCTATTTACATCTATTTTTTGTTGAAATCTATCATAATGAAAATTTTTTTTTAATAAAAAAATTCAAAACCATTAAACATTTATTTCACATAAGTTAAATTCACTTTATTTAAATATTTTTTATTTAATTTATATCATTAAAATAAATCTTTACATTTATATTATCTAGAAATTTTCATAGCGTTTTCTCATTCTCGTTTTCTACATTACTTTAACTTTGTACTACTATTTTATACTTCTAAACATATTATTTCAAAAACTTTTACTTTAATCTTTATTAATATTTATTAAACTTTACTTATCTAATCTTTTCATAAATACTTTTGTTTTATGTTCATTAAGAATAACAAATAAAAAATAATATTGTATTAATACTTACTTTCAAGTTATCTGATAATAGTAAAAGCGTTAATAGCATCCTACCATAATCGAAATATTTTTCAATCATAAATTTTTCTAATCATCTTTATCTTTTTTATATTAAAGTATTTATTTTGTTCAGAATTTTTTAAAATTATCTAATAAATTGAATATATTCTTAATAATATTTATTATCAACATTTTCGTTATGAAATAATAATTTATTAATTCCCAAAAGATATTAAATTTAATATTATTATTAAATAACATTAGTTCTGACATTCTTATTCTCAATTAAAATTTTATAATTTATGCTAAGATTTTTTTAACTTCTTATATACACATCATTTAAACAAACATTTGAGAGATATTATTTAATTGAACCTTTTTTTTTGGCTTCAAGACATTATGATATACTGAAAGATAATTGGCAATATGTAAATAATTAGTTTTATTAATGAACATTAAATTAATTTCTATGTTTGTATATAGAAATTAATATTAAAGCATTCTTACAATTAATGATATTAAATTTACCAGTAATTTAATATATTAAATTGTATTTAACTTATTAAATCTTCATATATTTAAAATTTTTTAATATTATTTGAAAATTTATTTTCAATTCTATAACAAATTTTTCGTCACTTATTATATTTTTCTTTATTGATTAATAAGAACGCAATTTACGTTATTTAATAATATTTTTTATATAGAAGTAATATATTTCAAATTTCGTTCAAAATTAACTTTGCAAAATGAAAAATTGTAATATTTGTTGAAATTAATTTTATTATTTTTTCATTACATTTCTTCGACATAATTTTTTTCTTTATTATTCTATATTAAGCTTTAAATACAAATGAAGATCTCAGTTTAAAAAAATTTCCAAATAATTATTTATAAATATCTAATAATTATTTGTAAATGTCAATTTTATTTTATTTATATTAATAAATAGTTTTATAAAATGAAGTGAACGTCCAAACATATAAATACATACTGATAAGTTGTAATTTTATTCTATATCTAATTTCATCTGGTCTTTCTATCTTCCTTTTACCTTACATGATTTCTCAAAGTTTTAATACTTTATTCTTCTCTTACTATTTTTCCACTTTAGTTTTGAGTATTTTTATGATAATAATATATAAGATTAATTGTGATTACAATTTACTATGTTTAATCTCTATGTATTTTTAACAAAAGTGATATTTAATTTATAATAACAATAAATATAATAATTATGAAATTAATTTACCACATATTAATTAAACAATTTCAATTTATCATACTTACATCTTATCCTTTTCTCTATAAATTTCTCTAATAATTATTGACATTTTCATTTTACTTTAGTTAACTACGTTTAACGTTTATTTTTATTAACCTTTTTCTTATTAGGAACTGTTCAAGAAAATATATAATCACAGATTATTGTGAATTTTAACTCACATAATAAATGTCCAATCAAAAATGGTGAGACAAATCGAATACTCTAAAAAGTACTATCTGAAAAGTAACAATAAAAATAAATAAAATTGTAAATTCTTTAGCAGTTAATACAATTGTATACATTTTATTATTAAGTTTAGATTATTGGTTCGAAATAAAGGTATAATTCTAAAGAATAATTATTGATTTATAGTTATTTGACAATTATTTTTTATATAATGTATAATACTTAGTATGTAATTTAGTTTTGAAGAATTTAGATATTTTTAGAATTTATATATTAAATATTACTATTTATTATCTTCGGAAAACTGAAAAATATTATCACTTATGTAAAAAACTTATTTTACATAGTACATTAGAGCACGACTATTTATATTATATAAGCATATTGCACAATAGTGGAAGAACGGGACAATTAATTGAATACAATAACGAATTACTAATAATTTCATGATGAAAATTTGCTCATTCTATAAACGTCTTTTTATCTATAAATGCTCTGTAATCTTTTACGCAGTTCTTTGGCTGCATAATGAATCATATATTTATTGTTCTATTTCGACAAAATTTAACGTCTTTGAATATTTTATCCGTAAATGTACTGAATAATCCACATTAGTAATATTCGTTCGATGTGATAAATACTTCCAGTATAATCTCAATAGTTCTTACATATTAAACTTATTTTGTATTGTTTAATAAAAGACAATATTACTCTCTTATTATTGTTATTTATAATAATAATCTTTAAAATGTGCATAAAATATATATAATTAAGAATAATTCGATGTATTTGTGTTCGATTTAAATGATTTAATATTCATCAGTCAGTACTTCCTGTACAGAAATTCAGTAATAATTAATATTTTTTTACTTTATTTATTTTCCAGAAAATATATAAAAATTTTCATTTTTTACATTATTTTTATCTACTATCAAATATTTTTCGTTAATAGCAATGAAAAGAATATTTACATCTTTATTAATATTTTAACTATTATTACATTTGTACAGTTGAAATTCAGCATAAAATACTATTGTAAACTATAATAATAAAATGTTATAATATATAAAAATAATTTATTTAAATTTTATTTAAATTTTACAATTACGCGTGAAAATTTACTCAATAAAAAAATATATATTATAAATAGAAAAGCATTTTTAAAAATTAGAAATATTTTTGATTAACTTCAAATGTCGAAACTAATCTAAAGTGTATCCATAGAAATCAAAATAGTAAATTCTTACTATTAATAGTTCTTTTTTAAGTATTAACATTGTTCGAAAGACTTAATGCATTTTACATTCTTACACATACAGTTTCATAAATCTTACACTCTTAAATCCATTTTATTAGTTTACTAAATTCATGATATTCTGATAATAGTTAAAACTCAAGTTTCATTCGTTCTACTCAATTTCACTTTTATCAGTTCCAAATTTTACGCCATTTGTAATATAAAATATTTATCGGTATATATGAAAATAATAGAATAAATTTTACTTAAATTTTTTAAAAATTTTAATTTTTTTTATATATAAACCTTATCTTTGCCAATTAATAGGATAAATCTTTTTTTTTTATCTTGTATTAAGAAATTATATATTTTTTATTAATTTCTAATACTGATCATTTACATGCAAATTCTAAAATGTTAATTTACATTTTAAACAATTAAATCTATCTCATTAAAGAATAATTAAAACAGTATAACTACTTAAGTAATGACACAATAATATATTATAGTAGCACACAAAAAATAATACTTTTTAAAATTTATTCTCGTTTCATTAAAATTTAAAATATATTAGGATTATTATATACCTTTATATTTATTAATATTCGTTTTAATATTTATTAATATTAAAGATATCAAATTCAAATCAAGTAAGATTTAAAAAATGGATTTATTTCACATAAATTTTACAATTGTGTTAACTTAAAACTTGTATTATTAAAAAAAAATCCAATATGCAAATAATATTATTGCGTAATATGTAATCCTATTCTCTTTGTACAGTAGTATTTTTTCTTATAAAAACAGTTGACCTAGTGGAATAATTAATAATTCGTTTAATTAACTAGATAGTGCTCGAAAAAGACTAAAATTCATTGAATAATCTTCAAATATTATTGTGCATAAAATGCATAAGCCACCATGCAAGTTTATTTCTAAATCGAAGGATCTGGAGGAATAAAGAGGAATATATTTAAAATGTAATGATGCAATCAAGATATCTTTATTAGCTTTCAATTTCAGACTATGTCTAATGACAAACTAAAATAATATATTAAGTAATATGATAGAAAAAAAAATTTGTTTTAACCCAGCTTTATAATTATTTAAGGTTATAAGTTAAATAATTTCTAAAGTTAAAAATAAATTAACCCGTTAACGCATTGGTTTTTATTGAAATCATGAAAAAGACAGGCTCAAGTTAATAATTGGGTGAGTACTCTGTAAGATAGTAGTGATGTTAAAAAAAACAAGCGTGTATTTGGCGCATGCGTAGAAAAAGCACGTGTAAAGTACTCCTGTCTTTCAATAGTTTTATTGTGAGAAGTAACTACGTTTTACGTACCTGTAATTGCAGGAGACCTTATACATGGCAATACATGTTGTTATCCGAAACGATACAGCTCTCTACGATCCAACAATCGGCCAAGTAGAACATCTGCCTTATCTCGCCATTGACATATGCACCATATTCACACAAACACTACGCTGTAGATTACTAAGGTTTAAAATTGACAGGTTACGACCATTGTGGGAAAGGAACACTGACGTAAGCGTTGCCGTAAAACCACGTACTCCCCCCCCCCTCAAGCTCACATATTATAGGCTATAGTGCAGTAGTTGCGTGCCAATAGTCCAACTGCGTCTTATGATAATACATTAAGAAGTAAGGGCCAGAGCCTCACGAATAAAACAATGTTTTCGATAGTCAGTATTTGTTGATTAGCGTCGATTTGTGTGCACAGTCTCCGATATTCCATTTCATTGTATCAAAGACACGCGGGGCGAACGTATGCTTAGCCGATTGTTGTCGACTCGGGCGGGGGGGAAGCTCGAACTGTCGGAATTGTCAAGAACCACTACAACGAAAGTAAGTTTCATTGGATTCGAAGGTTGCACGGCAGAAGTATTATACAACGATCTCAGTTAATTAACTGCATTTATACGGCATGCGTGATGAGAGCCTTTGGACACGATGGGCACAAGAGGCACGGCTATAGCCGAGAAGTCATCCGACAGGGTACGGCTCAAGGTCCTCTATGACTTTGAATACGAAACTCTGGGTAAACAGATCAGAATTGTGAAAGATGAGCGACTCCTGCTGTTAAAACGTACAAATAATGACTGGTGGCAGGTGGTAAGGCCTGCTGATTTGAGCAGTATTTACGTACCAGAGCAGAGCACCTTCTACGTGCCTACAGGTTACATTGTCGAGGAGGATATCCTACCAGATAGCACACGTTTCTATATTACTAACGATAAAATGATTAAACAACAAAACGAAATAACAACTCAAGTTCCTGTGCTTTGCCAACAGCATTCTAACCAGGAGGAGGTGCAACAGGTTCAAGAAACGTGTACCAAGGATGAACCAAGGAAGGCACATGAATCTTTTAGGAATGTCATAAGGAAGCTCTCTGGTAATTTGAGCTCGATTAACGACAGCAGCAAATCCACCAAGCCTACAAAATCTTCTAAAATGATCAAAAACTTAAGAAAGAACTCTGTGGGCTCTAACGAGGATGTTAAAATATTTACTAATAAATGTAGTCTTGTGCCTCTTAAACCTAAAGATTCCTGGGATAGTTCTCCATTTGGAATGTGCTTCGGTCGAGATATGAAAAATTCTGATGCACAGGCGCTAAATCCATTTCAAGAGGAGTTGGAAAATGCGTTATCCAATAGAATCTCTCAAAAGAAAATTGTTTTGAATCCAAAATTAGGAATAAATAAGCAAGTGAATCAAGTTAGCGAAGAAAAAGAGAAAACTTCCAAATTTGAGAATATTCAAGATAAATGGGAAAAGGCTTCTGCACAGATCTTGAAAAAACCAGATAATTTTCACTTTGTATCGTTGACAAAAATTAAAGAAGATGCACTTAAAAAGCAAAATACATTTTATGATTATCAAAAAAGTGAATTAACAAATGATACAAGTTTTGACACAAAGAATTTATTAGAACCTGGAAAAATTCTTAACCAGAGCAAAAATGATTCAAACAAATCATTGCAACAGTCAAATAAAATAGATGCTTCTAATACACACATACATAGCACTGTTTCTGAAATAAATGATGAAAATGTTATTCAAGAATCGTTAAAAAAGCAAGATATTGATAGGTTATTAATAAATGACAAGAGAAAAATGTGGGCTATAGAGACATTAATGTCAGAATTACTGGAATCATCTATAAATCTTAAACCAGTTGGTTCAATAGAAAATAATCAAAGGAATATATCTGGACCAAATCAATTAGCACAGGAATTGCATGAAATGAGTATATCTAGACGTTTTGAAAATGATGAAATTCAAATGAATTTATTGGACAATAAGCACGATTATACCAAAGAAAATAAACAGTTAAATAATAATAATAAATACAAAATAGAACCTTGGAAAAGAAAAATTTTTGATTTTCCACCATGTTCAAATGTTATGAAAACACCAAAAAGTCCAACCACAAGATCACCAAAATTACTTGATGAATATAATGAAGCAAATATTTTGAATGATAATGACAGACCAAGAGAAATTAAGGGTATACCAGTGGAACTATTGGATTATGAATCGCCCTCATATTCGAACATTTCCATGTGCATAAAACGTGAGAAAGTGCCATGTAAGTTGAATATGCCTATTAAGGATTTTCGCGAAGAGTTACAACTTACACCATCCCTCGAGAAATTGGCTAGTGAAATCAAATTTTTGCCAGCCAGTGCAATATCTGTTGAATCGGAAAATGAAAAACATTCTATTGACTTAGGTAAATATAAAAGTTTATTTATTCACACGTAACAAATATATCAACAAACATTGCATCAAATAAATTTATAATAATGCAAATCTTATATACTGAGTTTAATATACATTTGTACAATTTAATATACAATTTAATATACAATTTACACTATAAAACTTGTACATCAAGAATTCTTAATATATATATTCTCAATATATATTCATTTCAGAATGTTTTAAATTTTAAAACTGAAATATAAAATCTTGCTGTTTAAAATAATATTATTTTCCTGTATAATTCCATTTGACTAGAGAATTAAGCTTAAAAGAAAATGTTAAGCCATTAACTTTATTCTTGGTAAGACCTTAAAGGTTAAATTTTCTGCTCAAGTACAATTTAAATTAAAAAAAAAAATATTAATATTCATAAAAAATAAAAAAACATTCGATTTTGCTTTATTTACATGTTTTTATTTATTTACATATAATAACAATGTTTACAAATTTTGCAATAATTAATAATTGTATAGGAAATTATGAGATTTAATATGACATTCATTATTTTATTAAGTATTATATATTATTAAGTATATGTTATAAACGAAAATTAAAAACATATCAACATAAATAGTTAATATCTTAAAATGGCAAATTTATTCATTTTTAATTAATAATATAAATTTTAATTTTCTTTACTTAATTTCTTTTTAAATAAATATTTTTATTATTTTATAGAATTTTTAAAAAATATTGAATAAAAATAAAATATATGGCAAATTATCCGAATTCGTGTTGTATATTTAGATAAAATTCTATAAAATAACCATTTAAAGATATAAACATGGTATGAACTATTTTCATTTTATTTACATAAATTTATATTTTTTGTATTAATTAATTTACAATAGCGATATCGATCTTAAAATGAAATATTTATATCCCATTGTATACGTTTCACATATTTACAATCTTATGCTTTTCTGGATATTATTATTGCATTCGTACATAATTTCAAAATATTCAAAAACATTAATTATTTAAATTTTAATGATACATTATAGAAGATGCAGTATTATTTATTGAAACTTAAAAATTAGCTTATATTAAAAAAATTTTATTATACATAATATTTGTCGTTATACTATCATCCATGTATGAATTTAATTTTTTCTTATATTTCATAAAATTATAATAAGGTAACATATAACCTTATTTTTAAATAATGAATAAAAAAACAATAAACGTACGTTTAAAAGACTAATTTTCAAATTAAAATTTTCAATAGAAACTAAAAAGATTATCTAGTATTTTAATTAGTTCGGTTACGTTTAGAGAATTTATAACAGAATTCGTTTTACGAACTGGTAAATATTAGAAGAAATTTAAATTCATATTGAAAAATTAATTTCTAAATTTATAGTAAAGAAAAATTTTCGATACAAAATTTTAATACCTAATTACAGTACAATTTCATTTCAGACTTATCCTAAAATTTCAAATTAAATTCGCTGACATAATAAAATTTTATTTCCGTACACTTAAAAAATGTAATATAGTATATTTATTCATTTTTTTAAATTATTGAAATATCTATATTAAAGTTGAAAATATTTTTAGAATTTTGTATCTAAATTTTTCGATGAAATAGACACAGAGAAGCATTTCAATTTGATAATCTTAGTTGTTCTTTTCATATTATTATTTTAAATTATCCAATATAATTTCAAATTTAAACACCATTTATATAAAAATTAGCAAAGAAACAAAAATTATACACAATAGTTTAGTCTATAATATTTATAAAGTATTTAACAAAATATAAAAGATTATAAATAGTTAAAATATGTTTAGTTACATAATTTAATAAAAAATATAAAATTTAAATATGCATTGAATTTTTTTAACATATTACAATGATTTTTGTAAACATTTAACAAATAATAAAAATTTCATTATAATTTACGCTTTCAGAGTACCTAAAAAGCATAGAAATTATTTAGCATTGAAATTACAACAATGTAGCTTTATATAATTGAAGCTTGTATGGTCACACTTATTTCACAATTATTATCTTTTGAAGAATATCTTAGTTATAAAGATGACAAAAAGTAATTTAATAATCGGTATCGATAATATACTTAATAACTTGATAAAAAATTACCAACTATTTATTTGACATTTTTAATACGTTCCAACCGAATATAAATAATGCAAAACATTTACTTTATCCAAAGTTATTAAAATATCTAAAGTTAATTCAAATTAATGCTATTGTTAAACGAAGCAACTATTATTTTTATTTGTATGATACACAATTATTTTCGATAAATGCTACAGCATATATTATGAACATAATTTTACAAATGTATATGATATTAATTTATCTAGAAGTTTAAACCAAATAGTAATAGTCTTATCAATTATTTTATTCAAGTTGTGACTGGTTATTGAAAATTGAAAATAAAACTGAGAAAATATTTTTTAAATTTGTTTTTAAAATTGTCTTTCAATAATTTTAATACGCTTAATGAATTATGTTATTAATATAAATCAGTTTTATAATTGTTTTTTATTGTACATTTTAGTTATTTTATTATTAAAATATTTAAATTTATTATTCGGTTTTTGTACAAACCTTTCGCTAACGGTAAAATATGTTAGAATTTGAAATTATAAACGAAGATAAAGTAGAGTACATTTATATATTGTTTAAATATTATTTTTTAATAATAGCACGTGAGTTATTTTCGCTTTATAAATCCTGTTGCTAAAAGATACTGCAGAGTATTCGGTTATAAATAAATAATAGTATTAAACTTTTAAACATTTTTTGATGACGGATAATTTCTTGGCAATATATATTGAAAAATTTTTTATAGAATTATATGTAATAATTATCGTGGATTCATAAATGATATCAAAATTGAATAAAAATCGTAATGGAGAAATTGTAATGTATATAAATGTACGGGTCTGCTTTCTGTTTTAAATGCATTCCCTTTGTACATCAAATGTATTTTCAAGCAGGTTTTCAACCAAGAATCATTTTCCTTTGCGTAGTTGACATTCCAATCAGCTCCACTAATATGAAAAAATTATGAAAAAGAGTTTCAAGATCTTGACATGAATTTTTATTGAATTAAAATTGTTTTGGCAATATATTTAACCTTAAAAAAATAAATAAAAGCAAAGTATAATTAACGCTTAGTATCAAGCTTTCTACGTAAACACTATAAAACGTAATTTTATGCGTGTAAAAATCATTTGAATTTTATTAACTTCAAATTATTGGCTTACTTTTTATATGTATAATTTTACCGAAACTAATATACTTTTAACTTTTTATACAAATTTAAGCTGAATTTAATGCATTTGTTTTCATTTGGATTCGTGTTTTTCATGCATTCATACATTATTCATATAAGTATGTTGATGATTGAAATGCATCATTAAATACCGAATAAACGAAAAAGCCTTATTAAAATTAATGCTCTTTTGAGTATTTAAGATTATTTTTTTAAGGTGCATTATCATTATTTTATAATACATTTTAAATAATAATTTCATTGAATTTAATCTCTTATAATGTGTAAATTTCAATTAATTTCTCAGATTGTCCAACTACAACACTGAGCCAGGACTCGCTGCGATTATACAAACGTCGCTCTAAGTCTGACGGCGCCTTGAACAAGCGTGACCCTCGTCGCCGCGATAGTGTTGACTCGCAGCGCGGTGTATTTGAGGTAAAATTCAATCAGCAACAACAGCAGCTGGGGCGCAAATATACGCAAAATGAAATGCAACGCGGTAGCAGCGGTCTTAAACATAATGTGACGTCCCAAGAATACTGTTATCGAGTGGAGCGTGGTAGCCAGGCGATGCGTCACAAACTCAACAGGAAATCTCGGAGTCTTGGTGACCTAGATTGTTCGGAAATGGAGGAGGATCGACCAGATGACGAGGCGCGCGAACCCGAGTCAAGGAGACGCTATAAACCTGTACCTAAACTCAGATCTAAGGAATCATTCAGAAAAATAAAACCCTTTATACCCTTAATTGCGGTGAGCAGGCCGATATTCGTATAACCCCCTCTTACCAATTTAAAAAGAAAAATTGAGTTTTAATGTACAAATCTACATCCCGACAGTCAGCAGCAAGCACAGAGCGTTTAGCGCCGAAGCCCGTTCCAGCAAAGCGTCGTATTCAACAAAATCAGAAGCGTCAACCCTACGACAGCAGCTATGACGACCTCAGTGAAATAGACATCGAGCGCAGCACCGCCGTCGGTTTTAAAACCTTACTGCGAACCTCAGACAGCGGTTCTGAGGAGTACCTTCAGTATAAAACATTCCCTGCAACGGTTAAGCCTCAGCAGCTTTCTTATGAGCAGTCGCGTCTCGTTGGTGTCCAGAGCATTTCACGTTCTGATGGCAACGTCAATCTTACTAGGAGCCATTCCGACGAAGTTATTCTCAGTTCGACCTCGTGCTCCTCTGCCAGTCCTTCTCACCTTCTCGATGGCAGTATTGAGAATCTCGTTAACTTACCCTTCGGCTGGACGCAAGCTTACGATAACAACGTTAAGAGGCTTTGCTTTATTAATGAAAGAGGCGATAAGGTACTACTATTAAACCTTCGATTTTTTTTATCCCACTCCTATACTTAATTTTTACTAGGCTCTATGATATAACTTTTGTAAACCAATCCTATTTACAAAATAATACGAAAAACGTGTTAACACCATATTATTATTTTTTTTACCCACTTATGAAAGATAGCTAGGGTATATCATGAGAAAGTAGAGCAAAGTATAACTATCTAATGCCCTTTTTGTACAATTTTGTAAAATGTCTCGTTACTACTTTCTACCGCTTGTATGCATATCCAATTTCATAATATTAATTATTTTAATAATACATATATATATATATATATATATATATATATATATATATATATATATATATATATATAAACGTAAATATTCAAGCATACATAATACGAATGAAACCAAAACAGAATATTGGGGCATCAGATAATTTTTTATGAAAAATGTTTGATATTTATTTTGTTGAGGCGCAATCGATATTGTTAACAGTGCTGCATGAGAATAAAAGACAGAAATTTTAAATATTAAATGAAATATACAATGAAATATTTAACTTAAAATAGGATGGAAAAAGTCAAGTTTATTGCAAATGATATAAAATTAAATAATGAAGTGTTATATTTTTATAGTAATTATACAATAGGCTATACACTTTAATATAAACGAAACATATAAATAAAATAATAAAACAAGAACGTAAAGTATATTTGTTATTGTTATAATTATTGAGCATTATATTTTAATGGTATATTTATGAAAGATCTTAAAATAAATCTAAAAAGGTAGCGAAATAATAATAAAAGTAACTTAAAAATAATGTACTCTCATTTAATGTACGGCTCTTAAGATAAAGAATTTTAAAGTTGCTAACCCGTATAATTTTTATAATTTCGGGAATCAGAATCAGAGATAAATTAATTAAAATATTACTAAACTATTAATATTGTTTATTCGTGTTCGAAATAATTAGAAAGATCTCGATATAAACTTATTAATGCCATTATTATAAACATTAACATTTTTTATTTAATTATTAATATTTAAATATTATTATTGATTTACCTCATTAATTAGAAAAAAATATATAAGATACTTAAGTATTTCTATAAATATTTTGTAATTTTAAAAGGTTAAATTACCTTTTTAATTATATAATTTATTTTCCATTAAAAAATCACCATTTTAAAATATAGTTAGTTAAGGATTTTTAAATTGTCGATAAATTAAGCGTAATAATACTGATTTTTTAGATAACTGTTTATATTTGCACAGTTATGTATATTTATTATATATTACAGCATACCTACGCAGGCGTCGCGCATACATTAAATATATTATATGTATGTGTAATTTTTAACATTTTTGTTTATTTAGTGGTTTTCTTCAAACGATTCTGAAGGCAAAATATATTTTTTTGAGGAAAACAGTAATGAATCATCCTGGGCTCTTCCAACAGTTATAAATGAAAATCGTGTTAGGACTATATCTAATGGTGATTGGCCTCAACTTTTTGATGGAAATATGGTACATTTGTAGATTTTTAAAAGAATATTTTTGTAAAAATTATAATATTCATTGATAATGCTTTATGTACTCTACTTTAGTGTATCCTCAAAGAAGGAATGATCAATAAAACAAAAATAACGACTGAAAATGGTAAAAAATTGAGAAAAACTTGGAGCACATCTTATGCGGTATTAACTGAGCTCTTCTTACTATTTTTTAAAGATGCAAAAACTTTTGCGGCAATGGTGTGTGCTACTATTTAAATATTTTAATATATTTCTATATGAAAATGAGATTTATGTAATTGAAAATTAATTTGAATTCTAGAAAATGGACCAATCGGCAACAGCTAAACCGGATATTTCAGTGGATTTGAACGGTGCCTTTATAGAATCTTCAGAAAAACTAAGCAATCGAAAAAACGTATACCTCATAAATACCTTATTAGGATTGCAAGTTCTCATACAATGGGATAATGCATTTATAATAGCTGAATGGTATCGCGAGATACACGATGCCATCCAGAGGCTGGTGAGTTTAATTTTGTTAAAAAAAATGTAATATAATCAATCTTTTCATCATGTTATTTTTATTTAATTCACAGCCATTTAGTCAGGAGTATGGGAAGTCTTCATCATCAAGAGAATGAAGATGACACTAAGAGTACCTTTTTCTGATTTAAAATTCGTTAACTTTCCAAAGTCTAGAATCATGTTAATAACAGAAGAAAAAATATAATAAATGTTATTTGAGTATTTTTGTATTACTCGGTATAAATTGCGTATAATTATAAATAAAATATAAAAGTAATTCTTACATAAAAAATATCTAAATTAATGTCTTTTTTTATATAAAGACAAGTTTAATACGTATAAAAATAGCCATTTTATCAACAATTTTTCTTTACTTATATACATTAATTTTACTGAAAACAGCATAATTGTGTTCTAAAGTAAAAGAAAATAAGAAAAGAAAAATCCACGATAATATGTTGTTGATATATAAATTATAGCATTTTTTTAAAGCTATTCTCCCTAAGGCAATGTTTGAGTAACGTCAACGATACATAGAATAAAAAGATAAAAAATCTTAAAATATAATATAAATTGATCACAAGTTAGGAAGAGTACCGAAGACGAATGATATTTGACAAGGATCGTTCAAATATCCTTAAAACGCCCTCTGTATTTTCATGGCATAATAAATTGGCTGCTGGTGTTGCTTCAACAGAATAACACCATGACAATATTGTCAAGATTGCTTATTAAGAATTTTTCGTAAATCATCTGGTAATGTTTGTGTAATTTCATTAATGCGTTCGTGCAGCATTTCTTGAACCGAATATTCCAGAGGTACATCATCAAGATTACTTTTCTCCAACTTTTGACGAATTCTCAGAATCATGTCAACCACTTCGACTTCTTGCTTATCTCTTACCCAGGCAGTCAAATCCTAAAATAAAATTCAAACGTATAATTAATTATAAGAATTTTTTGCAATTGTGTCACTTTAAAAATAATATAACTTAAATCGTAGCGCAAGAGCTTTCATAAAAATCATAGAAAATGAATTTTATTAAACATTAAAACAAATATTATTAATAATACCGCTTGAGATAAAGCTTGGAGCTGAATGGATTGCAACTTATTAGTAAGTTCCAGATACCTTGCCCGGAACCATCCTGAAAAATTAGGTGATCTAAAGAATCTACGATAAAGACCAACCCAATCGCCTTTTATTCCTGTCGTTAACTGTGGACCAGCACTATTTAACGTTGCTAAAAAGTCATCAGGGTTAAAAAGTTGTGGTATTGGAGTTGCCTGCAAAATAAAAAATAAATTAAAATGTGAAGATAACTATTTACACAGTGCTTAAAAATAAGAGTGTAACTGCTGCAGGTTTTTATATGTTAAATTAAGAACCTTAAATGGCGATATGGTTTTCTGAAGAGGCATGAGACTGGCTATATATCTCTCCAGTGGGATCATAAAGCTCTCAGTGAGCTCTGCGAGATGTCGTTTTATTAAAGCGGTTTGCACTTCTCCTGGTCGTTTCGTTTGCACTCCTCTGAGAAGTTTTTTCAAAATAACCTTGTCCTTGTGCAGAAACGGCTTGTATTGCGTATACAGTCCGGGTTTTGAATCTAGAATTTTTAGACCTTCGGATTTTTTTGATTTGTACTTCGGACTGTCTGTTTACAGGAAAACAATAACTGTTAAGAATTGGTGAATGCAAATTATAATTTTATAATATAACTCATTACCTCCAACAGGCCCCCCGTCATCAGCAACGCGTATTATGTGTGGCCAATGTCGCAAAGTTTTTGCAAAAAATGGATTTGTAACACCAAGAATAACGGCTGGAGGACTTTGACCATCCATTGTATATTCCTTGAATTCCGAATCATGAATAGTGAAATAAGGTCGATGATCAGCGCAGTATTTAAGTGGAGCAATCATTCTATTGATATATAAGTTGAAATTTTATTGAATGCTCATTTAATTCACATAAAGTATAAAAGTATCATTCTCATTAATATTATTTGTGAATATACAAAGTTGTTCGTAAATATGTTTAGGTATAAAATAATTGATTTTTATTAGTGTTACATATAGTTTAATTAGAATGATAATTAACTTTTCAAATAAATAAAAATAATTATAAAATATGATTTTTAATTTAAACTATTTATTATTTCAAGCACAATTTAAAAACATTTTATTTAATTGAATTTGCTTATTCTGTAAATACTTTTTTAATTATAAAATATTTTCTCAAGAAAGATCACATCAACGCAGCTGGCCATATAAATGTTGGTATTAAATAATTACCTTCTGTTTTTTTTTTTTTAAATAAATAAAATTTTCATTTTAAATTTGCTTTAAAACGATTGAAAAAAAACTTCAATCAATTTACATTTAACTTAAATTAATGAAAATGGTGAAAAGTGTTATTGCTTTGATTAAAGCTTTGATTTCAATTTATTATGCGTCGTACTTACGCAGTTAATGTATGAACAATTTCAGAACATATTGTAGGTGAACTAGCCATAACGACGATTGGCTCGCTTAATAAAACAAGTTCCCACAATAAATGCATATGAGCCATAATGCTAGAAAGACTTTTAAATAAATCACCCTCAAAGGCAGATGTCAAAATTAAACTTCTAGCAGCTGCAGCTTTAGCGGGGGCACAATCAATGGCTGCAATGTTTGGTACGGTTGTTTTGAAGACATGATTAGGAATGTAAGTCTGAAATATTATCTCATATATTATGAAATTCTAATTCTAATTCTAATTGTAATATGTAATTGTTCAATAATAATGATATATAGGAGGAATTTGAATAGATTAAATTTACACTAAATCAATTAGATATTTTTAATATTTTTTCATATTAAATTAGAAGTATCTTTTATTATATTAAGACAAATAGATAATTATATATTGTAAAGCTACTGTATAATTTATTTCATTATTACCATTGCATTATATTGTCTTAAAAATTCCTACCTGAAAAAGTACTCCTAATAATGGCAGGTGTAAGACTTGACCAGGTACAGGGGGTGGCCATTTGTTTATTTCTTTAATTACTGTTTCCATACAAATCTTACCACTGTCAAAAAATTCTGGAGCAATAAGAGCACATATTTCAGTAAATAAATTGACAAAAGGTAGCCTTGTAACTAATACAATACTCTGAAAATAATTTGCAATAAAAATGAGTAAATCCTTATATTGATTATTAAAAAATTTATAATAAAAAGTTATGTTTATTTACCTTTTGAAAGTAACCCCTTGGGAGATTCTTATCCTTCACCTGACGAAAATACACAGAGCCCCAATAATAATCTTTATCAGTTTGTAAAAACATTGGTGACTTTCTATCATAATCTCTCAATGCTCGAGTCTCTTGAAGTTCATTATTATTAGAACCTTTTCTAATTCTAACATGATACTGTGTATCTCCCATGCATCCCGAGTTAGAATCAGGAAAGGCTAAATAACAAATATTAGATCTTTCCTGCTCCAAAAGTTTAACATCATTTGGATAAATAGCCTATAAATAGTTGCAATAGAAAATTTGATTTACATTTTATAAACTTTAGATAAATTGTAAGCACATTCAAATCCAAAAAGGTACCTCGATCACTTGCCCTAACTCAAGATCAAAAGTAACGATACACATGCAGTGTATCCAGTTATTAAGATTTTCCCAATATTGTGCGTTGCAGAAAAGATTAGACCGACAGGTTGTAATATCGTGTTCTTGTTGATCTTTTGAGCTGCAAGGTCTTGACATTGTATGTTATTTTAACCATGCATTTAAATAAATATTTCAATCCCTTTACAAGAATCGAAAGACTTGGTTAAATTAAATTGAAAGATCGGTGTCAAAGTTGTTTGTACGTAATTATCACACTATTAAAAAGAGCAGCATTCTTTTATTAATGGTGAAATTCGTATGCCCTATGAAATCATACGATTACAATGTTATTAAGTACAACATATATCCCTTGGAAAATGGTTGAAACGTGAAAACGATAAGGTGCAGCAACAATAGATGGTCCGTACATTGCATTACGGATATTATCGAGATTGCGGTAAAAGCATACCAGTTAATCGATACGGAGATAGTCTCAATAGAGAGATAAGTTTTTATCTTATACAGGCAGTGCGAATAAATTTGGAGAGCTTGTGAAAAAATCGAATAGAGTAATTGGAATACCAGCTAATTAGCGTGTTATGATTTGTACTCGGCGATACTCCTAAAACTCTTTTTCCACATAAAACCATCAAATCTGATCACCATGTGTTGTGTCATACTGCTATTTAGGCATCTTACAAGGTACACTACTGCTAAATGCTGCCTATATCCTATCCTATCGGCCTTATTATTGTTTATGCGCAAGTAACTGCACTCAGAAATACGAAGCCTTGTTTCAACGTACTTGCTTACTTTCACTTGCGCATAATGTATTTTATATTATTTTATTTTGACTTTTGGCGTGTGATATAACGTACGCTGCTAATTCTGTATAATTTAATAAACAATATTGCCGCCTCTCTCTCTCACGCATACTTAACTGCTTATTAATAATCGACGGATAATCGATATTCTTTTCCTACGAACAAGTCCAATAATATAAAATATCCATTCTTCTCCATACAATTTAATTAAAATTAATTTAATTATTAATGTTTAATTGGAGACTTGTTTCGTTAACCTCAAACGAGAACAATTATAGCCTAAAACAAGTTTTAGATGGATGCAAGAAGTAAAAACAATATCGAAAAATTAAAACAGGATTACACAAGAGTATACCGAACATTGCAAATACTCAAAAAGGGTAAAGCAGACGCTAGAATTGCTGATATTGAACGACGATGCCTTTTTACAAAATATGTCACTTGCAAAATGAAGTATATTCATATTTTTAAAGTCAAAATCTTATTTTGAAATATTGCCAATAAAACTAGTATTATACAATTTTTTTCAGTATTAATGAAGACGTTGCTGGCACATTGCTTCAAAGTGAATTGGATAATTATACGAATTTCGTTGATGATAGAAATGGTTTAAATAATTATTGGAAACAATTTGATTTATTAAATATAAACACCGATAATAATCCCTTGGAGTGGACATCCGATTTAAATAACACAAATATTGGCCTGGAATTTTTAGATATGTTACCTTGTAATACCAAAAATGATTCAAATTGTAAATATATGCAATGCATTGATCAAGATGTTGAGAAAATGATACATTTATGGAAAAATGGTACATCATTAGCAGTAAGAAAAGTTCCTAGAGAAGAAAAAGAAATTTTTAAGAATCAAATTATACAGGAAAAAGTTAAGTATTTATCCAAAACAAATCTTATTAATGAAAGGATTAATGTAAGCAAGCAAATTCATAATTTTAAAAATGAGCAAGATCTATCCAATGAAAATGAAAAAGGAAACTCTAATAACAAAATTTTAAATTTTAAAACTGCACGAGAATTAGCCCAACAATCTATAATTAATAAACAACCTGTAAAAAAATCGCTCGGCGGTAGAGCGCTTAATTCTCCATTTATTTGTCCATTTAAAGATCAACAACCGAAAGAAGAAGTTTCTAATTCAATTGATGAAAAAGTTAAAAATATTGAACCAAAAATGATACAGCTTATAAAGAATGAAATTATGTTTTGTGGAAATTCGATTTCTTGGGATGATATTGCAGGATTAAAGCAAGTTAAAAAAATTATTAAAGAAATTGTTGTATTTCCTATGCTACGCCCTGATATTTTCACAGGATTACGAAGACCTCCAAAAGGAATTTTATTATTTGGACCACCTGGTACTGGAAAAACATTAATCGGTAAATGCATAGCATCTCAAAGTAAATCAACATTTTTCTCAATTTCTGCTAGCTCCCTTACTTCCAAATGGATTGGAGAAGGAGAAAAAATGGTACGAGCACTTTTTGCTGTAGCACGCGTTGAACAGCCATCGGTTGTTTTCATTGATGAAATTGATTCGTTATTGTGTCAAAGATCTAGAACTGAAGATGAATCTTCTAGAAGAATGAAAACAGAATTTTTGGTTCAACTTGATGGTACAGCAACTGGAGATAAAGATTCTGTATTAGTAATTGGCGCTACCAATAGACCATATGAACTCGATGAAGCTGCTCGTAGACGATTTGTAAAACGTTTATACATTCCATTACCAGAATTGAAAGCCCGAACACAAATAATTCATAATTTGTTTAAAACAGAGTGCAATAAATTAACTGATAATGAAATTTACGAAATTGCTAAATTGACTGATGGATATTCCTGTGCGGATATGACTAATTTATGTAAAGAAGCTTGTATGGAACCCATACGAAATATTGCTTTTGATCAATTAAAAAATATTAATAAAGAAGATTTAAGGGAAGTGAATTTTCATGATTTTATGGTAGCTCTTGAAGCTGTTCGTCCTTCAGTTTCCCAAAAAGATTTATCAGTTTACACAGAATGGGATTATACATATGGTACAGCAAATATACATTCTCATAAATAAATAACATTAATTTAAATTAAGCATTTTATAAATAAATAAGAAGTTATACTTTTTTATCATTCAATTTATTTTTATTTATTCTCTTTTTTACATTATATACTATTTTAAAATAAAGTTACTTTATTAATAAAACATGATAAATGAAACATTATTTATAAATACTTATTAAACATATTTATAACAGAATCAAATTTGAAATAATAAATGGTATATTTAGTTGTTACCAATAATCTTTGATCATCCAAAATGTCAATTATATTCACAGAAATAATTGGTTGACAGGTATAAATTTTTAGTTTTTAAATAAATTTGTTTTAATACTTATACTTATCAATCGAAAATAAATATGCACCTATAAAATAATTCATTTTATGATCAAATAATTTAAATATATAAAACGCTGATACTTATATTTAAAAACAATAATAGACCATTGTTACCGCAGCTTACATTTTAAACAAAAACTTAGTTATATAAGTATTTATAATCACTCTTTATGAATATTAAATTACAATAATATTTCATGATATATTCTTATTAAAACATGTTTTATTAACGAGGCTCTTATTTAAATGTCAAATATACCAAATTTAAAATAATTAAAATTACGACTACAATTTAATAAATATATTTATAATTTGATTTAATAATTTATTTATTCAAATTTAGTAGATTGATGTAATAATATTTAAATATACTCAAATAAATTCCAGTGCATTGAAACGTATCAAGTTGTAAAATATAAATATCTTACAAATATTTTCGTATGTTGTTGCGTAGTTAATAAATTTAGAAATATTGTAATTATAAAAATTATTCTTATGAATTTTCAATGTTTACATAAAGCAAATAAAAAAATCAAATGAAGTCATATAAACCAAATAATAATATAAATTATAGTGTGATAAATATAAAGTTTGCAGTAAGTATATGTGAATATAAAATAAAGCTTTAAACTTATATTTATATTATCACGTAATACATACACAGATCGTCGTAAATATATTTTCGTATGTTTATAATAAATTATATATTTTTATTTAACTTTTTTGTTAATATGAACTTATATAGTATTATAAATTGTAGTTTATAATAAATGTTAATTTAATTCAAGAATATATGAAGTAGAAATTGTATTTGGGTTAAATTTATATTTTAATAAATATAGGCGTGTGTGCGCGCGCGCGTGTATGTTTGTGTGTGTTTATTACCAATTTGTAACTAATTCGTATTTATCCACTAAAATAAATGTTCTTACATTGCACAGTAGAATTTAAAAATCCGTTAATAATACTTTAAACTTTGAAGATATGTGTTGACAGTTAAAATAATAATTAATAATGTGTACAGAAAAGTCGTTTACGAGAGTATTGATAGATTTTAAATAGTTAAACAAGTGATATTGATGATAATTCTATTATTGTTTTAAATTAAAAGTATGTAGTTTTTTATTTATGTAAATCGATTTGCAATGATAAATAATTATTAATTAATGTATATATTAATATATATATAATTTATTTAAGTAAAATGTCTTATATAATTGTAATTATGAACAATAATGTATAGTATAACACTACATATTGTAATAAATATAGAATTATTTATTTATATCAAATTAAAATTAATTCGATAATTCATTTCATTAATTATTTTTCTTCGTATATATTTTTTTTAATAGTCTTCAATTACTTTAATAAACACTCGACATTCTTAGATTTATAAATCTATCATTGTAATTAATATATATTGAAAATATACTTTCATTAAACGAACTCATAAAAAGAAGTACATTTTATGTAATACGATTATAATTAAATGTAATACGATTTATTTTATTAATCAAACCATTTCATAGATCTATATAAAATAGTATTTAATGTTCAATAATTTTTCGAAATGACGAAACTCATGTTTTATATTTTTAATAATACTTTCATTGATTTTGTAATTTATTAAACTTAGCATCTATTTATGCTGTTTAATTTTTTGTTGGTGTGGTAGTTAATTAAAATTTTTTTACTGGTTTGTTGGTTGATTTTTTTTCCATGAACTTGTAATCTGTTTTTAATACATTCAATAACGTTATACGCTGCTAAGTGACTGAAATTAAAATGGCAATTGAAATTATTAGTATAGTTATAATTAAAAAATTGTGTTGATATTAAATAAATCATAGGCAATCCGTTTATAGGCAAAAACTAGGAAATAAAATATAAATGGAAATATGAAGAAGTATAAACGAAAATAAAAATAATATTATTCCTCACAAATATATACTTTACTTATTTATAACAAGTTATTCAAAAAGAAATCATTTTTATTATTTAATGATAGAATTTATAAAATGATATATTTTTTTTATTTATTTAGATAAATATAAGTTGACAAGATGATATATAACTTTAATAAATAATTGAAATAGAGTATGTATGTAAATTATTAAAATAATTGAATAAGGTATTTATTAGATTTTTAAACGAGCGAACTATGTAATAGTTAAATTTGGGGGAAATTACTATATGAAATTAATATATAATCGATAACTTCATTTAAAATATATATATTCAAACGTGTCTAAAAATATTGAATTTTAATAATAAAAAGCTAAGCAACTAATTTTAATTAGATCATTGAGATCAACTTTCAGAATATAAACATTTAATAATTAATTTTTTATTAAGATATTTAATAAAAAAAATTATTAAAGTACAAAAAAATTTGACGTATTTGACTGTCAAATTTCACAGAATTTCAAACCCATGTATCCTTATGTAGTGATGTAGAGTCAATGAAAGTTCTAAACATAATATCATATTATAATGTGTGCGATATACATATATATAGTGTTTGTTCGCGCACTTGCCATGATTCCTACGTGTACCTGTAATTCCAAATGTACATACTGTCGTTAGTAAAATTAATTGGATGAAGTGAATGCTTTAATACTATATAAATATAAACAAATTATTATTTCAAAATGGTTAAAGAACAGTATAGAGAAACAGATGTTGCAAGAAAAATATCGCACGTCTCATTTGGGGTTGACAGTAGACACAATATGAAACAACAAGCTCATCTGCATGTTGTAGCAAAAAATTTATACAGCCAAGATAATGGACATATACCACTTTCATATGGTCTTCTTGATAAAAAAATGGGAACGTGCTCCAATATAAACAATTGTGGTACTTGTGAGAAATCGTTGAATGAATGTATTGGACACTTTGGTTACGTCGATTTAGAACTTCCTGTATTTCATGTTGGATATTTTAGATCAATTATAGGAATCCTGCAAACAATTTGCAAAAAATGCTCTTGTGTAATGCTAAATTCAAAAGATAAAAAATTGTTTCTTGATCGTGTTTTAAATTCTAATTTAAATTATTTAACTCGTAAAGCTTTAAGAAAACAAATACTTGAAAAGGCCAAAAAATGTAATACCTGCCCATACTGTGGAGAATTAAATGGAACTGTTAAAAAAGCTGGTCTTCTTAAAATAGTTCATGAAAAATATAAAACAAAAAAAGCCACCGATCCAGTTATACAATTAAAATTGACAGAATATCATAAAGTTTTAGAAGATAACAAAGAATTAGAAAATATTTTGCAAGGAGGATTGATAACTATTCTCAATCCACTTGAAGTTTTGGGTATTTTAGAACGCATACCAGAAAAAGATATACCTCTTTTGATGATGAATCCTGAATGCAGTGTCCCAAAAGATTTAATTTTAACTAGAATTCCTGTACCTCCTATTTCAATTCGTCCAAGTATTGTTTCTGATTTAAAAGCTGGAACAAATGAAGATAATCTAACGATGAAACTTACAGAAATTTTATTTATTAATGATGCTATTCAAAGACATCGTCAATGTGGTATGAAAGTTCAGATGTACAACGAAGATTGGGAATTTCTACAATTGCATTGTGCGCTTTATATAAATAGTGAAATGTCCGGAATTCCTTTAAACATGCAGCCTAAGAAATCAGGACGGGGACTTGTACAAAGATTAAAAGGTAAACAAGGTCGATTCAGAGGCAATTTATCAGGTAAAAGGGTCGATTTTTCAAGTAGAACTGTTATTTCACCCGATCCAAATCTTCGTATTGATCAAGTTGGTGTACCTATTCATGTAGCTAAAATATTAACATATCCGGAAAGAGTTAATAAATGTAACATAGAACTAATGCGTCGACTTGTACAAAATGGGCCAGATATACATCCTGGAGCAAATTTCGTTGTACAAGGAAAGACTCAATTTAGAAAATTTTTAAGATATGGTAATAGACAAAAAATTGCACAAGATTTGCAATATGGCGATAAAGTTGAAAGACATTTATGTGATGATGATGTGGTTCTTTTTAATAGACAACCATCCTTACATAAATTAAGTATAATGGCCCACAAAGCAAAAGTATTAGAAAATCGTACTTTTAGATTTAATGAATGTGTATGTACTCCATATAATGCTGATTTTGATGGAGATGAAATGAATTTACATTTACCACAAACTGAAGAAGCAAGAGCTGAAGCATTAGTACTTATGGGGAATAAATCTAATTTGGTAACACCACGAAATGGTGAATTGTTAATTGCTGCTACCCAAGATTTTATAACCGGTGCTTATCTTTTAACTCAAAAAGATACTTTTTTAAATAAATCTCAAGTTTCTCAATTAATAAGTTGTCTACTTGCTGGATTAGATACAACAATGAGTATAAATCTTCCGGAGCCAGCTATATTTAAGCCAGCAATTATGTGGACTGGAAAACAAATCTTCAGCCTTATTTTAAAGCCAAATGATGAGTGTTGCGTGAAAGCTAATTTAAAAACTAAAGGAAGAGCATATACCAGCAATGAAGAATTATGTATCAATGATTCTTATGTTATAATTAGGAATTCAGAACTAATAGCTGGCTCTATGGATAAATCAACTTTAGGTTCTGGATCAAAACAGAATATATTTTATATACTTCTTCGAGATTGGGGGGAAGATATAGCTGCAATTGTGATGTGGCGTTTAGCAAGATTAAGTAGTTTTTTTCTTATGAATAGAGGATTTTCAATTGGTATTGGAGACGTAACACCTGGACATAGTCTCTTAAAAGCGAAACAAGAACTTGTTAATAATGGTTATGGAAAATGTACAGAGTATATTAAGAAAATGGAAAATGGTCAATTGTCTTGTCAACCAGGCTGTACCGAAGAAGAAAGCCTTGAAGCTATGATTTTAAAGGAACTTTCAGTAATACGGGATCATGCTGGTAAAGTTTGTTTAAAAGAGCTTCATCCCAGTAATAGTCCATTAGTTATGGCACTTTCTGGCTCTAAAGGGAGTTTTATTAATATATCTCAAATGATTGCCTGTGTTGGACAACAGGCTATTAGTGGTCATCGAGTTCCAAATGGATTTGAAGACAGAGCTCTGCCTCATTTTGAAAAATATTCAAAGACTCCTGCTGCGAAAGGTTTTGTTGAAAATTCATTTTATTCTGGTTTAACGCCAACAGAATTCTTTTTTCATACCATGGGTGGACGAGAAGGTCTTGTTGATACTGCTGTTAAAACAGCAGAAACTGGATATATGCAGAGAAGATTGGTAAAAAGTTTAGAAGATCTTTGCCTTCATTATGACATGACTGTAAGGAATTCTGTAGGAGATATTGTTCAAGTTTTGTACGGAGGTGATGCAATGGATCCCACGTACATGGAAGGCAAAGATTGCCCTGTAGATTATAAGAGACTTCTTGATGATATTAAATCTAGATCATTCTACAGTAATGAAGATCCATTAGATGGGCCGAGTATTATTAAAGCAACATCTGAATTGTTGATGTCAGAGGAATATTCTTGCCTGAGTGAAGAATTCAAACAAGAGCTAGGACAGTTTTTAAAATCTATTGCAATTAAAATTGCCAGAGTTCGACAGCACATAAAAACAAACGCTACTGTTAATAAATATATTGAACGTTTAACGGTGTCTCAATTAGTTGAATTTATTCATACGTGTAAAGAAAAATATATGAAAGCAAAAATTGAACCAGGTACTGCAGTTGGTGCTTTGGCTGCACAAAGTATTGGAGAACCAGGTACCCAAATGACATTAAAAACATTTCATTTTGCTGGTGTAGCATCAATGAATATTACACAGGGTGTACCACGTATTAAAGAGATTATTAATGCTAATCCAAGAATTAGTACCCCAATTATAACAGCTGCTTTAGAAGTTGATACCGATCCAGAATTTGCCAGGAGAGTAAAGAGTCGTATCGAAAAAACTACTTTGGGTGAAATTACTGAATATATTGAAGAAATTTATCTTCCAGATGATTGTTTTTTACTATTAAAAATAGATATTGATAGAATCAAACTTCTGAAACTCGAAGTTGATGTAAATTCTATTCGTTATTCATTATGCACATCAAAACTTAAATTACATCCAAAAACAGTTGTTATTCAAGGAGATTCAATTATTACCATTTATCCAAACAAGCAAAAGCACAATTTAAGTCATATATTAACACAACTTAAGGATAGTATCCCTAATGTTATCGTAAAAGGTATTGCTTCAGTGTCTAGAGCAGTGATACACAATGATGATTCATCTGGGAAGACTCGTTATAAATTATTTGTTGAAGGCGATAATATGCGTGATGTAATGGCAACAATAGGAATTAAGGGATTAAAAACTACCTCTAATAATACAATCGAAGTATTTAGAACTTTAGGTATCGAAGCTGCTAGAGCGACTATAATGACTGAAATCAAGCTTGTTATGGAAAATCATGGAATGAGCATTGATCGTAGACATCCAATGCTTGTTGCTGATTTAATGACAAGTAGAGGAGAAGTATTAGGTATTACAAGACAAGGGCTGGCAAAAATGAAAGAATCAGTCTTAAATTTAGCTTCTTTTGAAAAAACTGCTGATCATTTATTTGATGCTGCATATTATGGACAAAAGGATGCGATTAGTGGAGTGTCAGAATCTATTATTATGGGAATACCAGTTCCAGTGGGAACTGGTATTTTCAAACTACTTCACAAAGCTGACAAAGATGCTTTAAAGCCTAGAACTTTATTATTTGATTCATTCAGTCAAAATAGTAAAGTAAATGTATAAAATTTTATGTTAATAATATATTAAGTATATAAATAAAATAAACATCAAGATTTAAGAATATTTAACATTTAGCTTTAATTACATCATGCAATTTAGAAATAAAAATAAATATTTTCTTTTATATCGTTTATAATCACAAAAGACCTCTGAAATCTAAATGTAAAAGTTCAGTCATATTATAAGGCATGATAAAATAGTTTTACAAATTGTATAAATATTTAAAATTCTTTTCTACGATTATATAATATGTTAAAAATAAAATAAACAACTAACATTATTTATGTTTAATTAAAAATTATTATTTGAATACAATATATTAAAATTTCAAATAAAAATAATTTTATTTCATTTTTTTTTTTAATAAATATTTAAATATTCTACGTAAATATTATTTTAATTTTTGTTTTAATAAAACTACCTTTGTAAATTTATATACTTTATTTAAATGTACCTAAAATTATGAACACGAATTTTCACTGATGTATATATTTGTACATATTGATGAATATATATTTAAATAAATACTCATTACTTTTTAAGCACGTAAATATGTGATAATAGACAAACAAAAATATGTAAGAAATTAATTTACGTTATGACATTAATTTATAATTAACATATCATATGTTATCATATGTCTCGTTAGAATAAACTATTAATATAATAATATCAAGAATAAAGTATAACTTTCATAAAAATTGTTATATTAAAATGCAAATCTAAATTTTAATTGGTAATTTGTCATACTAGAGTTTTCGTAATATCATACAATTTTTAACATAACAATTTAACAGAAAAAAGGTGTTAATTCTTGGCTATTTTTAATGAACAATAATTTTCTCAATAATGAATATAAGAATTTAATGAAAACTAGCAATTGATTTGTAATGTCAATAAAATGATTTTCTTAACTGAACCATATAAATTAAAACTTGCAAATTGAAATTTTATTAGATATTCGATTTAGAAATAATTAAGAAATTAAAGTTTTCATCTGGTTGTAAATAAGCAAAATTATTGATTGATTGCTTTAATATTTTCAAAGGCTTAAACAAAAATTGTATGGTCGTTCCAAATTTGTGTGATTATAGATAAACACGTTCATCCTTATATATTTACATTCTTTATTTAAAAAATATATGTAAAACAATTATACAATTAGAAAAATATTTTAAGTCGTAAAAAATGTAGTAAAGAATAATATACAATAATTCAAATGGATATTTTTCAAATTTTGTACTTTCTAAACAGACCCAATTATAAAAACACCATATATATAACATTTTTATAATTAAGAAAAATACGACAAGTGCTATTTATATAAAATGACATAACAGTGAATTATAAATGTAATATGTTTAAAAGCAAAAATAAAAATTTATCAGACATTTATTCAATCAATTTCATTTACGAATTAAGGAAAAATATATTTACGTTTTTATTATGTAATATAATTTTAAAATAATTGAATTATTAAGTTCATAATAATGTATTGGTCAAAGAAAACAAAAACAGCCTTCTGATTTTAAAAATTATAAGAGTCTAGTAGATGCCCGCACTTTAATATATTTTTATTTTGTTTATACTAATAAACGTGATAAATGACGTTATGATATTACATCGATTGACTCTTTAACGAAGATAAATAAGTGATTCCGTAAGTAGGAATAACTGTGTAATAAGCGCAAGTACTTTTTGCTTGTAGATTTTTAAAGCTATATACAATTTTGATATAAGGCAATGTTCGAATTTTCATTTTTCCAAATTACAATACGTCACGGCTTAAAAGAAATACTTCTGGTTCAGTGGTGAAACGAAGGTTTATTAAAAACCACTAATGCACATGGAACTCATAAGCATATAATCATGAGTCTATCGATGTACAAAATATTACAATCGGAATTTGGATTTTGAAATCAGAACCGCGAACAGACATCTAAATAATCCGATTTAATTTCGTTCTGTGACTGAGAATTAACGGAATAGTGAAGTAGTAATATAACAACAGGTAGAATTACATGTTGAATTTAATAAACGAAACGCTATTTGTTAAATCCATTTCGTGCAAGGTGCTTAAAGACGTTTAGTGATGCGGTGCGCGATTAAACCAGCTCAAAAAAGAGGCATGGAACCGTGCACCGTCGTCACTTAACCTATAAATCTGTATGAACGACTGATTTAACGGATATTTAGAATATCGCTGCTTGTAGATCCTCCGAACGAATCAAGTATCAGTCATGATTATTTTGTAGAATAATCTTTACCCTAAATGTCAATAATCTTATGATTATTTTACAATTTACAGATTTGGAGTCAATGATACCAAACGGAGTACAAAACGAAAAAAAGGAGAAATGCTCTCCAATAAGATCTTCGTCTTCCTCGCCTTTAATGAAGTTTTCTTCCTATCTTTTATCAATTAGACCTTGGTCGCTGAGTGCCTCGCTGATACCAACAATGCTGGGCTCGGCATTAGCTTATAAATTAATAGGACTAACTGGTCTGAGCTGTATTACTTTAATATTAACTTTGTTTACAGTTGCTTGTGTTCATGGTGCTGGCAACGTAGTCAATACATATTTTGATTACATTAAAGGAGTGGATAGTCGGAAAAGTGACGATAGAATTTTAGTCGATCAACTACTATCTCAAGATGAATTAGTTTCTTTAGGAGCCTGGCTATATGCAGCAGGATGTTTAGGTTTTGTCTTATTAGCAACAATATCACCGGCAAAAATGGAACATCTTGCACTTGTATACTTTGGAGGCTTATCCTCCTCGTTTCTTTATACAGGAGGCATTGGACTTAAATATATTGCTCTTGGAGATGTTTTAATACTTATTATTTTTGGTCCAATATCAGTTCTATTTGCGTTTATGGCACAGACAGGTTACATTGAATGGAATACAATGTATTATGCAATTCCATTGGCTCTTAATACTGAAGCTATATTACATAGCAACAATACACGGGATCTTGAAAGTGACAAACGAGCAGGAATCGTGACATTAGCAATTTTAATAGGCTACACAGCATCACACGTTTTATATGCATTTTTACTCTTTGCACCATATGTGACCCTTGTGGTGCTTGCACTTAGATATTCTATCTGGTTCTTATTGCCATTGGTTACTTTACCAAAGGCATTTAAAATAGAAAAAAGTTTCAGGAATTCAAGTACAATTCAAGATGTACCTAAAGAGACTGCTAGCTTAAATCTTTATTTGGGAGTTTTATATATTGTTGCATGTCTACTTATTGATCGACTTCCATATCTACAATCTGTTTAAAAGTATAAAAAAAAAACTTGTATCACTGGTACAATTTTTAATGCTTAAAATTGCCTGAGCTGGAGTAATAAACAACAATAAAAAATTGCATTGAGAAATGATTTGCATTATCAAGTATCACGATCAAACTATTCATCTTTATAAAAATATTTTCAGATTAATATAAGGAACATAAACAACTTTTATTAAAATATCTAAACACTTGAGATATAAGTCTGGTGTGTAATTTTGTATAGAAAAAAAAGTAATAAATGACTATATTAATTACTTTTTTGGAAGTAAATATTTTCACTAGATCCAAATGAAAGTATATAAAATTTCACTGGATCTAGTGAACACTGTGTTATTAAAATGGGAATTTCATTTATATATCACAGTTTTACTTAACATCTTAGAAACATATACAATTTCTTTTAACAAACATTAACTTTTAAATATTCAACATCTTAATTTCAATCACTCTTTATGTCATTGTATAAGTAATTATAAATCATTGTTATGGCATATATAGTTCTTTAATCATTTTTATTTTTAGATATTATTGTATGATGATTAAAAAACAAAATCTGTTTCTAAACTATTCAAATTGTTTAATATGTGACAGCGACTGCGTACAGCAAATATACATGATATATGACGTAAAGTGTTACCGCGCATTTGTTAGATATTTATTATATACATTATGTATTTATAGCGCATGTTATAACGCACGGAATATGACGGAAACTGGATCAAGGATTTAATAAAATTTTGTAAAATAATCATTTCATATGTGTGGAGGGACATTAAGAAAATTTCAAGAATACCATGGTGATTTGAATTACTGTTGAAAAAGACTACTAGAACTTTCAATAAAATTATAAGAAAAATTAATTAAGCTTTGTAACAATTCTTATTATCCAATATAAAAATTATATTAATTATATTTTTATTTTCTAAAAATAACTCTATGTTCTTCCTTACATATACAATGCAAATTGATTATATATATATTTACTATGTATAAATGTTTTTAATCTTCGTTTTATTAATTTATTTTATAACAAAATTAAGTAAATGTATTTATATGGTTAATTAATATCACTTAAATATAATTGCTTAATCTTTCATAATGTCAAGATTTATTTACAAATAAGAATGTTAAGACTTTATTAACATTTGATTTTGATTTAAAATATTAATCTAACGATATACCCATAAACATTTCTTGTTAAATATAATTTTTGTAAAATATGCGATTATAAGAAATTTATTTTTTTTTTTAATCTTGTTATATATTTAATTTTTATTTAAGTTTTTCTTCATAAGAGCTTTAATATGATTATTAGTACCTTTGGTGTTTAGTTAATTTTGTTTCAACAGATTTGTGAATTTATTACTTGATTTAAAAAAATTAGATTTGTTGCATAGAAGCTTTATATATATTTATCATTTATAAAATCAATGTGATCAAAAAATTTTATTAAGATATTCGAAATAAATAAAATTAATAATATATATACCTTTCCATACATTCTATTTTTAATTAGTAGAGTACGAATAATATATTAATGAAAGTTTATCAATCAATTATAAAAAATTAAATCCTCTTTATCTTTGTAAGTAATTAAATAAGTAGATATATGCAATTGTATTGTATATTATGTATATATTCAGTTCAATGAGTGAATTTATATCTTATTATATACAAAAAATATGAAACACGGTTTGTATCTTATTTCAATAATAAGTGATTTAAGTTAATAATAAAAATAATCAAAATAATCTAAAGCAATTTGCAAAATTAAACAAACTAAATTTGTTTTTATGCTTACCTCAATTTTGCATTATTTTACAATAAATTACTTTAAATCCTCGAGGCCATTATTAATATCATCGTCATCGGTACAAAAATTTTAACTAAGATAAAAAACAAAAATTAGAAATTTAATTTTCATTAATATAAATTTATCTGCATATAAAATGCACATGATATAAATTATATAAAAATATTGCAAATAGAAAATTAAAATTAAGTAAACACACAAAAAATTATTAGTCGTGATTTTTTCATACATTGTATACATATTATTGAAAGATAATTCTTGAAGATGGATAATTAATTTGTTATAAAAATGAATAACCATTGGTGTTTATAATTAATTGCAAATCTAATAGATGTTAAAACCAAAAGTACTAAGTACTTAAGTGAGCAAATAGAAAAATTGAAATATATATTAGGCGCGCAAGAAAATAGAATTATGTGTATATGTATTGCCAATTAATTTCAAATAAAATTGAAATTAATAATACCTCATTTGTAAAATCAAAAGGTATAAAAAATTCTGTACATTTCATTTATTTAGACTCGATGTTAATAAATGTATGTTCTTATCAATTAAAAAATTATATATCAAGGACATTAATATAGGACTGCTTAGATCAATCACGACGTTTTGAAAAACGCATTTCATCTTATTGACCTTTTCGATTGAACTATCTTTACAAAGGCGTAGAATTATGATTGAGTTGAAAATAATTTTCTGTATTCATTAACCAATGTAAAAATTATTAAATTCCAGTCACTATATTCAATTTACCCTTAAATTGGGTTATTGTAAGTGTAATAATTTTCATATTAATTATTAACTAATTCTTTTAATTATTTTTAGTATATATTATTGAAAGGCTTTAATTATATTCATGATATAAGACATTTTTGTATTTATATTTTAGAATGATACTATGTACTTATTATTGGAAAAATGCCAAAATTCAAACCAACAGCTTGAAAATTAATTATTCTTGATTACATTATCTCACTAAAAATTTAATTGATAATATTACCGAGTATTGAAATCTAGTAAGAATTAAAAATCAAGTTCAAACAATTATTTAATTGTATTTCTTTTTATTTTTGATTAATTTTATATTTAATAATTAACTTATGCTATAAAAGTAATTTTATTTCTTCATTATTTTATAATTTATTAATATAAAGATATTAAATGGAATTCATTAAAATATTTTAATATTTACTTTTAGACCATAAACCTGATATTTTATATTACAGAAATATTCTAAATCTTGAAATACTTTTTATTTTTTAAATTTTTTGAAAATGATATGTTTTTTCTTCTTTAATAGCTAGTACAAGTTGATTATTTTCCCATAAAAATATGCCTTTAAAATAACAAATACCTGTGTTGAGTTTAAATTAGTACGGCTTTTATTTAAACTTCTTTATCTTGTTTTTTTAACGAATTTTAATATTGCTAAATAAATTGATCAATAAATCTAAAATTTTAAACGTACCTTTTTCTATCAGATTTCATTGTTCATGAAATTTTGTTAAAAACGTTTAAGTGGCCTTTCTAAAACTGCTTAAATAATTTACGCATATAAATATTGTATTTGTGAGCATAATCACATAAATTATCCATTATACATAATACAATTGCCTAAATTATTATTTATAATTTTACAAAGAATTTGTTATATGAATTATTTTGATACTTATGTTTATTTAAATACTTATAATTATAATGTATTGATTTATTGAATTTATTATCTTACACCAATTTCATATTTAAGTGTATAGTGAATAACAACAAATATTAAATAAAAAATATTAAAAATGGAAAATATGTTTCAATAAAAGTATTTTATTAAATAATTGAAAAAATTAATTTCTTACGATAAACATTATTTTATATTGTTCACTACTAAGCTACATGGATAGCTCACGAAATTTATGTAAATTTGTTTAGTTGTTTATATTAATTATGAAATTCTAATCTATCATTCGAGTTATTAAAATATCGTAAAATTAGAAGAAGAAAAAATCAAATTTAATCAATTTAACGAAATTCAGAATAAATAAATATAAATGAATGTATGAAAGTAAATATTTATATTGGAATTTACTTAAATGCAAACAGCGCACTTATAATAAAATATTGAGGAAACTCATATACGTAAATGAAAGAAAAATCAAAATTAAAATTGCATGCCGAGTTATCAGTAAAAAATAATCGCTGCTCTCATAAAGCATTAATATGAGAAATGGTTTTATACAATTTTTCGACATATTTAATATTCTTTGAATACTAGCCGTAAATCAATTACAGAAAATAATATAAAACAATAATATTGCCATTTTTCCATTTTCGCTAAATTTCACAATTTGAAATAAGAATTCAATAGTAGGTAAATAAAAAATTTGAATTTTTCATTTTCTCCTTATTTTTTTATCTCACAGGCCGTGTAATTGAATGCAGTTTTAGTAATAAAAATGTATGCCCCCCCCCCCCCTTTCACTATTGACCTAGAACGACTAGAAGGCTAAAGCAAAGCAATAAAAATATCAACCAGCTGGATTACGCATCGCATCGTTGAATGCAACGTCATTAATGTTAATGGGCTTGAGCGGGGGATGACTCGTTTCGAATTTCGTAAGATCGGTTAATGCTGTTCATAGTAACATTAAGTAGTGAAATTTAAATAGATGATACAATGTCAGGTGACGGGTTATTAGCAGCAACAACAAATCACAACAACGCGACGTCGTGCCGCGCTTCCCGTAGAAAATGCGTGCCAAAAAAATCAATGCGCGACGACGACACGTTGCTCCCGGTCCCCATGGCTGCGCGTGGGTGTATGACTTGTGACGTCAATCAACTAAGGGCCTATCGGTGCCGCGGCAACTGGTTTAAAGGAGGGGGTAACTAACTAGTCGTGAAAGTCTCGAGTAAATGTTAGGTTAGAGCCCCCACCACGGCTCATGGCATGCAGCGTCATCAAGGAAACGAAAAAAGGAGTTTGGGAAGTACTGTTACTCGACTGGCGTCGACGTACGCCTCAAACCGAGGGGGATAACTAAAGGAAGTGCGACCGTGAACCAGCAAGATGCTGCATTGAAGCGGCATCTGCCCAGGACAGATCTACGCCTGATTACCCTTAAAATTCAATTTAGTCAAGGAGTAAAATGGCTCTCTTCACCGTATTTGCATTCGCTTTTAGTGTCCTCGTTTATTGCAATGCGTACTCCCTGCGTTCAACCTCGAACTTCAACGAAGACTTCGTCGTGCCTCATTACACACACTATGACGAGCTCAAAGCAGTATTCAAAAACCTATCTCAGCAGTTCCCGAGTTTCGCCAAACTTCACTCGATCGGCAAGTCCGTCGAGGGTCGCGATCTTCTTATCCTTGAAATCAGTGAAAATGTGGCCGAGAGGAAATTAGGGGAACCAATGGTTAAGTATGTGGCCAATATGCATGGCGACGAGCCCGTCGGCAGAGAGTTAATGATATTCTTGGCTAAGTATCTACTTTACAATTATGGAAAAGATCAGCGGGTCACTCGACTCGTCAACAACACTGACATTTTCATAATGCCATCTTTAAATCCAGATGGTTTTGAAAAGTCAAAAGTAAGCGGATACTTCTTATTACAATTATTGACCTTTTTTTGCTAGATATTTGTGTGAAAAAACTTGATAAAAGACCTATAATTGCCTTAAAAATCTTGATTATTATGACTTACAATTATTAATTAACGATATCCTTCTAATAATCCTATCAATTTCTACTATATATGTCTTTCTTATTCTTTATAAGTGTATTCTTTGTTTATTCTGTTATTTAATTGTGCTTCTTTACATCTTTAGGAAGGTATGTGTAATTCATTGGAGAATTATACTGGACGTGAAAATGCAAATCATGTTGACCTTAACAGAAACTTTCCCGATCAGTTTGATTCAAGATTTAATCATGTGAAAGGTGGAAAATTGATAGCTGGAAGACAGAGCGAAACAATTGCCATGATGACTTTGATAGTTAATCAGCCGTTTGTCTTGTCTGCCAATTTTCATGGAGGAGCTGTTGTTGCAAGTTATCCATTTGATTCTGGGTAATTTTTAAAACTAATATAACTTATCATAATTAAAAAAGCATTATTGTTTGGTTATTTTAATTTATTAAGAAAATTTTGATTAATTAAATAATATTATTGTTATTGATATCAATATAGAATTGTACACGATTGTTGTGAAGAAAGTAAGTCACCGGATGATAAACTTTTTAAATATCTTGCACATGTTTATGCAGATAATAATCTAGCTATGAGGATGGGTAATACCTGTCCATCGGAAGTATTTTATGGAGGTATTACTAATGGAGCACAATGGTGATTTTTTTATTCCACCTTTATTCTCTCTTTTTATTACATAAAAATTAAGAATCTTTCATTAACCATTATTATAGGTATAAAGTACAAGGAGGTATGCAGGATTTCAACTATGCCCGTTCAAATGCATTTGAAGTGACATTCGAGTTAAGTTGTTGTAAATATCCATTCGCTTCTCTATTGCCAGGTTATTGGCGAACAAATAAAGAATCTCTATTGAAATATATCGAGCAGGCACACATTGGAATTAAAGGTATACTATTGATTAAGAAAAACAAATGGTATTTAAAATATTTAAATTCTATGAATAGATTGTATAATGCATTGTTTCAGGTCTAGTAACAGACACAAATGGACAACCGGTTGGGGATGCTAATATTGTAGTTGTTGGAATTGCCAAAAATATAACGAGTACAAATAGAGGAGAATACTGGCGTCTGTTATTGCCTGGAACTTACACTGTATATGCCTCAGCTTGGGGGTAGGCTGATTTTACATTCCGCGCAATTCTAATAAATTAACAATGTAGAAATTTTAAAATTTATTTAAAAATACTTCTTCCTTACAGTTACGCCCCTAGTAATCCACAAAGAGTGATTGTGAAAAAAGGCAATGCTGAAATAGTAAATTTTGTTTTAAAGAAATTACCATTCCAAGAGCAGCAAGGTAATTTTGAAAATTATTATTACGAAGTGTCACCATTCCTAAATCGTTTTTCGCCAGTTCAAAGACTTATTTCCTCGCTGTACAATGAGGAATAGTGGTGAAAACTCGAAGAATGAAGTAATTTTAATTTAGAAAGCAACCGTGCCACTAAGTTTTTGTTTTTAATGCTCAATTTTTTAATTTGTTCGTATTTATACATTAATTTTCTAAAAACTAATAATAGTAAAGTCTTTAAAAAAAAATTAAAAAAATAAAAAAATTAAAAAAAATAACAATAGTATCCTCAGGTTTGTTACTAAATGTATAATTAAAAATACATATTTATTAACGTTAATAGTGGCTTATGCTGTTTAAATCATGAAAATCGTATGTTCTATTTTTACATCAACTTATTACATCCCAAATTGCACAATGTACAATAATTTAGAAGTTTTTTTTCGAACGATCAAATGAAATAACTTTTCACTTGTAACTTAATTATAATAGCTCGATAGGATTGAAAGTTAAACACAAGGTATAGAGAAATTGGTCAGCTTTAAGACTGTTTTTCACAGAACGATCAAATACAAATGAAATTATAATTTTGTTTTTAATTATGATACTCTTATAAATAAATATAATTTGTATGTAAAGTTTATTCAAATATCAAATATCTATATATATTTGACTCAGATTGTTATAAAGTAAAAAGAAATAATTTTATTGGGTTGAGGTTAATATTATATGTTTGCAAAATTTATATTTAAATAAATTATTATAATTGTATGTATATATTCAGAAACCATGCATATTATTAAATTTGTTAGGTTTCCAAATTTTAAAGCTAGTTAGTAACTCATTACTCGAGAGAAAATATTATATATATTCTCAAAACCGGAGTCAGTTAAAAGATAATTCTTTTCTTGAACTATATCAACAAATTCTGCAATTGTGGAGAAAAAACTACATATCTTAGTATCATTTTTATAATTTAAAAAACAGTATTTTATTGATGAAGCAACTTATTGTCTAGTGATATTTTATAGCTTTTCGTTTTTTATTTAAATTTATTCTTTATTATTCTAGTTTTATTTACACGAAATATAAATATAAAAATAAGTCAATTTTTGTTTTATTTAAAATGTACTTCGGCGTATGAATTTATTGAAAGTAAAGTATGTAATGTATAGTGCAATATCAAAATAAAGAATTATATTTGCTGTCAATTAGTACTTTTTCAATATAGAGACTTTCCTACCTTTCCTTTTTCCTTGTTGGTTTATTTACATTACAAAATGATTTGTGTTTTAAATTTATTTTCTCCATACCTTGTGTTTATTTATTATCATTTAATTTTAGTTATAAAGAGAGAGAGAGAGAGAGAGAAAATCTGTATTACCTTTAAATCGTTAATCCGCGTAATAAAATTATATATTATTTCTATAATTTTGTTACTTAGGCATACACATTAAACAAAGCACAGAGGCAATAATTATTCTATCTATATTTTTTAAATCTTTGAAACATCTTGAAACATTTTTGAATATTATTTGTTTTTATTATTTTTCATAATGATTTATCGATCCCTTTTTTTTTTATTATATTCAAAGGCAAATTTTTATAATTCCATATTATTTTAGTTTAAAAAGTATAGAATATTTAATATATTATGAACATATATCATTGATAAGTCCATTTTTCCAAATGATACTTCGTATTTTTTAAACTCTCGTCGTAAAAAGTAATCCTTGTTTCTACGAATTAAAAAACTGTGCATAAACAAACGATTAAATTTATGAAAAGAGCAAACTATAGCCATATAGTAGTGCAGAAATATATAATTTTAGAATGCCGCGAAAATAATAGATTAAACTTATTCTATTGAAGGGCAACGGCAAGAGTAAGAATTGTCGTAATTCATTAAGTATAGGTACAGATTCTAAAACAAGTACTTAGATGATATTTTCGTTATTAATTTATCAATAGTTTAATATTGTCCTCTGGTACGTTCATAAAATAATTGTCCTTCAAACGGTAGCAAGTTTTTAAATTAATAAATGAACAGACAAGCAATAGTAGTAACACAACAATAATAAACCAAATATATTCTATATAGGATAGTGAATCTATATTGGCTTTAATCGACCGTGATTACGGATGACACCATTAAACAAATTTCACTTTGCTCTAATCACGCGGGCGGGATACGCATAAATCTAACGCGTGAAACCACGACTGTTGTTTTAAACTACACTATTTTTCATGTCCACAAAAGTTGGGATATCATTAAAAATGAGCGTCGGCTCACGCGACGAGAACGGCTTCTACGAGAGTCCAAACTTCAGTTATCACAATTACTTGGCGCTGAAAAAATTCCTCGAGGAACTCCACGACAACTATCCGAACATCACAAGGCTTTACAGCATTGGCAAGTCGGTTAAGGGCCGTGAGCTCTACGTCTTGGAAATAACGAAGGAACCAAGCAAGCACGATCCTGAGAAGCCGGACGTGAGGTACGTCGGTAATATCCACGGCAACGAGGTCGTCGGCCGTGAAGTACTTTTACTGCTTTGCAAATACCTCTGTGAAAACTACGGGACCGACTCGAGAATTACACGCATTTTGAACGGTATCAAACTCCACGTGCTGCCAAGCCTTAATCCCGACGGTTATGAACTCGCGAATGAAAACGATTACAGTGGCAACGTGGGTAGATCCAATGCTCATGGGATTGTCATTGATGACAATTTCGCCCAGTATGAAAAACATCAGGTAAGTCCTATTTCAATTATCCTATTTCCTTATCTACTGTTGTTATTATTATAATTATTATTGCTATCGATGGTGTAGCTATTTTATTATTACTAATGAATTTTCTTCATTAGTTTCTATTAATCGTTTTATTTTGTTATAAATAATCTTGAATAATATAGAATAATGCTTATTCTAAAATTTGACCACATTTTCAGCAAATTATAAAATGTTGAGCTTAAATTTGTTTTTTTTGATAAATAAATATGTCATACTAAAAATTCACTTGTTTATAGAAAAAATCTTGTTTATTATTTTATTTTTTTTTTTCCAACAGACATTTCGCATGTGATTATAAATAATGTTTAAGGGAAAAAAGCTACATACTTTTATATAAAACAGTTATGTCAATAGAATTTGTAGAATAGAATTTTAAAATTATAAAATGACAAGTTTTCTTATTATTATTATTATTTCACTACCAAAGTAATAATTTATTGATATATTACTTAAACATTTACTAGTATCATAATTTATTAGTAATAAGTTTAACGATTTCTTCAAATATATTTATTTTTTTAAAAACTAATAAATAAGTAATACGAATCCATAATTCTTATTTTATTAGAAAATGTAAAAAAGTATGATAACACAATTACTTGATAAATAATTGCTACGTACTTTTATTACTTACATTCTATATTTTTCAACTTTTTAATTTTATTGTTTAAAATTTTTATTTACCATAGATACATATTATATTTTTCACATAGGTACCACCTAAAGACAAAAATTAGAAGAAAAATTAAAATGATACATTATTATTAAATGATCCACTGTATTATTAATAATATTAGAATAACAAAATAAACATTTTTTGTATAATCTTAGTGTTTTGGTATGTTGTTAAACACTACCTTTTAAAAATAAGGCTAATGAATGTGTTTTACCTGAAAATTTTAGTCTGAAAATAAATGAAAACTATTAATTTTTTGATTTGTGAAGCACATGTCACAATACTTTTCATGCATAAATAAAACCTATAAAAAGTCTATAAATCACTTATAAACTAGTATTATGCGACAATTAACAATGCTTTATCGAGCTAAATTTGATCTCTACACATATAAACACTTTTTATCTAAAGCTTGATAAGCATGCATAGTAAATGGAAAATACTAATTTGTAATTAGAATTGGAAAATGAACATGTAGATATTTTCTTATGAGAGATATGTTGTATAGAACGAAAGCAGCATTGAAACTGAGGTATTGTCAATCATTAAGTGGATGTCAGAAATGGAATTCGTGTTGTCGGGTACATTCCATGGTGGGCCCACAATAACTTCTAATTATCCTTACGGCACCATTATTACGAGTAAACGGGAACATTTACTTGACTCGAGTCCCGAGGAAGATGTATTCGCAATGCTCACAAATCTCTATGTGAGTGGGCAGCCTTCGACGAGCAAGAACGGTCAGTGTCCTGATTATTCCACCGACTATATTGTCCCCGTCGGTGTTAATAAGAGCGATGGGATGCATCGGACGATTGGCGCTTTCGAGGAATATTCCTATCGCCATCATCACACCTTTGATATCGCCATAGAGATGGGCTGCTACAAATACCCAAAGGCCACAAGACTACACGAGTATTGGCGCGATAACTTAGAATCCCTGTTACGTTTTATCGAGGCGGTGAGTGCAAAGCTTTTTTTTTTTTTTTTTTTTTTTTTTTTTTTTTTTTTTAATAAGATATTAGGAGTCAATGAGTGCTTCTTCCAAAAATTTCTAATCAAATAAAGTCGTACAGTTTTTTTTTTTATCTTTTTGACTAAAAATTTGTAGGCCAAAAGAGGACTATACGGCTCGGTGCGCTCATCCATTGGCGGTCCAATTGCTAACGCAGAGATAAAAATTCAGGGGAGAAAAGTAACGATAAGCACAAGCAGTAGTGGACATTATCGTTGGTTGCTCCCGCCAGGCAATTATACTGTTACAGCAAATGCCTCGAATTATGAGCCGCTGACACAGAATGTCAAGGTACCCAGTGACAATGGTGAACTCAGATTGGATTTCACCCTCATTCGCAACGATCCTTATCACTGGTACGTATGCTTGATATACAACGATGTTGTATATCAGCGATGAATTAACTCGATTTCTGAAAAGGTGAGCTTCATAAGAATTCTTAATTGTGAAAAGTGATTTCGTTGAACCACGTAAATATCAACATTTTCATTTACATGGTCCTTAACTAACTTATTCGAATTTAATCTCATAAGCGTTTCTACATTTATCTCTTTCTCTCATAAAATAATATTTCACATTTAATTCAGTTTTTTGGATACTTAGTCATTTATTTCTATTCGTTATGGAGATAACGAATAGTGATGGAAGCAAATGCTTTCGTTTCCTTTAATTTGAAAAGAGATAAAAATTTTCTTTGAAAAATTGGCTTTAATAAAATATTCATTTTATTACTTAATGTTTACAAATAATTATATACAAATCATGAATCCGATTCATTTATTAAAATGAATCTACAGATATTGGCATAGCAGTAAAATTTATTCGAAAAAACATAATATTTAAAAATAAAGATAGATGATTAAAGGTAAGCAAGCTAACGCTATTTATTAGCTGCGCCTAGTATTTCATAAGTTAGCGAAAAAATTAGAAACATTTAAAAAAAAATATATTTAAAAACATTTACAATTTTCTTTATTACAATTTGTAATGCACATTGTAATGCAATGCATTAATTAATTTAAAAGGATACGATACAACTAGCGTCAAGCTTTTGTAATTTAATCTAAAATTTTCATTTATCTGCCGTCAGATAATAAAATATTAATCAGTTACATGTAAGAATGCAAAGAATACGTGATTATATGTTGAATGCTGTTCCGATGCTGTAAAAAAAAAAAAAAAAAAAAAAAAAAAAAAAAAAAAAGAGCTCCGCATTCACGATGTTACAAACAATAAAGGAAAGGAAGTTGCAAATCCCTAATAATACAACTATTACAAGCACCTTAATGTAGGACCATAGACCATATGGTAGTAAATGATTTGCGTTATAAATCGTATCACACTTCCCTGATATTTCTTCCCTTTCCCAGAAGACGTTTCTTTATATGCTTCCTTCCAATCGCGAGTAATGAAATAGAGAAACGCGGAAGAGAAAAGGGTAGGTCTAAATTATCATTTATCTAATTCTCAATATTTATCTACTTACGTAGTACCTTTATAAATATTACTTTTAAATTAAATTAACATTTACTAAAGCTTTATTAATAAAAATCGTGCATATGTTAAAGAATTTTTAATTACTGTTAACGAAGGATTCATCTAAACGACTACGACTTAAGGGATAATTTGAAAAATGGATATCTAAAAAATAAGGAATTAAATGAAAGTTACAAAAAATTAGAAATGCAAAAACCGAGTGTAGCTGAATTTAAGGCTGATGATTCACCAATCAGCGCAGCTATACATTCCTTTAAAATTACAAATCACGTGAGTTGAATTAAACTTCGATAAATTTCATCTGTAAAAATTTACGCCTAATTAGCCATATATGTAATATTACTATCCAAATTGTACTATGTAATATTCTCATATTATAATCATAATAATTTTACGATTGAATTTTATGGTAACAGGTGGGGAATAGCGAAGAAACTAAAATACGTATCGGTTTTATTGGAGGATTATTTGCGTCACAGCCAATAGGTAGAGAAATTCTTATAAGATTTGCACGACATATTTTACGAGCGAGCCAAGAGGAAATTCCATTTGTCACTAAATTATTAGACAGGATAGTTTTGTATTTAATACCCGCTGTTGATCCTGCTTTCGATAAAATAACCGATAGCTGCAATCCAGCTGTTAATGATGAAGTAGGAAAAAGATTATACTCAGCGAAACGAGGCTCTCAATTGGATGTTGTTACTAATGCACTTGAGCAATTATTTCTAACAGAAGATTTCGACGCGCTTGTATTGTTTGGAGGCGGAAGTGGGATAAACGTAAGGTAAGATTTCTTCTCAATAAATTCAAGCGTAGCTTTATCTCCTACAAGCGATTCATTTAACAAAGCTATTTTATTTCATTTTCATTTAATATTTTATTTAATTATTTATATTTTGTCTCTTACCATTTAGTTATGCATCCAATAACATTGATTTTTTTAAGGACTTTGTCACATACTACCAAAAGTCTGTACAAATAAGTAAATGTGAAACGCAATATGATGATATTAAAAATGTTCAAAATTATATTAAAGATAAATATAAAATACCGGTTGTAAGTTGGCATTTAACTTGCATGAACATTTTATTCTCAATGCATGCAATACAAATTATGAATTACATTGTGTATAATTATTTTTACTGCCCATTTCAGATGAGTTTTTCTCTATCATGTTGTAAATATCCTGAAGCACAGTTAGTTCCAATCATCTGGAGAGAAAATCTACTGCCATTGAAGAATCTCATTAAACGCTTATCTACTGGTGTTCTTATTGCAGTGAGAGACAGTGACAATAATCCTTTGAGAGAAGCAATAGTGAGAGTTGGCGCGTCTGTTTATAATGTTTCGAAAAATATGGCTTACTTTAAAGCAATATTACCTTCTGGAATATACGATGTAGCGTTTAGCTGTAAAGGCTACGGCGATCAAAGTGCAATGATAATTGTTCGAGACGGCGAGCTGACGCGTTTAAATATTATTTTAATTCGTAGCGATAGTACTACAGATAAAAACCAACACATATTGGAAAATCGCAACGAAGAATATCAAGTACTTAACGATTTGAATATCAAGTATCCGAAAATTTCTACTTTACATGAAATTGGTGTGAGTAAAAATGGACATAAAATAATGGCTCTCGAAATTCATCCAAAAAATAATCTGAAGAATGCCATTGATAGGCCATCCATGGTCTTTTCCGCGGGCGCAGCCACAAGATCATTCGTAACTTCCAAGATTATCATACATCTTGCCACCCACATTTTAACTAATTACAATATTGATAGTCAGATTATAAATTACGTTCAAAATTTCTCCATTTTCGTTGTACCGACTTTGAATCCTGATTCCAATAACAAGGAAAGCTGCTCCTATATTCCTGAAAATATTCTTCAGTTTCCTCGTGAGAGTGGCAAAATCGAGTAAGCTACAAAGATTTACAGCTTTTCATTTTTGTTTATTTGTTTTTTTTTTTTATTTTTAATTGCGCTTGGTAAAATGGATCGTAAAATATTCGAGTGAGTTAATTTACTATTTTTTATACTTTATTTATAAATAAAACTTAATCAAATCTTTAAAAACTTGTATGCATTGTTTGCATCATCAAATCACTTTAAAAGAATATAATCTATTAATCTATTAACTAATATAATAAAAAAAGAGCTCACTTTTTACCAAATCAGATCCAGTTTGTCAAAATAAGATGTATGTCTTTCATCAAATTTCAACGAACATATATTTTTATCGGCGTCAGGTATTACGAGAACGCAAGGACGATCGCTAAATGGCTGGATAGAGTAAAGCCGATAGTAGTTGTGAACTTACGCGTTGGCTCCTTACATATAGAGATTCCTTATGGGAGTCGCCTGGGAAAAAATAGCCAAAAACCATACATTACGGACGATGAAGAAATATTACAGCGTCTGGCTTTGGCCTATACTCTAAACCACCCATCGATGAGTCTTGTGAACTCGCGCTGTGGGAGCCGTGTAATTGTCGAGAACAGTGGCATGGCACATATGGGTGTGGCATCACGAGGCACTATCAACGACAGCCTACTCGACTATCTGTACCTGAAAGCAGGCGCGCTTCCATTGGAAGCCTACATTGCCTGTTGCGACGGCGACGACGACATTCGTGTCTGGATGGAGAACAAACGCAGCTTACTGGCTGTCGTCAGCGAAGCTGCTAAGAACGTGGCTGGGTACGTGGTTAACGAGGCCAATGAGCCCGTAGTCGGGGCCACGCTTACTCACGATCATTCCACGCATCGAATACAAAGCCAAACGAACGGAGCTTACTGGCTGCTCCTGCCGCCGGGCACACATTCCATTGAAATTGATGCGCCAGGTTTCTACCAATTGTCAAAGTCGGTGAATGTCACTGATGAGCGAAACACTGGCAAGTTGATACTTAAACTCAAACGCATCACAAACATCGTTGGGATGCCCCGAGTCGTCTTCATTATTACGACCGGTATACATTTATAATTCCTTCAACTATATTTCCATTCTACGCTTATGAATTTTTGAAACATAATTACCAAAGTATCTCACAACATAGATCGGTACTTTCAGTTTAGTTTTAAATCATACCTTCATCTACTCGTAATCAACACTTTTTTAATAGCTATTAATAATTCTATTACTTTGTTTATTGCAAATAGTCAATTAAAACCAAATTTAATTATCTAAATTTTTTAATTTTTTTTTTTTAACAAAAAGGTGCGGTTCTTATCGTATTGATGATTGGATGCATATTTGCTATTACCAAATATCAATCTAAGCATCTTAAAGATAAAAACAGTCGAAGGCCTTATGCATTTAGTCTGTTGCGCGATGGTAATGCATTTTTTGATGACGATGAAAAAGAAGTTCAAATATTTAAAAGGCCTTGTAAAGGTAATTACATTCTATCTTCTTTTTTTTAATTAATAAATGAAAATGTCTTATTAATTAATTTGTTTCTTTTAGAATATAAGGAAGAATTATCTAAAGTAGAACCTTATTTTGATAATGATGATAACTCAAGTTCCGACGAAGGCAGCGATTTAGAATTCATAAGACCAGATAGAGAATGGCAAGGAAAAGTGCCCGAATAATTTAAACAATTTTTTTTAATTTTTTTTATTTCCGAAAGGTCAATTTTTTGGTACGAATTATCCAATAGAAACCTCATAGACTGACAGTTCAAAAATATTAGCATAAGTTGTCAAATTAGAATATCTTTACTAATTCTGTCGTATTTATAAGTATTTTATATATATATATATATATATATATATATATATAATTAATAGAAAGGAAATCAGAATATTTATTTACACAGCTAATATAGTTGAAAAAAAGTCGTAGAAATTTTATAATATTAAAATTAATTTTTTGTAAATATATAGAAATAATTATTACATTCGATTTCAATATTTTTTAATATAATTTTTTTTTAGACATTCTAACAATTTTAATTTATATGCTCACATACGTATACAAAGAATTAATCGAATCCATTTATAGCTTCTTATTTTAAAAGTCCGTGTGTTTCCGCATGCGTGAATGTATATTTATATGCATGCACTCGCACAAAATTCAAAATCTTGCATGGTATTTGTAGAAATAAATTTTATATATTTTTAGATCCAACTTTTAAAGCGTTAACTCAACTGTGATGCGTGAAATACTTAATATACTTTGTGATTGCAATTACTTTGACTACGATGTGTTTATTATGATACTATTTGCGAGCACAATTAAGAAAGTATTTCATGGAAAAATAAAAAACATTATTCTTATTCAAAATAATCTAGCTTTTATTTTTTATTAATTTACTTTATAAATAATCATACAAAATATACAAAAAATACAAATATTGTTTCTCATTGTGAAAGAAGTATTTTATTTTATAAATTCTTGTACAATAAATGACACTATACAAAACTAATAATTTGAAAAACCGTCTAATTTATAAAATGAAACTTTTTTTTAAATAAAAATTTATAACTAAATATAAATTTAATTATTTCTTATAAATTGTATAAAAATTCGTAATACTATATCACACAAGTGGATGAAAAATGATTTTGATTATATGCAATATTTTCATATTTTAGCCACTTACAGATCCTGTATCGGAAAGGAATAAATTGAGCTTATAAATGTAACAAATTCATATATCCATTGTAAACATTAGAAATGACACGCTTTCAAGAATACTGCACGACTTTAATAAATGTATTTGAATAAACTCAAACTTTCATAATTTTACATTTACTTTGATTCTAAAAATGCACTTATTCAATTTCAACATTAATAAATAAAGAACAATATTTACAAAATAAACTGTTTTACAGGTACGTAAAGTTGTTTCTCCACCACTTTGTAAATTACAACTACGACTCAGTAAAAATTTTGATCATAATTTTGTCCTCAATTATATTGATAAATAACAAATGTATATTAATTGTTCTTAATAATAAATATGTACCTGCTTTATTAATGATCTTATTTTCTATAAAGCTTGACTCAAATCTACAAGTTACATACAATTATGTAATTTAAAAAGAACTCAAGAAACTAAGGAATCTGAAAGAAATGAATCATTATGTCAGAATCGAAACAAAAAAATTGCTTTATACATACTTATTATTATTAAAACAAAAGTGTCCACTTTCATAAAATTACTAAATCAAATGGCGGCAATTGGAGAGTAATTAATAATTACGTCTACCAATAAATTATCATCAGCTCATAGAAATTTGATAAAACATTTCATTTAAGTATAGACCGGCGTAGGAAAATATGATGGATAAAAGATGTTCCAAAAAATAGCCGCGGCCATGAGGACGGTGTATGCAATGAAGCTTGCCCACCAGATGATTTTTTCCCAGGTGCGCACTTCGAGGTTGCGCAATATGTTGATGCCAACGAGAAGTCCGGCTATAGCGCCAGTGAGATGAGCTACATAGCCAATCTGGTTATTTGTCTCAAGGACATAACGAGTATAAATAGCTTGGCCGACATCAACTGACGTTACTGCGAGAAATACAAGCAGCTGAAGTACCGCGAACTCCATTTGCGACCAGTTCATAAGAATGGTCGCCACGTGAGCTGTGATGAGGGCGTACACACCACCGGATGCCCCGGCGAGATAAACGACCGGATCTGAAACCGAGGTACCTAGAGAGCCTGCGACCACTCCCGCAAAGTAAATTATCAACACTCGCCACCATTTATGTACCATCTCCAAGGGAATTCCCAACATCACTTGCACCAGTAAGTTCACTACCAAATGGAAGATTCTATAAGCAGAGATATACAATTGATAAATTATAGGGATTCTTCGCACCTTTCGTTTCGTTAAGCGTGATCGATATAAACAATCTAATTATAAATCCTAACAAATAATTGAACTATTGAAATAATTTAAATTTAAAAGCAGTGAAACATGGCATTAAACAACGCTACTGCTATCATTATAATTTTATAAAATATATAAAAATTATGTTTAAACTTTCCATATTGAAAGATATTAATTCACTTAACAGTAGTAAACTCTACACAATGCAATTAATTAAAAATGTTAATTGTTTTGTTATGCATTTTATAAGTGATTCTTATAAATGATTTGTTATTTACAAAGCGATTGTTAATATAATGTGCAAAAGTATTTTAATTAGGATGTCTCTTCTATTTCTTATATTTTACAATCGCACAAATCTTCGATTATGCAGCTATTTATATTACAAATTTGATGTTTCACATACCGTTAAATACATTATTGATTATAGTTTAAAACTTTGACAAAAACTATTTACTCACCCAACATGTACAAACATGTATGTAAGATACCTCCAAGCCTGATATCTTTTATGAGGATTATAAATAAATAATGTTGCCGTTGGTCCCTCAACTGCCACCGCATTATGAGCAACTGTGTCATATAAAAATAATATAATTTCTAGTATAGAAATAATTATCATTGCCAATGCTGGGGGGTTACAAGTGTATTCCTCTTCATAAAGACCATCGATAAAATCACCAGATCTTGTTGTTTGTAGCGTTCCAATAGCACATGGTCGACATGGAACTATTGAGTGAATATATCTTTGAACAAAGTGCCCAAAAACACCTTGCATGTCCTTTCTATGAATCTGAAATTAAATTAATTTAATTAATTAATTCTTCATAATTAATATATAACATGACAAATCGAAATTTTACCATTGTGATAAATTCTGGATATTCCAAGAATCCTGAGTTATCCAGGTCAGCTTTATGTAAGATCATTTGTATTACACGACTTGGAATGTCATTTGTATAAATTGACGAATTACGAATCATTACCTTCAACTCTTGGTAAGAAATTTTTCCATCGCTATCCGCATCATACTTTTCAAAAATAGCCTTCCAATGCTAAAAAACACATGTACTTTAATGAGCACTAAATATGGAAATAATTACTAATATAGTATTTCATACAGAATCATTATACTGCAGTGGTATTGTTATTGCCGATTCAGCATCCCTTCCAGTTGCCATATTAATTAATTTGATGCTTCTATAAGTATCAAGAAAAATTAAATGAAAAATCTGTGCCAATTGTTAATAAATATTTATACAAAAAAATACGCAAATTTATATACTTAATTATGTGATTTATATTAAGTGTAACATAATAACTGTTAAATCATATTGATTTCTAAAATGTTCTAATTTGATAAATTGTATAATAAACAATAATAATTTCTACTATGATTAACTTATTTATTTTTATGAATATTTATTATTACATACTCTTTAATGTATTGTATTAAGATAATAATAAATTCAAATGTAAATGTGTGTGTGTGTGTGTGTGTTTGTGTGTGTGTGTGTGTGTGTGTGCATGTACAAAGAATTTAAACTAATTTCGTATATTTGATATATATATATATATATATATATATATAAATTAACGGTTCGTTTAAAAAAAATTGAAGAGTAAATTCAAATTCATAAAAAAAATATAAACAAAATACCTACTAAAGAATTACAAATCGTTTATAGAATCTTATCAACATGCGCACTTTGTTATGAAGTACTCAGAACGTGGCAAGAGCGATTATACCGTTATTAATCTCACATTGGCACACGAAGTTGGAAAAGAGCAAATTCCTATTGCAACAGGTTAGAGACATTCATCCGATTCTTTATAGAGAGCCACTTGTAACAAAACGATTGTATTGTTAGAATTGGTTCCACGGAATGTATGAAAATATCGGGGATTGAACGCAGTAATACATAAGACTCCTGTTTATCTCACAAATAATGTTGTTACATTCTTCAAGTAACAAAATTACTTTCCCATTCGTTTGTTATAATAGCAACATAGAGCTCAGAAAAACGGAGAATCAATCTACTATCTGAAAACTGCTAAGCGTACTAAAAGAGCGTCATTTCTATCGTTATCCTTCTCTTCCTCCCTCCCTTCCAACCTTCCTGCCCATCGCGATCGCTCTCTCGCTCTCTCTCTCTCTCCCTCCCCCTCCCCCTGTTGCTCACTGGATTTAGCACCCCTCTTCAGTAACGCATAGCATCCCAACACATGTTTTTATGCAAACACAATTGAGCATAAAATAAGAATGTGAAAAAGAAAAAACACGAGAAGGAGCAAATGAAAACAAGCTCGGATAAAAGACGTAAAGAAGAAATATATTAAAAATAAGTCAAATAAATAATAAATAATGCTGTATAACAAACGAGTAGCTGCATTTATGAAATTTTCTAAGCTAAAAAATGCTTATTGAAATAAGCATACGTCAAAACTGCTAAGCAACACATCCGTCCTCAAGAAGTAAACAAAGAATCTATTCTGCCCTGATTGATATTAGAATTAAAATAGATCATAAGTAAATGTACATAGGCGTAAAAATGTTATTTTTTTATTAATTATTTGTAGTTGCCAGATGACAAGCCATTCGACTTAAAAAATTTTAAGATACATTACAAACTACGAATTATATAATTAACATTAACAACAACCTTATAATACATTTAATAAAATAATAAAAGGTGAAGTTTTTCCAAAATAAAGTGTTGTATTCTTTTGCAAATTAAAAATATCACTTAAGTGATCGATATGCTAGAACCAGCAAAAAGTAAAGCGAAGATATCGAGCAAATATAATGTTAAACAGCCGATTGAGAACTTCAAAGTTAGGTGAGGTTAGAGTATAATATTTCAAGGAATCTTGTTCGAAATTACGAATATTCAATTAGATATAAATAAAGAATTTTATATTATTGAATACAAATTTAAATATAGTATTTTATCTATATTTTAATATTTAATTTTTCATATTCTGTGCTTACATTTTCTAAATAGAAGTTATTACAATTCACATGTTAAAATAATTCAAATTTTATAGTTACTTCATAAGTTCATAAATAACCGAAATGTATAACCATATATTATTATTGAAATTTTGTAAAAGCATATTTTTATTTTCACCATAGTAAAGTATTTTTAATGTGCTAATTTTAACATAATTACATTGATTTACGTTTTTGAATGCTTTTGATACTTTATTAGATATAATTGTATCGCTTTTAAAAGTTATGAAACAAATGGGTTGATAATTTTGTTGGTTTCTGATCGTAGAGAAAATTTTCAACAAAAAAACTTAAAAAAATTAGTTAAATATATCAAAAAAACAACAACAACAAAAAACTTTAAAGTTTGCAGACTATATTTATTAAATAATATTTCAATTTTATTAGCTGTTAATTTATTAATTTCATCGATGAAAGTTTAACGACGTAGGTATTGTCAATTGAAGTCCAATATTTTTTATTAAATATATGTTAATTAAATAAATAATAATAGAGCTGAAAATTAAAAAAAAATTATTCTTTTAGTCCTATACTTTGGAAAATTGTGTTTTAAAATTGAATTTAAATCAGAACACAAATTGTTGATTTAAAGTTAAAGTTTAAGTTAAAGTTGAAGAAAAATCTGATCTGTAAATAATATAGGGATTTGATTTAGGGTAAAGATTATACAACAAAAATCGCCGCTTGCTGAACTATTTGAGAACGAGAGGGAAACACGGGACGGTAACTTTCTGGAGGCCGAGGAATACGAATTTAGTTGGCAAGAGAAAGTTCTCGGCCCTTACGAGGTCAAGTATTATCGAGACGTGCTCAATTGTACAACGGACAAACAGAAGGAGTATCGTAGACGTATTCTGAATACAGTCGACTCCGAGAAAGGCTCCCGCCTCTACTCTTATGTACTGGGAGACTCCTACTATCCAGATTCGTCCCTCATCACGGGTAGATTTAGATCTCGGCTCTCGCAACGAAACGAACGAGCGACTCCGCCGGTAAAGAACCGCAAGCCGTTTGTGAAACGATATAACCAACGTGTCGTTGATGAGGCTCCATCCAATGCGAAAATCAACGAGAATCATTATCTGTATAAGGTAGATTATTTATAATGCTTTTTTTTCTCTTCTATTGTTTCCTAAATACATACATTTTCTTTTCGCACTGAGACAAATAAGTCTCATCACTCGTTGCCATTAGATACAATATTTGTCAGTAAAAATAGTTGATACGTATCCTATTGAGAATATATGCCTATTTAATTAATTTTTATGGGAAGGAGGGTTTGTGCAATTGCGTGTAAAAATTGACAGTTTAGCTTTTCCATGTTGTAAGATAATGGAGTAGATTATTAATAACAGAACACTTTTCAAAACGGTAAATAAGAAGAATTTGAATGTACAGAGTCTTATGGACTTGATATGAGGGTTAAATTAATTTTCATTAGAAGTTATACAATAGAAGCAATGGAGACATCAAAGCTATTATTAAAATGAGAATGCCGATACCTAAATAATTAAATAATACTTTTGGATTATGTGTAAAACTCCCATTGTAAAAATGAAAGCTAATAAAAACAGTACTACATCAGGAACATGAGAGCATGTACATTGTGGTGGATCTGTCGCCGAAAGACGAAACGACGGTTGAGTCTACGGACTCCGAAGTACTACTCTGCGCCATTATCTACGATCCACAACATAAATGCCTGACTCTCAGCCCGGACTTCTCCGAAGATGAGCCCTATAATGTCGAAGGAATCGGCATGAATTATGATTATTGGATATCGGATGCGTCCCCGAAACCGACAAATCGAGAGATGCTACGACACCTCGAAAACGTTAAGAAGGTAAGAAGTGGAAGAACCACCAATAAATCTATAATACTTCCAAAGCTCAGCAGAACGTAACCCATAGACACACAGCAATTGTTATGCCTAAAATTTAATTTACTTACGTGTAAATTTACGTGTTCATGAATTGTTATGTTTGATCAAATTTTACAATCCCATTTGCTAACCAATATCCGTTTTCCTAATTGTCATCCAAAAATGTTTAAGCTACGTCTTTTGTTACTTAATTTGATTGCATTATAATATAATATTATATATATATATATATTATTTCAATATGAAATTTTGTTCGAATTACCACACATAATATTTTTATAATAAGATTTTGCCTAAGATCAATTTTATTAATTTAGATATAGTTGATTTTTTAACTTAAAATACAATGCAAAATAACGGCTATTTTTTCTAAACTCAATATCCAGTGATTTATTAATCCTGATCATTTTTATAATTCCTTCTTTCGACCGATATTGCTTATTTATACTATAATTTAACTAGTATTCATAAATTTATAGCAAACAAGAATCTAAGCATTGGTTATTGCATAAAATATAAATAACCGATTCGTTAATCGAGGTAAGGAATAGATAACAAAAGGTGTACTCGTCCCAAGTTAAAGAAATTTTATGATATTTAACAAATTGGAAACGCATTCGATATACACCGACAGTCGGTGTGTGACTACACTCTTACAAGTGAATAAAAAAACGTTACCCAGGCTATTCCCGCTGAATAAGGGATTAAGAAGGACTTGACATTTTATAATTTCGAGGTCCTAGTTTTCGTAAAAAAAAATCGTACTATCATTTTTTTCTTCGCACAAGTCTGAATTAAAACTTTCATGGAACTTCTGACAATTGAAATTTTAATGTCTTGAAAATGAATTGTAAACGGTTATATATGTATACTCACATAAATTTGTATATTTATTTTTCCAAATACATAGAAATTGCCAATTAAGATCCATTATTTTCATTAAATTCATGGTTCCGATTCAATAGATACTCAGCCTCCGTTTCTGTTCAATATACAATTTTAAATACATTGTTATATTAAAAATTAACAGTGAAAAACTGTAATGTTGCATAAATATAATAATACTTGAGCTTTGACGCTTAAATCATATAGAAATAATTATAGTAATTTGTTAATGTAAATATATAAAATTTGAATATTCGAATAAATATTATTAATATTGCAAATCCGATAAAATTAGTACGGAAGAAAATAATTTAAATTAGTAAAGAAAAAAAAAAGAAAAAAAAATCATATCCTTTCCAATTTAGAAATTTATTTAAAAATTATTCAAGATTTTTAATAAATATTAGAAAAACTTATATAAATAATGTTATTTATATTAAAAATTTTAAATATATAGCTATTTTTTATTATCGTATGCAAAATCCTATTATTTTCCATGAAATTTTATTATATTTTCCATTATTTTTTATTATTTGCGATTATTATCCCCATTAAGTTTCGTTTATTAAAACGTGTTCCTGTATTTTTTCTTCATATAAAATTATGACCGCGAATTATTCAATATCGCTTTATTCGATCATTTGAGATACGCGAATATATCATTTAAGATACAATTCGAAAATTTCATTGTAAATAAAATAATAATAATTAGTATAATAGTAATTTCTTTACGCAACAAATGCATTTAAAAAAAAAAAAGTAAATAAACAATGACATACCACTAAGTAGTTTTTTTACCCTTCTTTTTTTTTTATTAAATTTTTAATTAAAACAAATTGCTCTTAATTATTATTATTTTGAAAATGTAAAAATAATTAAGTGTAAATGTTATTTATGCTTAAAATTTAAATATCTATCCATCTTTTTTTATAACTTTTGTTAAAAATCTACGGTACCAAAAGCTTTAAAATCGTTATAGATTTTGAATTTCAATATTTGAGTGGTTTTACAATCATTTGATAAGGTAAATAAAAATAAATAAATAAATAAATAAGAAAGAAAAAACAATGAGTCAAGACTGCACTACAGTTTCAATTCTTTCAAGGTGCAATGCTTTTAGCTGCATTGGAATTAGGAAGTTAATTTTGTTAATTCAGCAAAACAGCATGAATGAAAACTTATCACTAGTGATGAATAAGCTAATGATTAATTATTCTGCTTACAATTGTCCTTGTTGCATGTAATTGTTAATATAGTATTAATTAATAATCAGTTTAGAAAGTACTGTGCCTGTGGATATTAAATAATGCTCAGTGAAGGTAGATAAAATTGAAAAGGCAATGCAGTGAGTACACTTAAATATTTAATTAGATCAATGGAACCTAAAATTCGCTCACAATTGTCAAACCATTTTTAGGAGGTACAGCGTATGCGCGCTCTGAAGGGGGCTCAACTATTCCATGAACTCGAGGTTCCAGGACCGCGAGTACTACGTCTCTTCGTCAACCTAGACATCGGTTTGGCACGAGACTTCGAACACGATGACGCACTCTTTGTCAGTTACCGCGTAGAGCTTCCACGGCACTGGCGCTCGTGCGGACACCTCGCCGGTAGAACCCAACGATGTCGTGCCCAAAAAGGACGAACTCATTTTGGCTATTGCACCGAAGTTATACTGGAATTCGACCTGACGACCGAACGAGAATTCGCGGTTTCTCGACCACGCATTATCTTCTCCGTTGCATCGCTTGATTATTGGACTAGGTGAGCGCAATATCTATTATAACATTAACTGACGTGAAGAAAGTGAACGAAGAAGACAAGGATCGAAAGCCTAGATTTTGAAGTTCATCGATTTACTTTTCTTTTTATTTTATTAAAAAAATACTAACCTACCGCTCGTTTCCACCACCATAACAATACAAAAACGATAATTTTAACTTACACTATTATCTTCGTTTTTATGCATATTTTTCATTGATAGTAGTGTACGAGCATTTGCTTCGAAGCTACATTATCTCACTCACCGTTAGTCTATAATTAAATCTAAATAAATAATATTTAATAAACAAAAGTACGAAATAGCATACATTTTTCTTCAAATTATTTGAAATTCATAAAATTTTAAGATTAGGCTTATTTATACCATGTATACCACAATTGTACCATGCATATACCTTAACTTGAACCGAATTAATGCTCAAGAATAACGATTAAAAATCACAAAACCATGTAGATATGATCTAAATTACTATTTGTAATATACATACAAATTTTCCCTCGTGCATTTTCGATTTTACTGTATATTACATTAGATTTTTCAATTTTTTCAAGCGTCCAGTACAGTGACTTATTAAATACATACATGTTTTATTATATTATATCGCAAATCATAATGCCTTGCATTTAAAAATATTAACATAAATAATAATATTAGTGAAATCTCTATAATTATTTGTAAATAATTCTTTAAATAATAAAAACTGCAGATATTTTTTTTAATAAAAACAATGAAATATGTAAAACTAATAATTTTTTTCATGTATTATATGCATCTCAATATTTATGAATTTTAATGTCTACAGGCAGCAATGTATGCATAAAAGATCCCTTTTAATTTCAAAGTTAAATTATATTATTAAAAATTTTTTAATTTAATTCTTAAAAGCTAATTCAAAGAAAATTATTGGCATCTAAACCATTTAAAAATTCTTTGTACAACTTATTTATTTAAAAAAATCAAGTTTTATAAAAAATAAATAAATAAAATTACATGTATGTCAACAGTTTTAATATCAGAATTCATTTAACTTCTATACAATCAAATTTTTTTTTTTTAAACGATTAATTTTTGTAATTGATTTTTAAATAGATCAAAACCACTTTTGATAACTTCAAATTATATGTCAAATTTTAATATGCCTCATCATAACTTATAAATAAATTTTATTGTGAATAAATCAAAGGTAAAGTCTTCAAAAATAAAGCAATTAAAAACAATTCTATATAATGTAGGATTAATATAGGAAAATCTTCGTTTTTAATGCTTTGAATTATTCAATTATCTATATTATTAAATGTAAAAATAAAAATGTTGCTTTCTAGCAATAAATTGTAGCGGGAAATGAAAATTCTTCATTAATTATAAGAGGGATAAAGATATACATGTGTTTGAAATCATTTATCAAATTGCTGCACGTAACTCATAATTTTCCAATAAACTATAAACTTATCTAATGCTAAGGTAATATTTCTTGTTATCAATAAAGCATTTTGTACTAATAATGAATATTCGACAGCATACGAAATATTGAAAATGCAAAGGTAAATATTGCAAAGAATGCTTGAATATGATCGATGTGATACAATAACCTTAATGTAAAAAATAAGCGTAAGCCGCAAATTCAGAATATTATCCAAAACCTGCAGTCGACGATCCTTCTTTGACCTTTTAATATACATTTCATGATTACAGTTTCCAGTTACAAGCTAAAGCATATAATCTTCCTAGATACCGCATCGAGGGTTATGGCGCAGTACCGCTGTCACCCAGTTCAGGATTGCAGGAACTCGAGTTACAGACATGGCGACCGGCCTGTGGTTTCGTGGATGCGTTACGACGTTTCTTCACTGGCGGAAGTCGCGAGCTCGAAGATCCGGGTTATTGTGGGTTACCTTCGTGCCAGGAGGGTCCGCGGCTTGATAAACACATCCTTGGCGTTGTACCCAGCGGTCGGCTGCAGCTACGAATAAGCATTACGAGGCAAAGTCTCGATGACACCGCACTCGAAGTACGAAATGTTGACTTACTCGAAGGTGTTGACGAAGTGCTCACTCGCTTTAAAGAGGCAAGGGAGCGTATGATCCAGGCACGCGCCATGTGCATCTAAATGACCGACTCGGTACGGTACAATGTATGCGTCTTTCATACTTTAAATACTCTTTATTTCGAAAAACAAATACTTTTTCCCTCCCAAATTCTCCAGGGTATATCGAGTGAGGAGTCTAGGCAAAACTGACTCTCTCGTAACGGAGCTGATTTTTATTTCAACAAAAATAACAATTTACATTGAATTGTATTTTCATAATGATAATTATAATGCATGCTACACCTTTAATTTACTGGTAGGCATCGTATGCACTCGCTCGCTATTTTTATTCTTGTAATTAATGTTTTTATTTTTTTCCTCTATTCTTCAATTAATCATTAATAGTGATTTCGTAGACTAATTTCGTAACGTTAACGTTCATTTTTCTTTTTTTTGTATTTACGTTGGGTTGTTTTTTTGTTTTTTTTTTTATTACTTTTTTTTTGTTTTTGTTTTTTGTTTAGTCTACTCACTGTCTCCATCGAGGTGCAATGCCCGAGGACGTAGTCATCCTGATAAAATAAAAAAGAGTGCGCCTTGGTTCGTTACATGCATTATACAGCCTTATCTCCTCGTGGAACGAATCAGCATCTGTGCTTGCGGAGCTGATTTCGTTGAAATTTTTTAGAAATCGAATAGGTACACGTGTTATTATTGTACGTAATATTCAATAGATTTTACTTCTTTTTTTTTTTTTTTTTTTTTTTTTTTTTTTTTTTAAGAAGGAGAAAGAAACTGAGATAGAGAAAAACGCACTGGTGATATATTTAATTATGTTTTCGTTTCATATCGCTCAGAATAGTTATGTATTTCTTTGTTCGTTTTTAGTTTTAAATGACAATAAAATTTTAGCAGTATCGCGATGCGTACCGACATGTTTACCGTATAATAGTTAACATGTTTTCTCTCTCACTTTCCTTTCCTCGCGCCCACAAGACTCGTATGCCAATAATTTTTTTTTTCACTTCATTTTTCTAGAATTCTTTACGTGTCAATGCATCCCGCATCCCATAAACGTAACACCTTGCAGTAAAAGGAAAAGCAATCTACACTGCAGATCCAAAGGTGATTGCAATTATCGATGAGAAATAAGGAAACTAATAAAGAAATTCGCGATGCGCTTGAGTGAAAAAGGAAGGCAGGCATATTATTACAATAGCGGACTCTTTGTTTCAACTTTTAGAGATGCTAGCGAAGTAATACTGGGAAGACTGAGTTTTCTTAAGAATTTTGTTTCTTTCACGTTAATGGTTTTCGTGAATCAGAAATGTTATCTTTGTTACTCGCGCATATCTTCCTTTTGAAGAAACAATGACGGAAAATACCTCAATTAAAATTCTAATATCACAAAGTTTTTTAATCAATGAGAAAGCATCCCTTTTTTGTTATCGTCATATCGGATTATGATGGCAAGTGCTCTAAAATAGAATTTTTCGCGCGGATATTCGTTGATTACATTTTCTCCGTTCATCGTATACGTCCGATTAGAAAAATATTAAATGGCTACTGGAATCATTAAAGGCTCCTTATAACAAATGAATGATTATACGTGCACATTGTATACTTTGCTGAGAATGTTATAAAAATTATTGATAACAGTAACGATGATTATTAAATATAAGTTAAAGCAATACAAATATATGTCACTAATGAATGCTAATATATAAATGCAAACGTTTAGGAGACTTTAGATGATCCTTAGCATTACTTCGAATCAGCAATTAATAAAAAAGATATATCAAAGATAAACGTCGTAAAGAATGCATTCAGATTTAAATTAATGATCGAAGTTGCGATTGAGGCAAAAATCGGACTTAATATAATTACTTATAGTATTTGTTTCAATGGATTTGCTTTCTGATTAAAGTAAATTAGAAGTGCTCGTGTTTCAAACACTCTTGACACAAATTCCAGATTAGTGTAAATTTTTCAATGATGAACTTGGAAAAGTATTGTAAAATTTGATTTGAACATCGATTTAGTTCATTAGGATACTTCAGTGATTTTGGAATAGAACGTGTACGTATATAAAAATTAAGTATTTAGATATATAAGATTATAAATAAATTTTAATATTAACCATCAAAACATGTATTTTGTCTTTTTTTTTCTTCTGTATCATAGGTAATGTATTTACACGTAGAAAAAATATTAAAGATCAAATACCGATCAACATTTATCATAATAGTTCCCATATAACTTTTAATATATTACCTTTTCCCAATCCATCACAGGAAAAAAAAATTAATTCTTACACTCTTAAGGCAATCTTTAACAAACGACGTTTTGCACCGATAATAGAATTTAGAAAGCGTTGAAAAATCGCGATCGAATACGATTGAAGGCGCAATTCATATTTTGCATATTAATATAAAATTAGGCTGTATAAAAAGTGTGTGTATTATATATTGGTGTGTGTGTGGTAAATGTATCATGTGTAACACGTGTATTTTGCTTAATGAATAGTTCCCGCAGATTAAAGGATACGCGTATATACGTTATCTACAATAGTTAAATTAAATAAAATCCACATCTATTCGTTCATCGACGATTCAATCATTTTTTAATCGGCTGTTTATTTCAATTATAAGAGAACGTAGTCTTGGGAGAATTTCCCTAGTCAGTTCGTGATTTCCTAAATTCTAAACGCTAGCTACATTACTTCTTAATCTGGGCCTAGAATTTTCCTTCCTTATTTGCTATACATAATAAACTAATAATCGTTATAATTACTTTTACTTCACTCTTAAATGATAGTATTACGTACTATGTACAACGCTTAAGCTTACATTGTATATTTATGTTTCGTAAAACCACTTTACTAGAAAAAAAAATCGACAAAAATAAATGATAGAGGGTGGTATCGGCACGAACCGTATCACTATAAAAAAAACGCATTAATATTATTTTCTCTCTTTCGTGACTCTTACATTTGACTCTTTATCATTCTTTCACTCGTTAAATTCTATCTAACGACTACATTATTCACATTTGCAAATCTCGATGAACGCTTATGTGCAGCAGACGCATAACAGACTTATTCAAATTAAAAACATACACACCATTAACGCCATAATTATCATTTAACGATTATACTACGTAATTATATTTACAAAAGCGTCTGCACTGGAAACTCGGGCTACGCTTATTTACTTCGCCCAAGTCTCAAATCAACAATATTCTTGTATTTTGTTTCCCATCTTGGATTCTAATATTTTCATTTCAGTGCTTACATACAAACGTGAATCACCCTGTTCTTTTCTTATAATCGCATCAACACTTTGTATTCTCAACGGTATTATACCGGCAATGGAATGAACGTTGACTTGTTCGATAATAGTTTTCCAAAAAATTGTACACTGTAGAGGCTAAAATAAGACGCAGTTCGTAACTTTTATTTGAATGCTATACGATGGCTCGTCTTTTGAATAAAGATTTCATTCTTGTAAAATAAAAGAAATTTTTGTACAGCTCATCGAGATTAAAAATTACTTTCTCGAAGACCGTAAATCGTTATTTACATATTTGACAAATTGCGCAGAATATATGTTTTTATTGATAGTAAAATTTACCAAATTGAGAATAAAAATGTTCTTGGATTGTTTCCAAGGTTAATTTACATTTTTTAGTTTGAATCTCAGTATTTTACAACTTGATATCATTTTCCTTAAAGAAATAAAATAAAAATAAAAATGTATAAATTTTACATATACAACAGTTTGTTTAAATACGATTACAAAATGATATTGTTCATTGGCACTCTGCGCTCGTCAACTTTTATACGATTGAAAAAAATATACACCCGCGCACACACACACACACACACACACACACACATGCGATAGCGCGCGCGCACACAACCAATGTCTATGCATCGAATAAAGTAGTACTGTTAACGTTACCAACGAATTGTACACATTTCACGTTGAAAAAAAGATATCACGAGTAGAAGTAAAAATATAATGTGCGTCGAAAAGCTTATTCAAAAATACATCTATATTTACATCTTAAAATTTATAGGAATTAAATAAATTTTAATGCCTATGAGGTGAATGTCGTTTAAAAATGTAGGTAATATTTAAATTTTAAAACAGTAAGGAGGAAAATAAATGATTGCATATAAAACGCAAGTAAGCCTGACTGAAAGAACGAACCTTAAAAGAAGGAAAAATAAAAAAAAAAAATACGTTGAAAAGCGCTTCGCATATTTTTACGACATTCGCTCAAAATATCTCTCCTTCAAAATGAGTAACACAATCATTGCCATCTATCTCAACGTCCATAGATCTTGTCTTGGTTTTATTGCTTTGTTCGCATACCAATAGCCAGATGATGATATCCCTTTGGTTCAGGGCATCGTGGTTCAGAAAAATGTGTCGCAGCCGTTTTTGTTGTAATATCAATCTTCATCCGAAAGCGGCTCGTACTGGGCAGAAAGCAGTGGCGCGGGCTCCTCGCTCTTTACAACAGCGACGGGTGCTCCGACGGCACTCGGTGGTGGTGCCGGTGGCGGCCCTGTATGCACGCCAAGGGCATTAAATGGATAAAAGGTAGTGGGCGCAGGTGTCGGTAACTGATTCGGTGACTCGTCAATTATCATTTCACCACCGGGAGAGCTATCGGTACATGACTTATCATCTTTATCGTTGCCAGGGCCACCATTTCGGTCGCCGGAGCTTGTTTTGTCATCCTCCGTACGCATCACTTCTACAATTTTGTTTTTCACATAATCAAGGGGCGAAAGATGGGATTTACTCGTAGGTGTAGTAGCGGTCGTCGTCGTGGCGACACCCGACTCGTAGAAACGACGGGAATAATGATTAGTAGTTGGCTCAGGTGGTGAAACCGGCTCCGTATGAAATTGTTGTTGTTTATTTACTGTCTGCTGTGATTGCGAAGAGACTGGCTTTTGTTGAGCAACGCGAATTATTTGACGCTCATCGCCGGGCTTTACGGAGTCGGCTTCCGTTCCTTTTCTTCGCTTCCACTGATCATCTGGTATTTGATAACTGCGATGGAAAAACGATGTGGCAAATTAGATAATGGAAAATTACATATTAGATGATCGCTACTAACGTACTTAAAAAGGAAAAAACTATTTTTAATATAAGAATTTCGATTACATTGACCTTTGAAATGGTCTATAAGATGACATTGGTGGTCCGTAATCTTTGTTTACAATGTGATCCACGTGTTCACCAAGAGTGATGGCTTTATTGTTTCCACTGCCACTGCCACCTCCACCACCTGAAGCCCCAATCGGGATGCTTTCTTCTCCCCCTGGACTATGAGCCATGCCATTTGGTTCAGCTGGACTATCCCTATGAAATCCCTGCACACAACATTCACGAATATCATCATCTATTTGTAAACTATGAAATCGTAGAGTTAATAAATAAAAATAACTTCTACGGCCTACATTTATCATAAGAATATTAATTATTTTTTAATACATCCAAGATACAATAAAAATGTAACGATGTCGTATAACTGAAAATGATCATTGCAACTATATTCACCTGAAAAAGACGATCACCAGGACGCGTTGGTTGATTATTAGAAGCCGGAGTACCGCTGCTATTATCTGTACTCTGATTTATTTGATGAGTTATTATGGCATCGATTAAACTAGCGGCTGTCAATGTGGACGAGGAATCGCCTTGTTGATTAGAAGATGATTGACTGTGTCTCGAAGATGGAGGTGGTTGCGATTGCTGTTGTATTCGCGTAGCTTGAAAAAATCCACTGCTTTTCGCAATGTTTGGCGATTCACATTGACGTTCCGCTAATTCCCTGTTTATTTATTTATTTATTTTTTTATTAATAAATTAAAATCAATAACCTCTTTTGACAAGATGAAAAAATTCTTGTGAATATAGAAATTAAAACTACCTATACAAATAGTAATAATTTTTACTGAATATTGTATTTTATTTGCAAATATAATTGTCGTGTAAATTGTATCTTTCAGTATAAAAAAAAAAATTGTTTGGGAGACAAAATAATTAAACTTTTTACAATTGAATGTATATACTTGTACGGTTAAATTTTTTAATACCACTTTTTCTTTTATATTTGTTTGTAAGGCATTAAAAAATATATTTTATATAATATATTTAAAAAAAATTTTGTAAACTATTGTTTATATATATTAAAAATGCAATAAATACCGAATAGTATACTGAAATCCAAAGCTATATTTTAATTAAAAAAACCCATTCATTTTATCATATAGTAGATCCTAATTATTTTATTGCAAGATAATAAATATTTTCAACGAAATAATCAAAATAAAAATAAGAGTTTGCTGTAACCTGTAGAGATGGGCTTCTTGTTGATCTTTATAAATCTGGACGATTTGACGTCTTTCTGCTTCCATACGCTGCTGCTGGATATGCTGAATATGTTGCTTTTGGAATCTCTGCTGCTGTTGCTGCAAATAAACGAGATTCTCTCTTTGCACAGCTAACCGGTGATCCGCCTGCTGTTGTTGCAACTCCTTCTCTCTTTTCTGCTGGGCGGCAAGTCTAAGCTCTTGCTGTTGTATCTCTTTTTCACGCTGTTGCACCGCCAGTCTGTGCTCCTGATGTTCTTTTTCTCGTTGCGCTGCTACAGCAGCCATTTGCATCTCCTTTTCGCGTTGATGTTGTACGAGTCGATAATGCTGCTGTTGCATATCTTTTTCGCGCTGTTGTTGATGTTGCTGTTGCTGCTGTTGCTGCTGATGTATGCTCATTCTATGATCTGCATGACTTTGTTGCTGTTGTATTTCTTTATCGCGCTGCTGAATAGCAATTCTATGGTCTACCACCGCTGCTGCGGCTACAGCTTGATGCATCTCTTGTTCTCGCTGCTGCTGCTGCTGTTGCTGCTGCTGTTGTTGTACCATCCTATGCTCCTGTTGTTGTTGTTGGATCTCTTTTTCACGATGGTGCACAACCATGCGTTCCATTTGCTGCTGATGATGAAGTTGCTGTTGCTGTTGCTGTTGTTGTTGTTGCTGCTGTTCCTTTTCACGTTGCAATCGTTGCTGCTGCTCTTCCTCTTGCTGTTGTTTCTCACGCATCATGAGGTCGCGTTCGCGTTGCTCCTCCCGCTGCTGCATCGCTACGGCCATTTGGTACTGAGCAGCTTGTTGACGGGCAAGTCTCGGCATGTTCTGAAGTGAGCGATTATCCATCGCATATCGCTCCGTGTACATTCGCTCGATCGACATACAAAGACCTTCGTGACCGCTACTACTCGCCGGTGGGTGGGGTACTGGGAGACTCGGTTGCTGCACAGCTACATCTACGAGGCTGGAAAATGCTTCCAGGCCAGGCGGCGGTGGCGGATAATGTTTCTGAGTGTTGTGCCTTTGAATTACACCTTGACGAGCTTGGGGATGAGTAGGCGGGGGTGGAGTACTCGCACAGTAAAGAGTCGCTGGGGGTTCGTTTTTGCTTGAGACTTCAGCCGAACTACTGCTACGATTACGTGGATGCATCTGCTGACTCGTTATATAATCATTCATGATAATCTGACGTGAGGAAAGTTGCTCCATCGTGTAGCTTGGGGCTTGGCGCGACGGATACGAGTTGTACTGACTACTGCTGCCACTGCTAAAACAATTTTTTTAATTTATTTATTGAATTTACTAAAGCTAATGCTCGATTTTCAATTATATATAATTGAATTTTATTATGAAAATAAGATAATACGTATAACTTGAACATGAATATCGTTAAATATAAGGTAGAAACGTTATCCAGAAAAAGCATAGAAAAGGGTTTGTATTAAACAATACCTTTGGCCGTGACTAACGACTACTCCAGAATTTTGAGTTGACTGTACGGGTACATTGCTTGTAGTTACCGGCGAGTGTCGAATAGTACGATGATAATCATAGATCGGTGCTCGCTTATCCACTGCGAATGAGTGCACAGGAGTGCCTTGGGTGATGGAACCCGTTTCTTTGGAACTTACTACAATAAGCATTCATAGGAAATATTGATAGAAAGATATCTAAATGTTTAATTGGTAGTAAAGACTTGGCTAAATGAAATCCTAACCTGGAGTGGCGCTGGGATTGGGCTGGCTTGAATTTCCAGGTGGCGTCATCTGTCTAAGCAAGCCATCGTACCTGGCACTCGATACCGGTGTGCCATGAGTAATAGAGCCAGTTTTGTGCGGAGTTGCTATATTACCGAGCTTGGGTGAGAGTTTGGGATGCGTCGTTGGTGGTACAGACACCTTATTCAACTTCGGGGTAAGGGGTGCCTGAGGTCGTGGCGACGAAACATACACATGGGGACTTTTGGCACTTCGAACCTGTGGTTCCTGGTGCCCGTGCGAGTGATAATAAGTTGCAGAAGGCGGAGGCTCAGCTCGGTAATGACCAACCGAGGCCGGTTTGTGAGTAAGCGGTGGTTGCAACGAGTGATTGTAATCCTGCTGCTGGCGCGGTTTCTTGATACTTAGATCAAGGGTACCCTCTGTTTCTCGCATCGCCTGCTGTACCTGTATTACATAATTTTACTTATTACTTTGTGCATTTTCTTATTTTCATAATAGATTTTGATGAAATGTAATAGGAATTATACTTTCATTTCAAAATCATTTATAATTACAATTAAAACGTCGGATACAAATTTCGTAAGTACACTGCTTTACGTTACTTTATTATACCAGCTTTTATTAACAAGCATATGAATATAAACTTTTAATACAACAACCTATTGCCTGTTACTTTTATAAGTTATTTTTTATTATAATGTTATTATTATTTAGAAATTAAGTAATGAAAAACATTTCCTTATTCTCGTATATATCTTACCGACTCATTATGTAGTAATAAAATACCAATTATTAGTAATAGATTGTTGGTTAATATCAAATTAAAACTATAGTTTTATAATTGGGAAAATCATACCGATATTCCCAATATCCTGAATCAATTACCAAATTATATTATCAAATAATGGATTCAAATGGTATTTATGAATGACAAAAGAAGTATAATTTTTTTAGGTAACATCATTTATCAATTACAAACTTACTTAAATATTTAAACGGGTTTTTTGTTTTTTAAACAAAAAACTTGAAGTGATTATTCTCATACTATAATTGATATAATTATCGCGCAGCAATAATGAATCATACAAATGAAAATTAGAAAATAGATAAGAGCGAGTAAAAGTAAGTAAAAGTACGCACGTACCTGCATAACAACAAGTCCCTCTTTCGGTAGCATATCCTGGCTGCTCGGTTGTGATGGCTGGCTGGATGCTGATGGTGGGCAGGGTGTAATGGTCGCTTGCATCTGACCGATCTGCTGGGGACTCGAGGCTGAACGATGGCTGTGATGAGGTCCAGAGACCACCGACAACGTAGCTAGATTCGAATCCCTATTCGGTATGACTGTATTGGACATACTCGGTGCTTGTGATGGTGGTTTGTACTCGCGTACAAATGTTATGTCATTGCGATGGTCGGTTTTTAAAATGCTGGATATTGTTGGAGTACCGGAGCTCACGGGTATTGACGAACTCGAACCACCTGGGCTATTGTGATTCCGCTTCAGCTGCATTTCAATGACTCCCAACACGAGATCCTACAGACAATACATTTATTATGCACCTAATTGAATAGTCGTCATGCAATATTTACATATAAAATTTATGAATCGTATAAATCTAGATGGAAAAACACTTTATAATTGACATTTCCAATCATCATTATTGAAATAAATAAATACAACGAGTACTTAAAGTGCTCCAATATAAGAAACGAATAAAAATATATCAACTATACAATGGAAATGTACAATTAAATGAAAAATAACCAAATAAAATATATTGCAATACATTGCTATTAATCAAATTTTTCTAAATTAAATTAATATATAAACGAAAAAATGTGCAATAGAAAGAAAATTTCTCATTTGTAATAGTTCTATTTCTAATAATTAGAAACTCAAAATTTATACAAGAATCTTATAAATTTTTCGTAATAATATGGATTTAAAACCGATTTGTGTATTTGTCTTTAATAGCGCTAAAAAGGATAATTATTATTTTATTTGGTTAAATGTATATAATATCGGCAATAAATGTTATACTAAAATTATGAACGAAATTTCATAATTATTGTATTGAAGTAAGGGTTCGAGATTAAAGAGCATTATAAATAAAAATAAATTTAAAATAAGTTGCCAAACAAGGAATATACATTTATAAATGGGAATACACAACTTAATTGATAAAGCACAACCAACCTTCACCGTAAGCGGATTGTTGTTACTTGCTGCCGAAGGCGGTGATTGTACGACGGCAGGAGGCTGGAGCTGCGTTTGTACGTTCACTTGTGATGGCTGATGTAAGGAACTCACACTACTACTCGTGTTATTCACATTCCCACCACTCGACGTAAGTGTGACTACGACTCCATTATTATCCAAATCCGTGCCACCCTGACCTTCGTCCGCCGTCTCCTAGAACAATCGGCGTACCTCTATCAGACGGTCCTTTCATGGCAGAAGGAACAACGAAAGAAAACCCGAACTTGTTAACAACCGTATAGTTAACTAAGTACCTGAACTCTTGGACACAAAAGATATAACGCATAGATTTATGAAGAAAAATGAATTGTATCTAATTTTGGTTGATCATTATGAGACGAAGTTTCAATGACTATTTTCGCTCATTCCGTTATTCTTTAAATTGAAAATTTAATAATTTATCTATCTATATGAAAAATACTACGAAGGTAAAATTTGATAAAATTCACATTTTGAAATACTAAACTTATCAAACTTCAAGAAACGCAAGTAGACTTATATCTTATGAGTTAAAAATCAATAAGGTGCATAATATCCATGTAAACAAAACGAATTCATTGCTTAAATGTTTAAAGAAAAAATAATAACAAACAATCCTGATTTCAATCACCACGAAAACTTTTAACATTGGTTAAAAAGAGATACATAATACTAAAGAAGAATAGACTAGTAATAATAAAAAAAATTTTAATGGCGGGAAGTGGTGAAAAATTGAATTGAGAAAACAATAAGAGAAGTAATGTAGAAAAAAAAAATTGATTCTCGAAACAATCAGCCTTACCGTGGCGGAACTATCGTAATCTTCCCTTAAATTTGTGGGTGGATTGTTAGCCTGAGGCTGTTGAGAAGCCATGGGTGAAGGTGCAACGAGCGATACAACTGCAACGTCCGCGAGCTTCTCGCCTGCTTTCGCGTCCTGGACCTGGGGAAAGGGCATTGGTAGACCCCCTGCGGTTGCCGACGACGATCCCGAAGCTGTCGGCGTACTGCTCGATATTGTATTCGCGGGACTGCCTGCACTCGCGGTATCACTCGTATCGTGCACCTAAAAACCAATCGTTTTCTGATTTGTCGACTTCATATTAGAATAAGGTAATGCAACGTGAGTTTAAAGAAAATAGAAGTTGCTCATAATATCAACAACAACAACAACGACAACAACGATAACAACAACAAAATAAATAAATAGCTAAATAAATAAAAATAATCATCGAATCTAGAGTACCTATAAATTACAATATTATACATCATCTCGATTGAAAATATTGGAACATTAAACTAACCAAATGTGGTTTATATAAACGAACGTGATATGAAGATAAATCTTACAGCTAACTCGTCACAGCTGCTGGTACTGCTGCCACTCTCCTCTTCGTCGGTGAGACAAGGCCTCCGCTCTTCACCGAGCGATTGGTAGTATTCGGCGACAACTTGATCAAGACCGAGCTTTTTCCTATAAGTCAGGTAGTAGTTTTTGCACTGATGGTTGGACTTGCCGGGTATCTGCTCGGACACCTTAGGCCAATTGGTACCATGCTCGCGCAATGCCTTCCTCAATTGCTCGAGCTCTTCGTCTGTCCACTGGCGGTTAACCGCATCGGATTCATCAGTTCCATCACCACTAGAGACCGACAAGTGGGGCGCGAGTCGGCGAGATATCCGATTGAAGCAGGCCGAACAGCACTTAGTGGTGTTGCTCGGGATCTGGAACTCCTGGATAATTGGATCGCGTGTCTCGGATGGCAGATCGTTCCACTTGGGCGGCAAGGCCCTCAGTCGCTTGACTCGTGTCTTAGAATTCGCACTGCCTAGATTAGGGCAACCGGGTAGTGGACAGGTCGTGTAACGACCGCGTACAGATTTGCAACGACAGGTATTGCAGACACGAGCACCTGGAGGCACCTGATCTTCACGCAAGCCATATTGGGAAGCCTGGCTACGAGACAATGGTCTACTCTGGTTACCGGCCTCCACCGTTGCCTGGCATATCGTACACGGATGTGGACCAAGTTGCCTACCACTGGACTCTGCAAGTACAAGAAATAAAAAGCCGTGCGTGGAGAATTGAAGAACGTTGAAGGATGTTATTGAATAACGTTTTTTAATTATTAAATTATTAAAATAATTATAAGAAAATTTTTATATAAGTGGTGTCGATTAGACTAACCAACCTAATTCTTTAAAACTTTATGCGCTATTTAATATGTAAATTAAAATATTTCGTCACTTGTTTCGTACATTATTTATTGTGATTTAGAGCATAATCCAAAACTACCATACATCTAGTTAAAGTCATCGCACAAACGTTTAATTACATGATATATGATATACATATATATTTATTATGACACTTTTACTAATTATTAAATATTATTAAACACTTGTAACATAGAATAATAAAAGATTTGGTAAAAGATATTAAAAAAGGCAAAAGAAATGTTTTCCTTTTTACACGTTATGCGATGCTACATCGAAATAGCAATACCTACAGACTTCTATTCTCCTGACCTATTCTTTAGTATTAAATAAATAATACAGAGAATTTTAAAACTAATTTTTATCAAACACACGTTGTAGGAAGGAAAGTTTAGATATTTTATCCTGATAGAACTCCAATGGTGGTAATTTATCTCAAAATTTATAAAGAATTTATTCAGAAAATATATTTAACCTTTTCGGCGCAACATTTTCTCATCGCGGAATAGCATATATAGCATAAACCTAGCATAAAGCATACGAAGGAATAAAGAAGTAAAAAAGTACGCGAATCAAATTTAAGGCACTTGACGTCCAACTCAGATACTGAGATTAAGTTTGTTGCAAAAGCAAGTTGGCTAGTAATCGAGTATTAATTGCTGCGATTCAATTAATGTACACATGCAGCATTGATTTTTGATATTCGTACAGCTAATCAACTATTCACATTAATTATATACTTTTCTACTTATAAATATATTTAATATTGTAAATTAATGACTAAATTATATATCTAATTTATTAACTATGCACGTTGTTTCTGTATCTTAATACTAAAAATTATTTTATTCTATTTTAATTATATCTATTATTATTATTATTACTATTATTATTATTATTATTATGTGGACGATTTTATACAATGATTGTAATTTGGCAGGCAGCATTTCACAGATCCCAAGAGATTTAAACTTTGAATAGAATATTGATTATGCATTGAAAAGAAGTTCCTGTCGCATGTTTTTCATTCAATTTTGAAGTTTTGTAATTCATATTTATTAGGATTTATAAAAATTAAAAAATTAAATGGCTTAAAATAAAATTCCAATAATTATTATGTACAATATTTCAGTACTAGTATTCAGTTACATTTTTTTTTACAAATAAAAGTATATCTTAATGAATAAATTTTTATATCGTGCATTATAGATGTTTTAATTTTAAGTTATTTCTAAGTAAAATAATCCTAATATCATAAGGATAAAGATAATTGGATTTATAAAAAATTAAAGTCATTAATTTAAATGTAAGTATTTTTTTACTACTATATTTGCATTTCGCTTGTCCAAAAGTAAGAATTGTAAGTAACGGGGAAAAAAATTAATCTATTGTTAGTAGAAATCAATTGAAAAAGAGAATTAAGCTTACATTTTATTAACTACTTTTCTATAAGCTACAATTTTTATACAATTTGACGCCCATTTCAGCAAACAAAATTATAGAGTTATTTGTAATATACGTAATGAAATAGTGCCTTGTCTTATTTCACAAAATCTTCACAAAATATTCACAAAATGTCAACTATCACAATCTCTTACCTCTCACATCTGAAAAAAGATTCAGACTGCAGGTGTAACAGACGATAAAAATTCGATAGCCATCTATTGGTAATGGGTAATCAGAAATGGAATACAAAAAGTTATCGTGAAAGCGAGTAAAAGAGCGAGGACGAGAAACATCGCAACAGTGTACACATATAAGAGGAAATATAGTGAGAAAGAAAATAATTAGGTAGGGCGAGTTTATGTTGAATTCTCTTGCCCGCCCATCCCGTAAAATAACTAATTAGAAATTGCCAATTAAAAAGTTACCACTCATCCATCCAGGCATTTACCTTGATTGGACGAGCACACTGATATTTCTACGCACTCAGCGCTTTTCCAGCGAAAGACCAGTAGCACCTTTCCTATACGAACCCAAGTACAACCAAGCGTGCATTTGCTATAAAGAAAATTATCAAAAGCGTTTTGTACAAAAATTACAACAAAGTCAGGATTACTTCAGAGGGACTTATGCTTGAATAAATGTCGGAAGGAACATTTTATTTATAATATACGAATTATTGCATCAACCATAGCATTAAAAATTTTCCTCAAAAATACTGAAAAACCATCAGCGATAGCAATACCAATACCAATCATAGTTAGTCACATTATTACACAGAGGATCAAACATCGGAAACCCCTGATTGACAGTATCTCCCTCGATGATATCATTTACGATGCGTCTCGCCAGGCTTTTCTCTATTTTTTCGCACCAATTATACCGCTCGAAATTCCAATAACCGCCAACACAAACTGACTACACAAATTTACTACAATTCACGGCAATTATTCATTTGCTTGCGTATTTGTTCGTTCTGACATTATACTAATAGGTTTTTTCGCCTATTTGTTCACGGTATTCCATATACAAAGAACTTATAGGTGAAACGATTTTTATCTCGTAAAAAGATTCACTTGTAGAAAACAAATAAATTAATACAACCAGTTTATTTATGTACCTTGTACTACATACGGAATTATGCGTTTTTTTCGTGATTTTTAACACGGACAATACTCATTGATAATATATTACATTATTAAATTAAAAATTTCAGAAATAAATTTATTAAAAAAATATTAAAGTATGCCTAACACATAATATTGTGAATCTCTATTAACGCTCTTAAACATATGAGTAATATTTAGTTTTTAATAATACTTGTGAAAAAAGAACAATTACAGATGTTAAGAAAGAAAAATACTGATTGGATGTAAAATTACCACCTATAAGTATAATCGAGTATTTTTAATATGCGCTAACGAAAGTATTAACCCATTTATGATGTTAAAAACTCTAAGAAAAAAGAAATATCAAAAATAAAATTACGGTCTTGAAAAAGACGCACGCGCGTGTGTTCGTGTGCGCGTGTGTGTGTGAGGAGGGCCGGACGAAAGTTGAATCACTAGAAAGATAAACGAATTAAATAAAATGCACGCGAGTACAAGAATTACAGAGCTGGGAGGCTACTAATTAAACCGCAGCCGTTGACAAAGAAGTGATGTGGAAGGAAGTAAATGGAAATGCAAGTAAGTCACGAGCTGCAGTATGAATCTTTCATGTAAAAAGTCTGAGAGATGGAAAGATAGAGAACCATGATTCGTGAAAACATCCTTTTCGCAGCAAAGAAGAAAGACGAGACTACGATTGCTATACCATAGTGTCAATATCATTTTTCATTCTACAATATTAATTTTTTCTTTGTCCATTCTTTTTCAATTATACAAATAATATATATCTTATCATGTATAATATATATAATATATAATACATATATAATATATAAAATATAATAATATGTATCATCTTCATACGATTTTTATTTTTACGTGTTTCGATCGTTCTTTCCTGTATTTTTTTTTTAATTTAATTTTTGTTTTTTAATTGTAATAGCATCATACAGGATAGAAGCTGTTTCCGAAATGTTTGAATAAAAATGTAAAAGAGGTAACCGATCCCATTGTTTGTTTAAATTAACACGGTTGTCTCTAGCTTTGGTGCGCACCAAAAGAAAGATAATCAATTTTGCACAAAGGACTGTACGAGCTTGCATTCGTACAATTAGTATAGCCTATATTTGCACGTAATCATCGAATTGAATAGTGCAAAGCTCTTATATAACACAGATGAGAGCTGCAATGCAGCTTGACAGAGTCACTAATCTCTTTCTTCGAAAATTCGTATTATTCACTGAAAGAATGAACGATGAAATTTATAGTCTAATTATTAAAAATATAGCAAGTATTATTCTTCAAGTTACTTTATAATACTAATTCCAATATCTTTCTAATCGCTTTAACGTAAAGATATTAATAACAAACGGCTTTATTATTATAATGATTTGAAAATCAATATAAATAAGCAGAACAAAAGTGAACATGGCATTGTAAGATAATTTATAATAATATCTATTCATTTGCCTATCTGTCGATCTTTTTGCAACATAAAGTATACATTGACAGAATTTATTGTTAGACAATGTGAAAATTACAATTCTCTTTGTTAAATGATTGTAATTAATCTAAATTACAGAAGGCTCGAGGGTATTTCCAAACTCTTGCGCAAATCCTGAACGCCTTATTTACTGTGTTTTAATTCCCTGCAAACTACTCCAAGGGGTTCTAACAGAATATTCAATATAGGTACCTGAATCGGCGATTACCAACGCTATTATAGGCTGCTGGATGACGAGGCAATTATACGTCCGCAACTGATACTATCGAATTATATTACAAGTCAAGTATGCGTAATACGTTAACTCGTTCGCTTTTATCTCTGGCTTATACCTTTTGACCTTTTGTACTAGCATTCACTTGCGAAATACTGTATTTATGCATTTATTTCGCTAAACACTGCTTCTCCATTCTCTTCATTTATAAATAAAATTAAAAAAAAATAAAAATAAAAAAATAAAGAAAAACAATTGCTTAATAAAATGGGTTATACTATTTCCGACTTGTTAACTAAATGGTAACTCTTTTTTTTATAATGTATATAAAAAAATAGATATGCGTTTTTCAAACGATGACTGAACAACATAACCTGGCCAAGTACTACATAATATATAATTATATTATTTACTTTTACTTTTCAAATAAATTCGAACTTATCAATGTTTTATTAAATATCACAAACTATTTACAAATAAATTAATATTAAAATAACAAACCTTTGCATAATTAGACTTTACTTTACTCTCGTGTTAATGGCCATTATTTTATACAATAAC